TGCGTCTGGCTGGGCCAGCTAACCATCGCATCTGATTTGTAGGAGAAGAACTTCACAACACTTCGTCAACACCGTCCTCAGATAACGGCGATGAGATCAACAATACGTTATTGGTGCCGACGAGGAAATCACGCGCCCAGTCGTGGGACTCCAACAACACGACATTGGCCAAATCTAAATCCAACGAGGGGGGGACTGACAAGGGTTCCCCAACCATCCAGACTTTAGCCTCCCCCAAGGGCTATGGCGGTAACACCGAAGACGCTCTCGCACCGAACCCCGGTGAAGAAGCTTCTTTCCGCGTCGACAACAATCCCTTCGCCTTCACGCCTGGTGAGGTTTCAAAGCTTATCAACCCCAAGAGCCTCGATGCTTTTGTCGCCGTTGGTGGCTTAGTAGGCTTGGAAAAGGGTCTGCGTACCGACCGGCGCGCCGGTCTAAGTCTCGATGAATCCAAGCTCGACGGCGCAGTCAGCTTCGAAGAGGCCGTCGCTGCCGGCAAGAAGCTGCCCTCGTCTCCAGAAGCGGTTTCGACAGATGCCCTGCAGCAGGACGTTGACCACCATGCAGGGGGCAACGGCAAAGGATTCGACGACCGGAAGAGGGTGTTTGGCCAGAACCTCTTGCCCGAGAGGAAGTCGCTGTCGCTCCTGCAGCTCGCCTGGATTGCCATGAAGGACAAGGTTCTGATCTTGTTGAGCGTGGCAGCCGTCATCTCCCTGGCTTTGGGATTGTACCAGACCTTCGGCGCGACACATCACGAGGATGAAACGGCCAGGCTTGAATGGGTTGAGGGCGTGGCCATCATTGTCGCCATCACCATCGTCGTGGTAGTTGGTTCCCTCAACGATTGGCAAAAGGAACGCCAGTTCCGCAAACTCAACCAGAAGAAGGAGGACCGCATCGTCAAGGTCATTCGATCCGGAAAGCCTGCGAACCTCTCGGTGCACGAAGTCCTGGTCGGAGACGTCATGCTCTTGGAACAGGGAGACATCATTCCCGTGGATGGCGTTTTCATCGACGGTCACAACGTCAGCTGCGACGAGTCGTCCGCCACCGGGGAGTCGGACCTTATCAAGAAGGTGCCCGCCGATGCGGTCATGAAGTCGCTGTTCGAGGAGGAAGCGAACCCTAAGAAGCTGGACCCATTCATCATTTCTGGAGCCAGAGTCCTGGACGGCGTTGGTACATTCTTGGTTACTGCCGTTGGACAGAACTCTAGCCACGGCAAGACCATGATGTCCCTCCGCGACGACCCCGGCATGACTCCTCTGCAGCTCAAGCTAAATATTCTTGCGGGTATGTTTATTCCGTTCCGCGGCGAGAGCGTACATCATTAACATGATGTCCAGGTTACATTGCAAAGCTCGGCAGTGGTGCCGGTCTGCTGCTTCTCGGCGTCCTAACAATCGAGTTTCTGGCTCATCTCCCCCAGAATAACGACAGCCCGGAGGAAAAGGGTCAACGGTTCTTGCAGATTCTCATCACCTCCATCACCATCATCGTTGTTGCAGTTCCCGAAGGCTTGCCCTTGGCCGTCACACTGGCTCTGGCTTACGCCACCAAGCGAATGACGAAGGAGAACAACCTCGTTCGCCATTTGCAATCTTGCGAGACCATGGGCAATGCGACCGTCATCTGCTCTGACAAGACTGGCACTCTCACGGAGAACGTTATGACTGTCGTCGCCGGCACTCTGGGTACGGGCAAGTTCCGTTTCGCCGCTGGCGACGATCGTGCCGATGCCAGCGAGGACGAGGCCCAAGTACACGTCACTGGAGGAGCTCAGAAGGCGGAAAGCGGGCCCGTCAGTGAAATCACCATGTCGAAGCTCTCATCAGCCCTCGACTCCGGGTTCAGAGACCTTATCAAGCAGTCCGTGGCCATGAACACCACTGCATTTGAAACGGAAGAGAACGGCAAGCAGGTTTTCGTAGGAACCAAGACCGAAACTGCGCTGCTCGACTGGGCCCGCAAGTGCTTCGCCCTCCAACAGATTGCCATCGAACGCGAGAATTGCCCCGTTGAGCAGCTCTTCCCTTTCAACTCGAAGCGAAAGGCCATGGGTGCTGTCGTGCGTCTGCCCAACAAGAAGTACCGCTTCTTCGTCAAGGGTGCTCCCGAAATCCTTCTGGGGCAGTGCTCTCACGCCGTCAACGACCCGACCAAGCCCTCCGGCACCGCATCGATGGATGCGGAACAGCAGGATGCTATCCGACAGATCATCACCGACTACGCCCGCCGATCCCTCCGCACGATTGCCCTCGCCTATCGCGACTTTGAACAATGGCCACCGGAGCATTCTCGCAGGGAGGAGGGTTCTCAAAACATCGAGTTCTCGAGCATCTTCAAGAACCTCACATGGTTGGGCGTTGTGGGCATTCAGGATCCCGTCCGAGCTGGTGTCCCCAAGGCTGTGGAGGACTGTCGCATCGCGTCCGTGTCTGTAAAGATGGTCACCGGTGACAATGTTGAGACCGCGAGAGCCATTGCAAGGGACTGCGGCATCTTGACAGAGAAGGGCAGGGTCATGGAGGGTATCGAGTTCCGCCGCATGGATGATGGTGAGCGGCTCGCCATCGTCAGGGATCTCTGTGTGTTGGCTCGCTCGAGCCCCGAAGACAAGAGAGTTTTGGTCAAGGCTCTGAGAAGCTTGGGCGAAGTTGTCGCGGTCACCGGAGACGGAACAAATGACGCACCTGCTCTCAAGTCTGCCGACGTTGGCTTCTCCATGGGCATCACCGGAACGGAAGTCGCCAAGGAGGCTTCCGACATTATCTTGATGGACGACAACTTCTCGTCCATCGTCAAGGCCATGGCCTGGGGCCGCGCCATCAACGACGCCGTCAAGAAGTTCCTGCAGTTCCAGATCACCGTCAACATCACCGCCGTCGTCTTGACTTTCGTCACCGCTGTGGGGAGCGAATCCCAGGCGCCCGTCTTGAATGGTAAGTTTCACTTTGCACAAAATCTGTCCCTTTAACACCTCATTCTAACTTCTTTTGCAGCTGTCCAACTGCTTTGGGTCAATCTTATCATGGATACATTCGCCGCCCTCGCTCTTGCGACCGACCCTCCTACCGAGAGCATGCTTCACCGAAAGCCCGAGGCCAAGACGGCTGCCCTGATCAACACACCCATGTGGAAGATGATTATCGGCCAGTCCATTTACCAACTCATCGTCACCCTCATCCTGCATTTTGCTCGCCCGGCTGGTATCAATAACTACCCCGAGGCCCAGCGCAAGACGCTCGTCTTCAACGTCTTCGTCTTTATGCAGATCTTCAAGCTTATCAACAGCAGACGCATCGACAACAAACTCAACATCTTTGAGGGAATCACAAAGAACATGCTCTTCGCCGTCATGATGGCCATCATGGCCGGCGGCCAGGTCCTCATCGTCTTTGTTGGAGGTGCTGCTTTCAAGGTCGAGCCACTTAACGGACCGCAGTGGGGAATTTCCATCGTCCTGGGTTTCCTTTCGATCCCCGTCGGTGTCCTTATCCGTCTCTTTCCCGACGCCGCCTTTGAGGCTATTGTTAGGCCTTTTGCTTGGTGCTGGTCCAAGATCCCCAGGTGGCATCGCAAGAAGAAGACGGAAGACGAGGATGCCGAGGCCTTGGGTGGCGTCAAGGATGCTCTGATGGAGATTAGAGGTGACTTGGCGTTCCTGAAGCGCATCAAGGGAGGACGAATCAGCCAGATAAGCGAGGTGATTATGAAGCCTCGCGAGTACCGCGAGAGAACGCGCAGCCGGAGCGGCTCCAGGTCCTCCAGCCGGCATAATAACACGGCGATGAAGGCCGCTCTAGGCATGCCCGGTATCTTGGCTGCCAGCGTCGGCGGGCTGTCACCTGTTGACCGGCCGGTGTCGAACGAGAGCCGGCCAACCGAGCGAGGCAACGAACTTGATGTGCCGCCCCGGACTTGAGATGTCTGGACCGCCCAGTTACTTACGAGTCAACACAGTCCCCCATTACGCATCCCGCCTAGCCACATAAGGAGAGATCGGGCCCATGTTCTTGTTTACCAAAATCGAGCGTCTGTCTGCTTATCTTTCCCCCAACTCATTTATTGCTCATGTTATGACTTACCCCGGATCGGTCAACTGAATTGAACCAATGCCGCATTGTAGTTCTCATGTTTCTTTCTGTTTTTGTTTGGCCCGCCCGATCAAGAAATACGGAACCTTTCCCACTTTTGAGCGAAGATACGAACATTTCTTCTGCTGCCTGTGCAGCTTTTGTACGATATTCATAAAACAAGACACAAACAACCGATACATAGACCGCCGACCGCTTGCAAAGCTGGAAAAAACATTAAAAACTAGTAGTCAATTCCAAAGATACCAAATCTTTTCCCAACCGTACTGTTCCTTTGTGCGTGACCAAGTGATGATCTCAGCTGCCGGAGTTAGTGGGAGAAGGGCCGGCGAGACGTCGTCTTGAGCTGAAGCGAATGCCAGCAGTGTATGCGGCCCATCCCGCCATCTCTTATCATGCGTCTATATGTCACGGGGCACCCTACCAACGGCAAGGAACGATTAAGTTGATGATTAAGTTGATGGGAGTGTGAGGCTTTGGTGTGGCGAGAGTAAGACTACTTTGATTTGATCAGTTTGATTCCTTTATGAGTCTCGTCCAACAACACGACGACAACCCAGTACATCAAGAGCTGGGTATGTAGAGCCGGCTCAAGATTCCAGGGCAATCTACAAATGCCATTTCTGAGCGGTTATGCATGGTACTCCCGTCTTGTGATGACACGTATTCTGAGGGGCGGCACGGCAAAGTTTGATTCAAGCAGAGGGTGCATTACAACGGGACTCGGCGCGAGTTCCTGCAACACTGGGGCTACAGATATGGTACAGAAGTCGGGGTTCCGGTTTTGCCTGAACGCCTCAAGGTGGTATTATTTTTCTTTCTCTTTTTTCCTTTTCCTTTTCTCTTTTTTTCTTTTTCGCAAAAGTCGCCACGCACAAGAGGGAAAAAAAAAAGGCTCTACCTGTGCCTCCTCGCCTCGCCGGCCTCCTTGCCCAGCGCCTCGAGCGCGTCCTCGTACTGGCGCACCCTCTCGTCGCCGAAGCCGCCGGCGTCGGGGTCGCCGATGCGCAGGCGGTCGACGCGGGCGGCGCGGCGGATGCCGCTGCTCAGGCTTGGCGATCTTGCCCCAGAACCAGCCGCTCTCGCCGTCCTCGACGTGATTCCCAGCGGCCCGGCGCGACCGGCGCGATCGGTGCGACCGTCGCGGTGGACGTAGCCGGCGGCGCTGGCGGGCAGGTCGTAGTTGACGACGTTGTCGAGCAGGGGCAGGTCGACGCCGCGGGCGACGAGGTCGGAGGCGACGAGCAGGCGGAGGCGGCGGCCGGCGAAGGCGCGGAGGGCGCGGCGGCGGTCCGACGTCTTCTGGGTCGACGTGAGGGTCGCGATGGACGGCGCCAGGGACGGCTCGAGGAGGGCGATGAGGCGGGAGAGGCGGAGGACCGACTCGTTGGACTTTGTGAAGATGAGGGCCGTCGTCGTGAAGAGGGTGCGGGCGGTTTTTGTCTTGGGCGTGGCAGCGGCGGCGGCGGCGTCTGAGTTGTCGTCGTCTGAGTCATCGTCCGAGGAGCTGTCAGAACCGGAGTCGGAGCTTGTATCCGAGTCCGAGTCGGAGCCGGCGTCGGACGAGGTGTCTGCGGAGGCGTCTGACGAGGACGTCTCGTCGTTGTCCTCGTCGTGCTCGGCGGCGGGCGCGGACAGCGCCTTGGTGGCGGTCTCGGACATGAGGTGGCCGCCGAGGAGGAGATCGATGAGGTAGAGCGGCTTGAGGTTGGCGTCGTGCACTCTGATGGCGGACTCCTTGAGAAGGGTCGGCAGGGTGTGCTCGGCGATGGGCGCGGAGCCGTCGGCCTGGCTGCCCTCGAGCACGATGAGCTGCGGCCGGCGGAGGTGGAGCCCGCTCAGCAGACTGAGGTCCCGCGTGAGGGTGGCACTGAGGACGATCTTGCGCACGACGCCGCCGAGGTTGGAGTCGGGGAAGTCGCGGGCGCTGAACTTGTTGGTGCGGAGCTTGGGCATGACGACGTCGAGCCAGCCCTGGAAGCTCTGCGCGAGGAGCTTGTCGGCCTCGTCGACGACCAGCCAGCGCACGTGGTCGAGCGAGAAGCCGGGCGTGAGGTTGATGTGCTCGACGAGCCTGCCGGGGGTGCAGATGAGGACGTCCACCTTGGAGGTGTAGTCCACGACGTGGTCCGGCAGGGAGCCCGCAGCCGCCGCGTCCTTGGAGCCGGCTGGTGTTGCTGGCTCCTCGACGTCCATCCACGCCTCGAGTTCCCGACTGCGCGCCGCGCGGTAGGCTTCCGGGTCGTACCTCTCCTCCCTCTCGACCAGGGCGGCCTGCTCGTGCCTCAGCTGCTGGCTTCCGATGGAGATGCCGATGCGCACCCTCTTCTGGTCGCGGCCGTCGAAGGCGCCGGCGCAGAGCTCAAACACCTCCTGCGCCTGCTTGACCAGCTCGCGCGTCGGCAGGACGACGAGCGCGCGCAGCCGGGTGACGGCGCCCTGGCTGATGTCCCGCACGACGGGGAGGGCGTACGCCAGCGTCTTGCCGGAGCCGGTGGCCGCCGCGATGAGGAGGTCGCCCTGGCGGTGCTTGCAGGACGGGAGGAGCAGGGGAAAGGCGGCCGTCTGGACGGCGAACGCGTCCCTGAAGCCCTTGGACTCGAGGGCCCGGGCGGCCTTTGGGTTGATGCCGATGTCGGCGAACGGCGTGCGCGTGTCCGGGGCGACGCGGATCGGGGCGGCGAGCCAGTGCGGCAGCGTCTCGTACGAGGGCTTGGAGTCGTCGAGGGAGGCGGGCTCGGGCTGCGGCAGCGGCTCCAGCCCGTGCTCCTCCACCTCCTCCGCCGCTTCTTCGTCCACGTCCATCTTCTCGGGGGCGCCGGCCGGGGCCAACTCGGCGGCCTTTTTCAAGTACTTGGTGGCCTTGGCAAGGACGGCCTTGTGCCGCGCATCGACTTCGTCTCCCTCTCCGTCCCCGTTTCCGGCGTCGTCGCGGCCCTTCTTCTTTTTCGACTTGTCCTTTTTGGGTCCGGGCCCTTCTGCGCCGTCTCCCTGTGCTGCGGTTTCGGATTCAGAGGCTTCTGGCGCGCTCTTCTTCGTCTTCTTCTTTTTGCCGTCTCCCGTTCCCTGCGATTCCGTTTCCCGATGTGCCTCGTCGCCTGTGGGTTCGTCGTCTTGCCTCGAGGTCTTGTTCTTCTTGTCTTTCTTGGACTTCTTGGGCGTGGCCGCATCTTCATCCGGCGCAGTCCCATCTTCGGATTTCCTAGACTTCTTCTTCTTCTTGACTTGCATCTCCTCCTCCTCGGCCTCGGCAGAAACCTGGTGCTTGCGCTTGGTCGCCGGAGACAGGCCGTCGGTGTCCGCCGTGATTACATTTGCGAGGGGAGCGCGGGGTTTCGAGCTTTTTGAAGGAACGAATCGTGCGTAGGGGCTGGCTGTCGAGCCTCCGGATACGAGGCCGTCGTCAGCGGGGGCCGAGGAGGATTCCGGCGCCGATGGTGGTGGCGGAGGCGGAGGTGACGGCTCGGCAGGCCGCGGTGCCTCCTTGGTCTTCTTCGAGGGAACGTAACGGGCGTACATTTTGTCTATTGAACACTCGCGACCCGGAGTAAAAAACAAAAAACAATCACCTCGTTTACGCGAGCGGTTTCTTTCAAAGCGAGGCTTGCATAGTCCATATTGGAGGGGCAGCTGGCGCATCCAGAAAAAAAGTTGGCCCGACTTTCCTTATCGTGTTTCTGCCTGTCTCCACCGCCTGCACTTTCTGCCTTATCGCATCTAGTGACAGAGCTCCTCCAGCTCAGGTCATCTTGTCTGTACCGTTGCGACGAAGCAACTTCGATCTCGCGATCCCATAGCACGTCGACGAACAATGACCCAGCGCCACTTTCTGACGTGACAATTGCTCGCGCAGAGCAAGCCGACAACATGAGTCGAACGTATAACATTGCCATGGTCAGCGACTTCTTCTTCCCGCAGCCAGGAGGAGTCGAGAGCCACATCTACCAGCTCTCTACGAAGCTTATTGACCGTGGACACAAAGTCATCATCATCACCCACGCCTACGAAGGCCGCAGCGGTGTGCGCAATCTGACCAATGGCTTGCGCGTTTATCACGTTCCCTTCCTCGTCATCTTCCGATCGGCCACCTTCCCGACCGTCTTCTCCTTCTTCCCGATCCTTCGCAACATCCTCATCCGAGAGCAGATCGAAATCGTCCATGGCCACGCGAGTCTGAGCAGTTTCTGCCATGAAGCTATCTTGCACGCGAGGACCATGGGTCTCCGGACCGTCTTTACGGACCACTCCCTCTTCGGATTCGCGGATGCTTCCAGTATCCTTACAAATAAGATCTTGAAGTTCTCCCTCAGCGACGTGGACCATGTCATTTGCGTTAGCCATACATGGTATGCTTGCGCCCTGATCTGCCTGTCGAGAAAAGTGACTGACTTCGCGTCGCAGCAAAGAAAATACTGTCCTCCGAGCCTCCCTCGACCCCCTGATGGTCTCGGTCATCCCCAACGCCGTCGTCGCCGAGAACTTCCGCCCGCTCGATTACCCGTCTACCGACGCAGCTGGGCAAGCCTTTGGCCAGAACCCCCCGCCGGCGCATCATCTCGGACCGAACGACGTGATCACAATCGTAGTGATATCCCGCTTGTTCTACAATAAGGGCACCGATCTTCTGACGGCCGCGATCCCCCGGATCCTGGAGAACCACCCAAACACGAGATTTATCATCGCCGGGTCGGGCCCAAAGGCCATCGACCTCGAGCAAATGATTGAACAGAACGTTCTGCAAGACCGAGTCGAGATGCTAGGCCCTATCCGTCACGAAGAAGTGCGAGACGTCATGGTCCGAGGCCACATCTATCTGCATCCAAGCTTGACGGAGGCATTCGGAACAGTCATCGTGGAAGCGGCTAGTTGCGGGCTGTACGTCGTGTGCACGCAGGTCGGTGGCATCCCCGAGGTCCTGCCGTCACACATGACTGTCTTTGCAAAGCCGGAGGAGGACGACCTAGTCCTTGCGACAGGCAGGGCAATTGCCGCGTTGAGGGCAAACAAGGTCCGAACGGAACGCTTCCACGAGCAGGTCCAAAAGATGTATTCGTGGACCAATGTCGCCATCCGCACGGAGCGAGTCTACCACGGCATCACCGGCGAGCTTAGCGAAGCCGAGTTCTACGGGTTCGATACGGCCAATCCCTCGACCTTTGGCAATAGTCGGGTGCGGTCCTTTGCCCTCATCGACCGACTCAAACGCTACTACGGTTGCGGCATTTGGGCGGGCAAGCTCTTCTGTCTCTGTGTGGTCGTCGACTATCTTCTGTTTTTATTCTTGGAGCTGTGTTTTCCACGGGAGCAGATTGATATCTGCCCTGAGTGGCCGCGGAAAATTGCCGACGATGCGGAAGATTCCAAGGAGGATTGAGGGAACCTCCATGTCCCGGCATCACATTCGCAAGCATGCATTATTCGGAGCAGGCCAATGGCCAAGACAGAGAACGAACGGCCATGGATGGACTTTGAGAGCCTCATAAAGGGGTCTCGTTTCTGGCTGTGCGTGTTCAAAAAGTCGCGAATTGCAGAACCAGGAAGCGTCTTCAATTGCCCGCCTGGACGCCGGAGATGACCGGCGGAAATAGCAGGACAATCAAGACAAGGCCAGACCCTGGCTCGCGTGCGCGACGAAGACCAGTCGCTCGTAAGTATTCCTCCAATGGGAGAAGAAGCCCAAATGGAAACCACAACGAGATCTGGGTCGACAACCCACCCCAGACTTTGCCAACAGCCCTCCCGGAGAGCGCCGACAGACAGGCGGGATTGGTCGAAATTGCCTACCGGTACATCTTTAACGGCTTGGTCGGTCCAAAGTTGCCTGTTCCGGCCAAGCGCCCGGGTAGGCCATGCGACCCTCTTAGTTTCTAAACCCCCACTACGCGCGCATCTCGAAGAGCTCACATGTGCCACGGAGCAAGACACAAAATCCAAACATTTCCGCGCCTTCGACTCGACTTCGAACCACTCTGTCACTACTCTGTTACACGACTGCGACTGTGATAACTTTCTCTCCAAGCGTCAGCGGCAACGAGCTCTCCACGACTGCATCCCCGCCATCTTATCCTGCGTTCAGACGTCGACGACGTCTTACCCCTTCCAAACCCCTCTATTACTAGGAAACCCGCGTATACGTTTGCCCACCATGGCTGCCGCGCAAGATGTCCCGATGGACCTGCCCATAATCGACCTCGATGTCTTCCTCAACGAGCCGCGCGACTCGCCCGCCGTCCGCGACGAGTGTGCGAAGGCCGCCACTGCCCTCATCACCTACGGCGCTCTCGTACTGCACGACTCTCGCGTCGCGGAATCCGACAACACCACCTTCCTCGACCTCCTCGAGGACTATTTCGCACTGCCGACCGAAGAACTCAAGAAGGATGAACGCCCGGAGCTCAGCTACCAGATCGGCGTGACGCTCGAGAACACGGAGAAGCCCAAGTGCGCCGTCGACGAGCCCTGCCTGCAGGTCATCGAGCGCCTTGCGCCTTCAGAGCGCCCGCTCGATATCGGCGGTCACCAACCCGACCCGAAGTGCCGCTTCTTCTGGCGCATGGGCGAGAACCCGCCGTACGAGACCGAGTTCCCCGGGCTCAACGCCCCCAACGTTATCCCGGAAGCCCCTCACATTCGCGAGCGCTGGCCGTCGGCTATGGACAAGTGGGGGACGTCCATGAAGCAGGCCGTCACTGGCCTGGCTGAGATGGCGGCAGTCGGTCTCGGTCTCCCGGCCGACACTTTCAGCAACGCCGCCAAGTACGGACCGCACCTCCTGGCACCGACAGCCTCGGATCTGGTCAAGTACGGCAAGCAAGACACCATCCTTGCCGGCTTCCACACGGATCTCAACTTCCTCACCATCCACGGCCGCTCCCGATACCCAGGTCTTCACATTTGGGCCCGCAACACTGGCAAGAAGATTTCGGTCAAGATCCCAGAGGGCAACTACCTCCTGGTCCAGGCGGGCAAGCAGTTGGAGCACTTCACGGGGGGCCTAATCAAGGCGGGCTTCCACGAGGTCGTGGTGAACGAGAAGACGCTCGACGTGATTGAGCGCCGCAAGACCCAGTTCCCCGACCGCCCGCTGGTCCGCATCTCGTCGACCTTCTTTTACCACTTGTCGTCCGATCATGACATCACACCGATTCCTCAACTGGCGGAGCAGGCGCAGAAGTTCAGGGCCGAGCAGTTCAACCTGGGCAAGGACGAAGGGGAGGAGGCTGTGTATCCGCCGATGAAGGTCGGGCAGCAGGTGCAAGAGTAAGTCAACCATGCCGATGATATACAGTGGGCCAAGCTGACCATTTCTCCCCCCCTTTTTACAGAGAGTTGAAGCACATCGCCCTGATGGCATGATGAACGTGAAACGCCGAATTAGTGTAGTATTATAAATGACATATCAAGAATAAACACCCCGATTATGACGCTCAAGCCTCGTAGAATTCCTCGTCCTCTGCGACGTCCACCTTTTCCTTGACGACCCTGTCCACTGCCGCCTTGGGATCTTCATCGCCGTCCAAGTGGTCGACCCACGACGTCGCGAAGGCGTCGTTCTCTGCGATCAGGGCGGCGACCTCGGCGACGGATTCCCTGCTTGACTCGCCCTTGGCCCTCTTGGTCCTGCCGAGCTCGACCCGGCCGGCGGGGGCGTCGGTCAGGGTGCCGGGCCGCAGGCTGACGCCGGCAAAGTCAGGGCGCGTCCTGGACTCGCGCCAGAGGACCTCGTCGGCGGCGACCTTGGCCTTGAAGTAGTTGGCCAGCTTCTGGTTGACCGCCTGGGCGTCGGCCCAGGCCTGGTCGGACCACCAGGCCGGCCTGGTCCTGCGGGAGGCGAGGTAGGAGATGAGGATGAACTTCTTGATGGAGGGGGTGGCAACGGCGGCCTTGACGAAGTGGATGGCCGCGTCGCGGTCAATGGCGAAGGTCTGGAGAGAGGGGTGGATCAGGGTCAGTAACGCTCGGGTACTGCGTTTTTGTTGTGTTGGGGGCGGGGGGTCCGGGGGTGAAACTCACTCGTTCGGGATTTCCCTTTCCACCGGCACCTGTCATGACAATTGCGTCAACGCCCAATCTAACTTTTTTCTTTCTGCAGGACCCCCATCCCTCCCGTCTGATGATGGCCTTTAAGATATGGCGCCAAAGCGTCACGAACTCGTGGAGAAGAAAGAGGCAAGGGAAAACGACTCACCGGCGCTCCATACGATGGTGTCGGGCTTCACCTCATCCAGGATGGCCTGGGCCTTGGACTGGTCGGTGACGTCCTCGATGCTGCGTACGAGCACGTTGAGCTTGCCGGCGTGGCCGGCGCCGAGCTTCTCGACGGCGGGGACCTGCTCGTGGGCGCGGATGACGCTCGTGACGGTCCACGACTTGTTGAGGAGCAGCGGGGTGAGGAGCTGCGAGACCTTGCCGTGGCCGCCGAGGATGAGGACGTGTCTGCTCATGGTGTGTGTGTGTGTGTGTGTGAGTGGGCTTGTGTTGGTCTGGCTCCGACTAGTGTAGGTAGGGTTGTGATTATCTTGTCGTTTGTTACTGCTGGTGTTGATGCGTGCGTGTAAAAGCTACCCCTCAATACCCGACAATGTAGCGGCAGACAAGACGGCGCAGGCTCAAATAGGTTTGCGGGAAGGATCACGCCATGGCTTTTTTTTTTTTTTTTTTGGAATCATAACCTGGGATTGGCGCTTCCCCGCTTCGCTGCCCCCCTCAATCGACAGAACAGCGGACAAAAGAGTCGTTCGTTGGAATGAGGGGGAAAGCATGTTCAGGGTCCCGAGGTCACGTCACCGGAGCGTCAATGACGTAGAACCCGCGAGTTTATTTGGACTCCATCCCCGCAATCTCGTTGTATTAGTTACGCTCCAGATATGGTGGGCAAAAAATTGCTCAACGCCGAGTACCGTAGTACCAGAGCTTTCGGACGTCAATCGAGTTTTACTCTAATGAATAAGATCGTCGGTCTTTTTTTTTTTCTGCCTTGATTTCTTGCTGTTGTTTAGTAATTGCTCAGCCATCCCGTCGCTACAAGATGGTTGAGCGCTCCCGTATTGAAACTTCGCCTACTTCGACCGCAGCTCAGGTAGTTGTTTCTTTCGGGCGAGGGATGCGATTCTCAGTAGAGACGCTTGAATAATAAGATGAACGAAGAGGATTGGATTCCTTGACAACATGCTTTGATATCGTGGCTCTCTGCTAGGAGTTAATACGGCCATTGCGGAATGCGGTATAGGCTGTATGATCTGCCATGATAGGACAATTCATCAATGTCCCTGCTGCAACTTTCAACAAGCATCACTGGTTTCCGTTGCGTCTGTTTATATAACCCCTCCACTGGGCAAATGTTGCGTCTCGCCGGAAACGCACAATTGCAAGTTCGGCCGGAAAGGACATTGCGCGAGGTAAACCGTCTGCCACAGCCTATGCAGCTCCAAGGAGACTCAACACTGTATCATCCAAGTAGTAGACGTATGGACAGCAGTAAGGCTTTGGTTTCAGACTGATCAAGACGGTGTAGCGCTACCGGTTTTCGCAATATTACTGGAATTCAGATTGTTACACAAGACAGTCCGTCAAAAAGCAGAAATGCGTCCTTGGAAAAGGGGTTTCAAAGTCCCTGTTTCAATTTCTAGGAGGAGGAGAAACGGCATTGCGAATTTGTGCTTTTCTGATCCGTGATGGTTACACAATCGTCGTATTATACAGTACTGAGCCAGAAGGCTGACGACAGCAATAAGAACAACCCAATTAGGAGTCACAGAAGGGGCCCATTAGCTTGGGGTCAAAAGGACGTGTGTCTCACCACCCTACTGTCGCTGTCAATTGGGCCAGCCTTATTGCTGTTGCCAGACTTCTGACCTAGTACTGTATGTCGTCAAGCGTTAGATCGCCATCTCCAGATCAGTTCTTTTGTATCAATGTGAAGAACGTCGGTAGAGGTGATACGAGCGGCTGATCTAGCTGGAAAGGGGAAGATAAATGCGTCATCATCCTTCTATTTACCCCGGTAAGGTCAACAAGGCGCTGAAGGCTTACTTACTGGCAGTGACTACGCACTCCCATTAGTCTACCTAAAGTATGAGTATGAGACATCAACAGCTCAACGTAGCAAACGATAAGTTTGCAGGAGACCTCATCTTGGTAACTTTCGACACTGGTGACTCGGATGGAAACAGAGCGTTCCAAGGCGACAGGTACGCCAAACTCGACCGCTACTCTGATTCCTCGCCACGAAACAATGCCTTGACGTGTCTCACAGGTGAGCAGTTTGGCAGGAAGTGTCCAGCAGCTGAGTGACTTGATTACACCAGACAGGTTGGAAAGCTGATGAGTTAAGAAACTCAACACCACGCAGGATCCATTGGCACCTCGGCCTCTCTCATTTCCACCGATAAGCAGAAGCCGGTGAAGATGGTCAGTGTGCTATTGATCGCGCGCCGCACTCGTCTCGATTCTTCTACTCGCCAGAGTGCATATTGTGTGGGGGCGTCCTGAAAGAGGCATCTTCGCGAAGCGGTCGCATTCGAAAAAAGAAAGCGATGAACTTGATGCGATACAATCCCATCTCTCCCTCCATCTCAGATCGAAACATTGTACGCCAGCCTTATTCAGGGGGGCGGGGGACGGACTTAATGGCACGATACACCTGGCCGGGAATACCCTGAGAGAGGTGCGTTTCTCCAACAGCGCGATGTCACCCCAAACAAGCCTAGCAGGCGTGCCGATGGGCCGAACTCTTGGAGAATTCCCAGTTTAGCCCGCAAGATGCACCCAGAAAGGACTGGGCCGACGAGGTACAATTCATCGCAAGGTGAAACCCGATGTTTCTTGGAACAGGCGGGAAACCCTTGTTCGGGCTGAACCCTTGGGGGCCCGGAGGGCCGGCACTGGCTTGGTGCACCTCGCCACGCGTCACTCTTTCATGGCCTAGCGACACGGGATCTTCTTTTCCCTTTTTTGTTCCTTTTTCTTGTTTTCTTTTTTTCCTTCGATCGAAATCTTTCCGACAACAAACAATTGGCTATCTTCTTTTACACCTTCTGGGGGTGGGGGGAGGCTCTTGAGTTTAACAAATGAGGATTCGTAATGGTAGCGAGAGGTTTCAGAGTTGATCTGGTGATGCATTCGGCGCAAGTACCGAGAACCACCCGTTCAAGATCGGCGGCGCGGCAGAAGGACCATGATCTTGGATCGATGCCCCGACAGCTCGGCGGGCTCCTGGGATTCGGTCACGGTCACGTGGAGGCATCATCATCGGGTCGTGATCGTCGGTTTCCTTCTTGGTTCTCTGGAGCCTTTTTTCTTCCTTTTGGGGGAGTTGTTCCGCGGTCAGGGGGTGGTGATTTCCACCTCAACCATTCGAAAGCAAGTCAATCGGTGGGGGGGAGGGATACATGTTCATCATGACCCATTTTGAAAGATCAAAAGAGTGAGAGAGTGTGTGCGAGATGAGATGATCTGGCCCAGAAGCTGAGTTGCCGAGTAGATGTTGAGACTGATCAGATACTCGGCGCACGCGCCTGTCAGCCTCGGGGGCTGGTAGTGGAGCCCCGGTGTCATGAAGAAGGTAGGTAGTTGGGTTAGGATTTCCCGTGGAGGGTTGGGATGCAGGTGCGATGACCATATTTTGTCTGCTCATCAGACGAAACACAGACTTCTGGGCAGACAGGGGTTTACAGAGACTATTTGTTTGCCTCTTCGTGGATGTTGGTACTAGCACGGTCAAGGTGTGTACGTCACAGCCAATTCTGTGCGAGTGGTATAGGTACGTGGTAGGCTCTAAGAAAGATAACCAATGAGGTCTGCAAGATGCCTCTTCGCGTCCATAACTCATCGAGGGGGTCTCCGCCGACTCTGTATTAGAGGAGTTGCTATTCTTAGGTGTGAGGTCGCTCGGGAGGGCTCTTGTCCGACAGCGAGCCTTGTCCTTCATGCTGCGTCCGAGGGTGAGAGGAAGAAGCAATTATTCTATTCGGGGTTGGGTCATGGGAAGGTTGGTATATCGAAGCATCAAACGGCTTGCAGTCTCGTATACCAGTTTTCATACCGGCCGACGCACCCGTCTTAAGCCATTACAGTTATGTCTTCCCTATTTGGGCTGGGCCGAATAGTTCGGACGGCCACATGATGGACTTGTGTAGCATCATGGAAAAGGCGGTTCTATGACCTGCCAAGAATAAGACTCTCGGCAACATGGAACGCATAGCTTCGGAGCCGGGCTGCTCGCCGTTCGAATTAAGGGCCTGGCTTGGTTATATAGGACTTGGGCGGACCGTCGAGCCGCTCGCCCACCCGCGAGAGCGTTTTGACAGCGACCGAGAGCCCGCTCATGCGAACAACTCGGCAGCGTCCTGAGCCGACTGACGACCGTTGCATGGAAATTTGCAGGCCGGGGGAGGCCCAACCCAGCAAGAGAATTATCCCGTCGCCGAGGCTGCCGGGGAGCCGCAGAGATCACCAACGAACGACAAGACCCCCTTGATGGGGTGGTGCCTGGCGACGGAAGGGTATCAGCGAAGAGCTCTGCCCCGCCTGTCAGAAACCCCGAGGAGTGTTGGAACGCCGGGGGCCGGGGGAAACGTTGTGAAGCGGGGATCATACATTCTCTATGAATGCTGTATTAAAGGGAACGATTAACAACTGACGGCGTGAAATGGGACGAAGAAGCCAGGGATAGGAAGAGAGTAGAAGAAGAAGAAGAATGAACAGAAGAATAAGAGACTATCGAGAGGTTGCAGTCGGCCGCTTCCCAATAGTCTGGTCTCTGGGAACGAGGAGTCGATACCCAGTTTACCTTATTTCAGGTTGGACAGGCTTGAGTGGTAGCGAAACTGCCAGTGCAACTTGAAGAATGCAACGCCGGTGGGCTTTTCTTACCCTTTTTTTTTTTTTATCTTTATTTTGTTTTTATTTCACTCCCAGTTTTTCTCTTCCCTTTCTTCCGAGGGCCAACGCCGTATGACAGGCGACACCTAGATGCCCAAGAGGCTGATCTGCGATAACGGGGTAACAAGGGGATGAACCTGGAACCGAGGGGTTTTGACCGCAGGGGAGGCAGCGAAAGGTGGGACGGCGTTGGGAATCCAGGGCCTCATTGGCCTGGCGAATATCAACCCAAACGTTCCACGTCTGACATGGTCTGGCGATAGCCCTGCGGGGATGCGGGACCAATACCACCCAGAGGGGTTTCCCTTGTGCTTACACCGGAGCCGCGCTTGAGCCTCTAGCTGGCGTGCAGGGATCAATACCATTGTGAGACGGACACGACCCCCTGTAGATCCCTCGTCCCTCTTCGCTGCTGTCGTTGGGTGCTCTGGGTGGTGGCTGTCCCAACTCTGTGTCACGTCAGCGTAAACTCTGCCAGCAAGGTTACTCGGGGGATTGAGAGCATGGATTCTCGAGGGACCGAAGCAAAAGCGGGAGGGAGCATCATCCGATTATGTGAGAGTGAGTGTAAGAGAGTGAGAGTGAGAGTGAGAGTATGAGAGAGAGGGTGTGTGTGTGTGTGTGTGAGAGAGAGAGAGAGAGAGAGAGAGGGAGCGGGTACGCGTGCATCACACCAATTCTACGAAATGCCCGAAGGTCGGCAAGGGAAACCCCCGGGGGAGGAAGCGGGACGTGACCACACATTGTTTAAAGATGTGTCGCAGCCCTCTTTTCTTCCGGACAGGCGAACCGTGGTTCCTTTGTTATATTTTCGGGACCATCACTGTGTTATGTTTATTTCTTGTTTAATTTGTATTGTTTGAACAGAAAATCCCGACGGTGACAGCCGAGCTTTCCCTTGATTCAGTCGGCAGGAAGAAAAAAAAAAAGGTACAGGCAAGATTGTTTGAGCCGCTGGACGACTTACATCGACGACCTGACCTGGCCGGGCCACACACCACCCTCTCCGTCTATCATATCAACCACCACCTCTCCGCCGGTATACGCTCGACATTGGTCCACTTAATCCCGCCTCGGCCTCCATCGACGGATTACACGAAAAGAAACAAGGGACTCTTCTTAAGGACATCTCTCTAATCCGGGCTTCGGCGCCAACGAAACGCAACAACTGAGATTATACCCTCTTCTTACGACGCTACGACACCAACATCCACGACCGGGGTATACTGCATACTCGCCTCGTCTTATACCGCCTTTCCCCGCGCAATACGACATCCGTTCTCCGCCGAGCAAGACACTTGAACTGCATCATGGCCGGCCTTCTGCCCGGCGTCAGACTCGGGCTCGACGTTGGGCTCGACGTTGACGCGCCTTCCTCGGAATCCGTCACCGGAACGGGGACGCCAAGCACAGCCAGCGCAGAGGCAACAGAACCGGCGACGACGTCTTTGATACCGGCGGGATCGACATTGTCAGCGTCACCACAACCATCATCATCACCGGCAACTCTAGCATCACCCTCAACATCATCAGCGGCAGCAGTGGTCGCATCGTCAACCGCACCCGCGCGGCAGAACACCCCGACGGCGCCTCAAACCCCATCACAGGCACCGACACAGCCGCCGGCATCGCTCGCGCCCTCCCGGTCCGCCCAGCCGCTGACCACCTTCATCATCTCCTCGGTGGCCACGCCGCCGCCGCCCTCACCGACCTCGATCCCGGCGGCGCTGTCGACCTCTGTCCCGGAGGCGCTGACGCCCTCCCCGACGCCCTCCCTCGCCCCGGCGCCGCCGTCGTCAGAATTGCCGGCAAGCAGCAGCATCAGCGACAGCATCATCATCAGCAGCCTGCTCTCGTCCGCCGTCGCCGTCCCGACGACGCTCGCCACGTCCATCTTGGCGCCGGCGCCGACGCCGACGCCGCTCCCCAGCGGCATCGCCGAGCCGAGCCAGGCGGAGATGTCGCGCGGCGGCGGCGGCGGCGTGAAGCTGATGCCGGCGCTGCCCATCGCCCTGGGCTCCGTCGGCGGCGTGGCCATCTTCGGGCTCGTCATCGGCATGCTCTACCGCAAGCGCCGGTGGCCCTTTGGCGGGCGGCGCCACTTTGCCGAGATCGACGAGCTCGAGGCCGAGCGGCAACAGGAGATGGAGAGGAAGAACAAGATGAAGTGGGACCCGCGCGTCACGAGAACGTTCAAGACGCAGGGCGGCGCCGGCGTGAATTTCTGATTCCCGAGGGCTTGGTGATGACAGCCTTTTTCTTTTTCTTTTTTCCATTCATATGTTTGGATGACTCGAGAAATAACCAGAGAAATCAAAGCCTAGCTCCAAATTCAGTCTGAATGATCTTATATTAATCATTCACATCCCTTTGTTGTGATTATATACTTGATGCCGCCGCTGCGACTATGGAGAGGTGGTGAGAGACATACAACTGGAGTAGCTCAATCGATAGGGTTCACCATTCCCCATCACGATGAACTGATTCCCACCCCTTCCCCCCTTTTGAGTGAGTGTGTCAAGTTAATTGTTGACCGAAACGGGGTCTGGCGAAACTCGTCACGACAAAAAAAAAAAAAAGAAAAGCATCTGACAGCTAGTCAGTAACGACTAACGAGTCGTCTGAACGTTTCAAGACGGCCGTGTACGTGGCCCCCCCGTCATCCTCAGCCTCCCTCCCGGGTGTCCCCTGTTGCCCCCTTTTACGAACTGGCTCCTCCGTGTAACTTCACGTCTAAAAGAGCTTATTTTCTTCTTCTTTCCCAGTCCGGCAATCCTCTCTTGGAATGATGGCTGTGTAATTTTTAGACTCTGGGTCAATAAACATTCCCAGACTCTCCGTCTCGGCACCGTTATACGACCATAATTCGGGGTCCACGGCGGCACCGAGGGTTTGGAAAAAAAAAAAAGGGATAGATCGGCTCGGCAAAGGCCGATGGACGCCTGAGAAAGTGTTTGTTTCCGCACATGCATTGTCGGCCTGTTTCGTTTAAAACGTTTATTACCTGCGGCAAAAAAAAAAAACTAAAAAAAAACTAAAAAAAACTACGACATGAAAAAGAAGGCCGAGCCCGGGCCCGACCCACCCTGGCCGAAAGCGGCCCGCCAGGCCACGCAAGGGTGGCCCCGGAGGCCCGGATCCTTCGCGGTGTGCTCTGGCCCAGACGCCTGGATTTCCAGCAGGCCAAAGGAGGATAGGGGGGGGGGGGGGGAGGGGTATAGTTTTCTTAGTCACGATGGATGAAGCTATTTACTCTAGTCGCCGCCCACAGTGCCGCGGATACCGTATGGCTTAGACGCCCGCCACTCTGGCACCCGCACCCCCGGCCACGAGTGTTTATTCAGTGGGTTCCGCGGTCGGATTATGCCGCGGAGCCGGCGAAGCCGAGGGGGAGGGAAAAGGTCACGAGTGAGCGGCGGCTACTGCACTCTATATAACGCAGGGTTAATGGTTCGGCGACAAGGTCACATCCTGGACGCGATACATTGCGAATTCCAAGAGACTGTCCCGGGAAGAACGACAGACCCATCGCGAATTGGAGAGCTGTCTTGCATCAGATGAAAGATGGAGGCTTCGATGGTAGATGGCTGGTTTCATGGGTACAATAAGCCAGCGCTCTTGTTGTACGGCATTTGCAGCATATGTGCCGCATATCTGGGTCTGAACTGAAGTAGCTTCGCAATCAAGGGCGGAACATATCCGCCGTGTCGACCGGACTAGACCCCCAGGCCACCCCCCCCCGGGATGATGATGCCGTCGCCGGGTCCAACACCTCTGTCTCGCTGAACACCCCCGAGGCCGCCTGAAGGTTTGCCTCCCCGCCGAATGTGTAGATCCGGCCGCCAAACACCGCCGTGCCGTGCCCGGCCCTGGCGGTCGGGAGCAGCGAGGCCGAGGACGTATACAGAGTCGCTTGCGAGGAGCCCCCCGGCAACGTGCCGGCCACCAATCACATAGAACACGTTGGCGACGACGGCTCCGCCGGCGTGGTCTCTGGGCTGCGGCAGGGGGTGAGTCCCGAGGGGGGTCCAGGTGTCCGTCGCCGTGTCGTACACCGATACATCGTCGACGGTGGCGATCGTGCCGCCGGGGACTGTTTCCATGGACCGAAGGCCGCCTGCTAGGTAGATCTTGGTGCCGAAGATGCCGACGGCCGCGCTGCCCCGTTCCGTGCCGGGAGGGAAGCGGGTGACGGGCTCCCAGCGGTCTCGCGCCGGATCGTATACCCAGCAGTCCGGGACCGCCCTCCAGGTCCCGTTCTGGTCCAACGTCTCGGCGAGGCCGCCGAGTAGGTAGATCTTGCCGTCCACCACCGCGGCGTTGGGGTGGTTGAGGGCCACGGGCAAAGGAGCGGCGGGGGTCCACATGTCCGAGGGGACGTCATACAGGGTGACGAGGTCGGTGTTGTTCCACACGCCCGTCGCCGAGGACCCCGTGATGCCTCCAAGGACGGCGATGGCCGTGGAGTTGATCGCGACTGCGGCATGCTCCTGTGGTGGGAGAAGCGGGATCGACGCCAAGTCATGCCAGGCACTTGATGCGCGAGGGCCGGTGAAGCTTCTGCCCTGGGCAGAGACGGCGCAAACGCTCACGAAGGTGGCGGCGATAGTCGGGATTCTAATGGTGGCAGGCTCTTTAGTGTCGAGATATCTAGCGGGTGCACAATCGACACAGAGGCTACGGGGCCCAGGATACAATCGGGGTGGGAAATAAACGGGTTCTTATACCTATCTCCCATTGCCTGGAACGAGACAGGTTTAGTCTGAACAAAAGTACCCTTTTCTCTCCGGTCAAGGCTGATAAAAAAAATCGCCCAGTCCACGATCGAAAGGTCAGATCTAACCCCTGTCCCAGACGGCCTCTTGCTATCGCCCGCGTAAGATGGAGCCGAGAAATGATATTATCAATCTTGGCATGGTAAGCGTTAAGGCCAGGCAATGAGGATCTAGGACACAGCTGTGTTGACGACTGCTTCTCTATACAACGTGTTATCAGCATCGCAGACGGGACTACTTGACTGAGTTTTGACTGTGTTTATGTACCCATGATCCTTCATATAAACATAATCTATAGATCAATCGCGCGAGGGTCCTCGGCGCAAAGCATATGGAACTCGAGGCATGAGCTGCAGAGGGGAGCCAGCCATTGTCAACGTAAAAAGTATCGCCCATATTCGCGCTCAGGCATCCACAAACTCGAACCTGACAAGGATAGAGCACTTGGTCTCCCTTCCCTTCAGATCCAGCAACCGGATAAAGACCCAACCAGGAACGGTATAGAGCAATCGCACCGCGCCAACAGCCAGGATCGGGTTCCTCGAGAAGCTGTCATCGCTCTTGACGAGCATCCGCAGGAAGACGAGCTCGTTGTCCTGGTACTCCCACTCCAAAACCTCGTCCCACAGCGGGTCGGTGGGCGGGGGGTTCTCTCCCTTGTGTAAGAAGCCGGTGAGCTTGTGCTGTCTGTATCCCGCCGTTTTCCTCTTGGGAGGCTCCATCTTCAGGTCGTGAGGATGGACAAGCGTACAGGTAAGGTAGGGTTTGATCGTCTCGTCGTCGTCGCGGTCGGAGGGTATGGGGATATCCGTCGCGCCGGCGACGTGCAGTCGAAGCTTCTTCTTTGTGCCGTTGCCCAGCTTGCCTGAACCGCCGGACCGGAGCTCGGCAGGCTTGAGGACGAAACCTTGGGAGCCGCTGAAGAGGGCCTCGTTGATCTGCATCGAAGCACCGAAAGTCTGCCAGTTGAGGGCGCAGATCTGGGCGCCCACACCCCAGAAGGGAACGGGATGCAGGTTTTTGGACGAGATGCGCGTGCCCTTGGGGAAGACGCGCATGAGATGGTGGGCGTTGTGGCTGGCGATCTTGACGGCGGCCTCGGGCATATGGGAGGCCAGGCCGGACTCGGAAACGTTGATGAGGTGGTGGTGCGGCGCGCCTTGCAGTGTGTCCTCGTACCAAGAGTTGTCAACAGGCTTGACGGACTGGGCGTAGACGCCAAGCTCCTCGAGCTCCGGGATGATGAGGGAGGGCGGGGCCTCCTTCTTCTTGGCGCTGTAGTCATGGCGGGCCTTCTTTTCCTCGTCTTCATCGTCGTCGCTCGAGCTCGAGCTGCTGTCGTCAGGTTCACCTGGGAAGTGGTACTCGACGATGACAACGATCTTGTTGCCTAGATCTTGGAGACGGACGTGGTCCCCCTGGCCATCTTGCTCGGCGTGGCCTTTATCGCGCACGGCTCGGCTGAGGAGGCGGTCTCCGAAGACCTCCCTCATGATCTGGACCAGACGAAGCTGGCCCTCGGGGTTACAATGGTTCTCTAGGGATAGAAGAATGGGTGCTGCGAGCTCGGGCGATTTGGCCTCCTCGTCGACGACATTGCGGATGGTTTCGCACACGGCGCGGAAGGGGATGTTAGAGACCAGTGTGTAACCGTGGGTGACCTTTGGCTCTTCCTTGTTGTCGGGGTTGTCCCAGGCATCGATCTCGACGCAGCGTGCACCAGCGTGCAAAGTCTCGTCGTAGGCTTCGGCCGATGAGCTTCCAAAAAGCTGGTGGGCCAAGAGGTAGGTGTTGTGACTGGAGCTGATAAAGTACTCGGGGAGGGGGTGCGACCTGTCGATGAGCTCGGGCGGCACGCTGATGTGAGGCTTGTCGACGAGGGCCTGCAGGGCGGGGCTGGCGTGGTCGGAATCGAGGTTCGCGTCCTCGGACGAAATGACGTGTCGGCCGGCAAGGAAGGAGCGGAGAGCACGGCTCACGCGGAGGCGGTGCTTGAGTTCCGAGTCGCGGGCGGCGTGGCCACCACCGGCGAGGGTGGTGTTGTCGGTGGCATCGCCAAGCTCCTCCTCGTCCTCGGGTGCCGACTTGGAAAAGGGATTCAGGTTGGCGAACTTGGATGTGAGAGAAGCCATCTAAAAAGAAACGAAGTGATGCGTTTCAGAGGTCAAGACGCGGCGCAATGCTTGTCGTGTCGGTCGTGTCGGTCGTGTCAATAGCGTAGTACGGCCTGTTGCGTTGTGAAGCTCTGGGGATAAATAAAGGCGTTCGCCGGATAAGAGGAGGAGTGAGAGGAGCGCAAACAGGGAATGAGCATTGATTGCATGAAGAATGCGACACCAGCCAAGAAAGACAACGAAAGTAGTGAGGGAGATACGTGTGCGAGAGAGAGAGAGAGAGAGAGAGAGAGAGAGAGAGGAAGAGACGACGTCAGTCTTGGCTGATGTGCGCCGCGCAAGGTCGCAGTCACTGTGGCGCCCATCCTCGTTGGCTCTTTCCTTCTTTCCATGCTTGCTCCCACTCCCCTCTTTCCCAGTGCAGCTGAGCTGAGCTGGAGCTCCTGCTCGCCGTTGCGATGATGGAGGGGTCGTGTTGTGGACATATATTATGGAGACGATGGATGAGATAAGCAGGCTGTCGGCTAGCTCTGACCAATCATACATGCTGGTTAGGTCCATTTTCGGCTAGACTGGGTCGTAGCGTGGATACTTGTGTGCGTGTACAGTACTGCTATGTACCTACATACTGCGTAGGCAGGTGCAATGTACATGAGACGACAAGGGGGGGAGGTTTGAGCATGTCGTGTCTCTCCCAGGTCGAGTCTTCAGCTCAACTATGCTCAGGAACACGCAGCGATGCTGAGTGGGACAGTCTGATGCGTATTTGGATATAATCATTCAATATTCAACCAGATTTACTACAGTCGCAAAAATGGGCTGCCATGGTTATTGGTAAATTTCAGCTCACCACCCCCAGCGTGGCACAACCACACCAGGCTTGATCAGCGCGCTCTCTAGATTCTTACACTACCTACACTACATAACTACCTGGTGGAGCAACTAGCAGCAGCCGTCAAGGCCAAGAATGGCAAATGCCGACTCCCCGGCGCGCCATTGGCGGCATAGTCAGCTTTCGGGTCTCGGGCGACATGTTTTACCGGCTGGGCATCTTGAGCCGGAACGGCTTGCGGGGGACGGGACCCTCTCAGCCTTGTGGGTCCTGTCACGGGGCGAGTTGCAGCTGCGTGCGTCCACCCAGATCCATCCTTGACATTCGTTGCCACAACCTGTAAACTGAATCACCTCAGTTCGGGTATTGTCTACCGGCATGCCTCGTACGTAAACTTGATACCCAGCCCTACGAGAATCCCCGGTTATTTGACTTTGCCATGTTCATGCAAAAGGGAGTTAGAGTCATGCCCATCGCTAATCGACTCTACAGCTAGTCTAGGCCACCCGCGGAGCAAGGCGAGGCGCCTCGAAGGCACGGACAATTCAAACCATCGACACAAAGTGTGCGCTCGCCCACCCCCACCGTTGATTTTCCTGACTCGTCGAGGTTGAGTAATGTGTCGCGGAGGAGGAGCACGTGGGGAGGATAATGTCGACGGACTGACGAGGGCATTTGAGATGTTTCGGTTTCTGGCCGCAACGGAACCCACGCCCGCAAACCAAAACCCCCTCCCACATCGTCATGCACCATCGCACGGTCCGTCTCATTGGCGAGCACGACATGCATCCGGCAGCATGTACATTGCAGGCCAAGGGGTCTAGACCAGCAGGCGGAAGGACAAGCAGCAGCAAGCGAATGGGGGGCCAGCTGATGCACCAATACAAACATGTCCGATATGATTACATGGAATTTACACAGGAATTATTGCGGCACAAAAATAGTGCGGATAAGCCCCTCAGCTGCACCATCTCGATGCCGGAATCGGGATGCCTTCCGCAGAACCCGTCGCTCTCATCGTCGTCATCACTAGTTTACCCACCCGTCCCATGATGCCCAAGAAAAAAAAAAAAAGCGACGAGGAATCTGTCGGCGTCTACAAGCATACGTAAGTAGCTCGCTCCCTCCCGGATCCGTCGATAGCTGGGCTTACACACCGCCGAAAGATCGTCGGGTCGTCGTCCTAGACAACGGCAACGCTACCGCACCGCACCCGCACTGCCCAAATGCGGGTGCGGCGCTCCATACGTGGACAACGCACGCGTACCCACGAAGCGAGGCATTAGATCGACACGAAAAGACCCGGGGTCCGACGACCGAGCCATGGAGAGGAACGGGTGGCCGCGGCTGGGGCAAACAAGGGTCGGCCGACACACCGACATGCCTCTCCCACTCTTTCCTTTGAGCATGTCGACTGACTGGTTGAACGTCTGCCAGCCTGTCAAACCGCCAGCGGCCTCCGGCAGCAGCGGAAGCGGTGGTCGCCAAGGATGTCCGTGTCACCCAGAGGTCTCTCTGTCTGTCTGCTTGTCTGTCTGGGCGGCTGACGGTGTACGTACAGTACAGTAGTACCCAGTAGTACAATACGTGTAACCGCAACAATGCTCAGCATGCTGGAGCAGATTGAACCGAGTACACGTACCAATTGTCGTGCAGATACCTATGGCGTGCTGGGTTGAGAGAATAAATAAGCTTCTCGGGGGAGCTTGCTCATGACGTTGACTTTTGCCAGGGTTCATGGCGCTAAGGGAGCAAAGCAGCTTCTGTGGTGTGGACTGGACTGGGGAGGGGGGCTCAGGCTCAAGGGGGGAGCTCAAGGGGGGGAGCTAGGGCAGCTCCGGCGGCTTGGGGGTGCTAGGATGGGTGCCGTGATTTGTTTGCCCCCAGCAGCTTTCCGCCCTAGCACAGCGATCGAAAAGTTACTACCGGTAGGTATGTACTTGGGGGAGCCCTGTTTGATTGACCTTTTTGGGGGCGACGACCAGCGCCACACCTTCTTTCCTCTCTTCTCCTCATCCTCGTCGTCTGCTCCATATCGTCACGGCCACAACTTACCGCGCCATCTGAGGTGCTCCTCTTTTGCACTATTTACACGCGCAGCTGGACTCTCATCACTGATTCCCCCCCTCGTCTCTTTCTTTCGTCCTTCTTACTTTCTTGATCTCATTCCATTGCCAGCTTTGTTCCATCGACGTTAATCCAACACCCGCCACCGAATCACCCTCCGGTGTCTGCTACCGAGTTTAACATCCACCATGCTGGTCAATCCGGGCATTGTGTTCCTCTTGGTAAGCGGCAGCACATTCTGAGCCATATCAAGCCATAGACAGAAAAGAAAAAAAAAAGGTATCCATTCCATATGTCTAACGTGTGTACTGTCATATAGATCTCCGCCGGGCTCGTCACGACTGCCATGTAAGTCACCATGCCGAGCATCCGCAACACCCTTCGTTACCTTTATCCTAGGCTGACCACTTCTCGCAGCATCGTCCATGTCTCGAGCACAAGACTCTCCCTTCCCATCGCACCCTTCTTGTCTTTTCTCCCCATCCTGCTACCCGTTTTCGGCACCATAAACGCCTTCTACTACCCACGACTGCTCTTCAAAGCCCGACACTCCATGGCCGCTCGCACCGAACAGATCTTCCCGACAGTTTTACAGGCTCTGCAGGGCATCCTGACCACAGCCATCGCCGTCCTCTTGTTGCAGTCCGCCATTCCCGACGATACCCTCAACTGCGCCCTCTCCACCGCCTGGCAGCGCATGTTTGCTGCCAAGGACGCCTCCTCCATCCGCCGCATCCAGGACAGCCTCGATTGCTGTGGCCTGAACAGCGTCAAAGACCGCACATGGCCCTTCAACGGTAACGTACAGTGCGCCCAGCGCTTCGGTCGCGACACCCCTTGCGTCGGTCCGTGGCGCGATGCCACCTTGTCCAACTCGGCCATTGATCTGGCCGTCGTACTCGCCGTCGGCGTTTTGCAGGTCTGACTCCCTCCTTCACCCTCTCTAGACCTCTGGCACTATCACCATACCCCAAAACTGACCTCTTACGATCCCAGGTTCTTACCTTGCTCTTCATGCAGAGCGCCAGCAACTGGAGACATGCCTGGTGGGCGCAGAGCTGGAGCCACCTGTCTGATCGCCCTATCGAGGAGCGCGAGCGTACTCGTCCTCTCCTTACGGGTTCCGCCGCATCTCCTGCTGTCAACGCCGTCAGCCCTGCCAACGACAGCGGCGAAGAGTCGGATCTGCCCGTCACCTACAGCGACCTCAACCCGCACTACGGTACCACTGGCGACGGTCGTCGGGGCCGGGCACGCACCGGTGGCGGCCGAATTGAGCCCTCGTCGCTGCGGAACGAATGGGACGGCGAGTGAGTCTGTCCTCGCGCACAACTGCTGCGGCGACGCTCGACTGCGCTGCCCCGCCTTGCGGTACTGCACAAGAAGACGGATCGACAAGAATTGAAACTCTTTCGGCATTGCGAGCGAGAAAATATATCTATCCTGGGTGGTCTGGTTGGCGGTTTTGTGATTTGTTCTTGTTGACGGAGTTTGAGTGGAATCGGCAAGGCTTGGGAGAGGCTCCCTGTTACTGGTAGATTGTTTCTAAGGCCAAAATCAGTACCCGCGTTTCCCGTTTCCGTCTTGTTGTTGTTGTTTCCCGGCCTCGAACAGCGTTATCGGTGATATCTCACTACTCTCTCATTAATCGGCCGTCGTCAACGCCCAGCCGTGACAGCCAGGACAGCCACGATTGTGCAGATGGCTGCTACTGCCAACGCATGACGATCCCTCGACCCGGGAGCCGCATTGGAGGGCACCAAAGGCCACGCTAGCGAGGAATAGTATGGTAATAGTACTATGGGGGGTATGATCGAGTCGGAGCTAGAGACCACGGCCGCTCCGGCAGAGTGCTACACGCTGAATAGTACTGAGCAGTTAATCGGACCATGGTGTCAACTATACGCCGGCTGCTCAGGACCTAATAACATGGGGCATATACAACAATAAGGACCCCCCCTCCTCCCCCTTTTACGCATATCGCCACGGTTGGTTCATACAACTCTCGAGGATGAATAGGACAACCAAGCTGCTCAATTCTGCATGCCAAGCACCTATCGAGACTCCTCGGAGGCAAGGATCGCCGGTCGGATGTGGAACCACGGTTCTTCCCGCAGCTGCTGACATTATCAACGGCCGCGCTCTCGAGGTGGAGAGCCGTCGGATATGGCTTTATGCGAGGGAAACGGCAATATTGCCGAAAACTGAAAGGTCCGGTCCGGGTGAGCATGCGCTGCGACGCTGCAGGCCGAACAGGAGTGGCGAACACGAGCAGTGCCAATCGCACATGCTCTCGGGCCGTGTCAGAAACTCGAAAAATCTCGCGAAAATAGGCATTGGAGGACATCGGCGATGCGCGTCCAATAAAGGGCAGCAGATTCTCATCACTGGGGTTTCCTCATATCCCCGTCCACAGCAAAGTGCGTTCCGCGGCATCGAAGCGAGAGGCACGCCGTGCGGGGACGAGAGTCCTGGGCGTCGTACCGTACGTCTGTTATACACGTCATGTCACCAAGGCCAATATGACTGAAATAGACAAGGTGCGAAACTGCCTCGGATAAAAACTATCTAGTATCTCTCCCTTCCTATTGTCTGTGTCTCTCATGCAACCCACAAAGAAGGCGCGTTATCGGGCTTTACACAAGCTCAACTGACCTCGGAAACAATGGAAGGCCTTGCAGGACATGGCGACACATCGCATTCCAGAACACTGTCCATCCTCTCCGTCTTATTCCTCGTAGCCTCTTTTGGTCTCTGCCTGCTCGTGTCTCGCATCCGTCGTGGTCGCCAGCGGTACCCAGACCTGCCTCTGCCACCGGGACCGCCGCGGCTCCCCATCATCGGGAACCTTTTCAACAGCCCAACCCACTACAGCTGGCTGACCCATCTCCAATGGAAACATGTCTACGGCCCGGTAGCCTACTACGAGGTGGGAGGGCAGCCCACTGTCGTCTTGACCACCGTGGAAGCGGCCCACGAGCTCCTCAACAAGCGGGCCAGCAACTACTCGAACCGGTCTTTTGGCTACACCGTCTCCGAGCTCGTGTGCAAGGGCTACAACATGCTGTTTCGCCAATACGATGCTCGACTCCGCCTACACCAGCGCCTACACGTCCACGGGTTGAACCCCCAGTCCTCGGTGCTCTACCATGCCATTGAGGAGATGGAGTCTCTCCAGCTTCTGAACGACATGCTTGCGGAGGGCAAACCGAAACCGGGCCAAGGCACCGGGGAGAAGCAGACGGCGGATGTGGTGCCCCAAAACCCTCACTGGGATTTCCGACGCGCGTCCGCGAGCGCCATGAGCTTGATCGTTTGGGGGTACCGTCTGCGAAAGGGACAGCCCGGCACAGAGTACGAGATGGACTTTTTCAACAACACCTCGACGCTGGAGGTCCTCACCGCCCCCCCCTGGTGGATCGACGCCTTCACTTGGCTCAGGCACGTCCCGCGCTGCGTCTCCCCCTGGAAGCGGGCCGGGGAGAAGCTGCACGAGCGCGAGGTCTCGCACCACCTGGCAAACTTCCGCAGGGCGCTGAAGTTGCCCGGGTACAACATCAGCAAGCAGGTCGCCCGCGGCGCCGACCGCCTCGGCGCGGACGGCCTGTGCGAGGCGGAGCTGGCCTTCGTGGCGGCGGCGCTGACGCTGGCCAACGGCGAGACGACGGTGACAATTCTCTGCTGGCTCGTCGTCGCCATGGTTACCTACCCGCGCGTCATGCGCGAGGCGCAGGCGGAGCTGGACGACGTCGTCGGCCGCGCGAGGATGCCCACGTACGCCGACCGCGCGGCGCTGCCGTACGTCAACGCCGTCATCGACGAGGTGATGCGCTGGCGGCCCCTCATTCCCGACGGGATGGTCCACGCGGCGGCCGAGGAGGACGAGTTCATGGGCTACCGGATCCCGAGGGGCGCCGCCGTCGTGGCCTCGCAGTGGGCCATCACGCGGGACCGGGATGCCTTCGGCGCCGACGCCGACGACTTCCGGCCGGAGCGGTGGCTCGAGCGGGACGACCTGCCGAGGACCTCGTTCGGCTACGGGAGGCGGCTGTGTCCCGGCAGGCACGTGGGGCGGGACGGCCTGTGGATCATGGCCGCGCGGCTGCTGTGGGCGTTCGACATGGAGTCCCCGCCGGCCGACGACCCGGCCGCCTCGAAGAAGAAGAAGAAGAGGGTGATTGACCCGATGGCCATGCCCCCTTTCGGCATCGTCATCGCCCCGCAGCCCTTCGAGGCGCTGTTCAGGCCCAGGGGGGAGTGGGTCGAGGCTTTGGTCAGCAAGGGGATGGAGGACGTCGAGAGCGACGCCGGGAATCTCATGGAGCAGATTGGGATCGCGAAGGGTTTTCACTAAGGGTTGACGTCGATGACGAGCAAACAGAAGGTCTTTGGTGCTGGGAACGAAAGAACTCGGTGAACCACAACTTTCCTCAAACGGCGGTCTCAGGCTGCTGCTACGATAGAACCGGCCCAGAGGGGACCTCACCACTATCCGTATCGACTCGTCAACAACCGTTCAGGCTACAGAAATAGCCACCACGACACGCTCTCAACGATACGGTCTTTCTCGCGGAGCGCTATGGTATTGGTAGCACCGGCGACGCTCTCATAGCCGAATGATGTGAGAGACAAGATGGGAGACGCTGATCATGGAGAGTACAAGGCGCTTGCTGGAGAAGGCCTTCTTGATGCTATTGACGCCATCACCTACGACGTAGCTTAGACAAATCTCATCAGACCGTGCGCATGGTCCGTAGCAGTTGAACTATAAGATCACCTCATTGATACATTCAGGCTGGAAGCGAGTGGCATCATAACCAATGGACGAGATTGGAGCTGCGGTTAAGTATAACGCACATGACAAATAATAACCTGATTGATTCTTAGTCTTGGACAAAACGGAGACATCCCGAACATAGGAAGCTCTCCAAGGTCCATACCCAATCTTGGTATTTGGCCACGCCCGCTACACCCGGATCTGGCGGAATTTCGCTCGTAAAGCTGGTCTCATGGGAACTGGCCACCCAGCAAAGTCGACTTTCATACCAGAACCTCACGCCAGAGTATGCCGGTAACGATGCTAGTACAGCCGTTCAACACGCCGCGCGTGACGCTGCGCGTCAGCGGCACAAAGATTGTCGAAGAAAATGATAAAGAGATATACTCCTCAAGGGGGGCTGGCATGAACGGCATGCTGAACATGGAGCACTTCATCACCGGCTACACCGGCCACGAGCATGAGCACCGAGCGACCATGACGGAGGTCCTCGGCAAGGAGAATGCCGACTCCTTCTTTACCTGTCTCATCCACCACTTCTTCACAGAGTATAACGCCGTGCTGTACGCCTCACTGGGCCCCAATTGTGTGTGGGTTCCTTTCAACTACCGCCATTTCATGGACATCGACAATACCAGCGTGATCAAGAAGTCTGGCTATGAGCCCCTCGACCGCATCGTCCATATCTACGCCAAGCAGAACATCTACGCCATCCTTGACCTACACGTCATACTCGACAGCAGGAACCAGGGCTGGAACTGCAACTCAGACATTAGCAGGGTCCTGTTCTGGCAGTGATTCCAAAGACTTCCGAGACCGCGCAATCCAGCTGTAGGAAGCGCTTGCCTGCCACTACGTCGGCAACAAGGTCGTCGCCAGATACAACCCGCTTAATGAGCCAGCGGACCCTGAGAATATTCGCCTAATTGCCTGGTATGAGATGGCGGAGAAGGCAACCCACGCGATAGATCCGGAGATCATGCTGCTTCTCAATGAAAACACTTACGCCATAGAACTCTCGGAACTCTCCCCTAGAAACGACACTGCATAGCAGCGTCTACAGCTGCCGTGACTATAGCATGATAGGGTTCCTTCTCACAGAGTAGTACAAGGGCACAGAGGAGCAGAAGCGAAGGCTCCAGCACAGCCTCCTGCGCAAGGAAGAGTTCATGCAAAAGGCTGGCGTGCCTGTCTCGAACAGCAAACAAGGCTTAATTTACCGGGATTCAAGGACAGACCTGAACGCGGCGGCAACCAACGAGAAGCGCTTCGCCCTTCTCAAGGAGCAGCTAGCTATCTACTGCGAGATTGGCGGTGGTGGCGGCAGCGGTGGCATCTCGTGGAGCATTTGGCTGTACAATGACATCGGCTACCAGGGCATGGTCTACCTGGACCTGGAGATCGCCTGCATACGGCTGGTCCGGCCGTTCGTTGAGAAGCAGCGGCGCCGACGGCGCCTTGTGCGTGCCCTTCAACGCGGAGCTCAAGGGAGCGGTGCCGGAGTACCTGCGGGGGAGCAGGGATTTGTGTTCCTCGGGGCTGGTGTGTAGGGCTATTTTTTGTATATATTGGCGAATCTAAGCTAAACTGCACAAGCTAGTCAAGAACTCGGCAGCCATCATCTCCCGCTCATATCATGGCTTTATTGCAAAGGTATGTTCGCCAGGGTGCCAAACTCTGTATGTGTAAGTATGTTATATCTGGCTTGCTCAAGCCCTGGCAGTGCCAAACCATAGCAATCCTAGGAGTTTGAACACATACATCTTCAACACCAGATAAACCATATTTCAGCTACTTTGCCTTTGGAAATGTGACCGTAACCCAAGAAGTAGCGAGGGCGGCATATCATGCTAACCTGACGGCCTCTCTGAGACTCTAAGAACGGGCTGATCAATACTTTTTACTGAGAACCGCATGAGTCTCTGAACGGCGTCTGTTTGGGCTCGGCACCAGGAACGGAACGTGGTTGTTGATTTTTCCGCACTTCTCTTGGCAGCCATCAAGGTTCTCATTCTGGAAAAGCAGTCGCTCAAGACAGCCACGTTTCCCGCCTGTTCATTGATAGCTTTCAGTATTAGACGGATCAGGTCTCACCCATCCTCAACTCGACCATCAACCCAACGAGTGACCATGAGGTTGTCTCACCCAGCCGCGTGGCTTGCCTTGGGATTCGTATGCGGTGTTCCGTCAACAGGAAGCGAAGTGGACATTGGCAACGAAAATGCGGACAAGAACATTGCCGCCGATGGGGTGCTCGAAGAAAACACGATCTTAGCATCAGTACGTGCACCCAATGAAGTGAAATAACTACAACCAGGACCGGCTTCACCGATGCCGCCAGCCGTTATATCGGAAAAGTCCCAGCTAATGAATCGTCCAGATACCCATAGACTCGCTTGTAGAGTTGCACGAGGTGACGATCACTGTTGAAGAAACTCGAGAAGAACCAAGCCCTCGCCATGAACAGGAGGGGAAGAATCTGCTGAAACGTATGAGCAAGTTCCACGGTAAATGGGACACGAACCATCCACGCCATCGACTGTTAGAAGCTCTTTTTGGCTTCGGCCGGTATAAGGAACGACATATGGCCGAGATTGGTCGATGGAAGGGTTTTTACAAGCATGTATCCAAGGCTCAGAAAGCAGTACGTCCCAACCGATGAAGTCCTCACGTCTCCGTCCGCGATTCCACGAAGGCGTGACTAAACTAGCGGCTAGGTCCTTGAGAAGACCATTGGATACTCGCGTAAGTTCGAAATTGCGGAGCAGCTTCTTGACCTCAACCAGGGGCTGTGCAACGAGATTGTTGAGACGGCGCTCAAGTTCTACGGCGTCACGCAGAAAGAGCTCGCGGACCACAGCAAAGCCAAGGACGATGCAGGTCAGCCAGCTGACCGGGTCAGTGCATCACAAGCGCTAAAGCACTTTGTCCGAGATTGGTCCACAGCAGGTACCGGTGAGCGCGGAGACGCGTTCCCGTGTATCCTCAATGAGCTAACGGCCTTGTTCCCTGACCGGTCCTCCCGGAATATCAAGGCCCTCTTCCCGGGCTCGGGAGTGGGGCGACTCGGCCACGAGGTTGCGGCTCTGGGCGGGTTCGAAGTCACTGTCAACGAGTGGTCAATGTTCATGAACCTCGCATACCGTTTCCTAGAAGCGCATCCACGACCGGGAAGCAGAGCCCTCCACCCGTTCGTCGATAGTTGGTCTCACCACGCAACATCGGCCGATCTGTTTCGTGGCGTCTCGTTTCCCGACCAGACGGTCAATGCCAGCTCTGTCCTATTGGTCGAGGGCGACTTCACGACGGCCTTCAAGGCGGAGAAAGGGCGGTATGACGTCGTCGTCACCCACTTCTTCATCGACACTGCTCGCAACATCATGAGCTACTTCGATGCCATCCACGCTTCACTCAAGCCAGGGGGGTACTGGATCAATTTCGGCCCCCTTCTCTGGGGGACGGGACCTTTTGTCCAGCTCTCTCTGGACGAGGTTGTCGCTGTCACGAAGAGCATGGGGTTCGAGTACGTGGATATCAGCGAGAAATGCGGTGTGGTGACACTGCTGGGAGAGAAGGTTCGCGGAAAACAGGCCGTGTACGGGTTCAACGAGAAGGCTCTCACTAAGAACGCATACTTGGCTCAGGCTTGGGTGGCCAGAAAAGTCAAATGATTCTTTTGCTAGCCAGTGTCACTTTAATCTCACTTGATCGAAGTGAATTTGAGACAAAATGTATCCACTATTGGCCATATTCCAATAGTCCCGAAACATCTTTTAATGGCGGTGAAGAGCGCCGTAGTTTTCACTACTGTCATCGGTGAAAAGATTTGTCAATCGTCTCAAGTTGTTTTATACTGTAAGGGTTAGAAAAAGATGCCGCGGATGCCGACGTTTTGTATAATAAGCTTTGATTGAGAGTGCTTCTCCTGCATGCAGGCGGCCTGCACTATGTTACTTGAGTACATAAAACTAAAGCGTGGCGGGATTCAATTGGCCTAACGGGTGTCTTTTCGCATGAGACCTATCTCTTTCACCGCTTTCCTGCAAAATAGAAAACATCAACAACTACTTGCCTGCAGTGTGCTGTTGGACTGAAAGATGTGCAGATGACAATGCAATCAGATATCGTGTCGCTGTGGTAGAGTACCCGGGTTCCGCCAGAAGCAAGGCTACATTTAAGGGGCAAATCTAGAAATGAAACAAATAGTGGTGTCTCCAAACTGTTTGGGTAACAGATGACAAGTACAGGTCAGACTGGCCATGTACACTCCCCAAGCCCTAAAGACGGTAAAGGTGTATGGCGTAAAATGAATGGCGGGATGAGTAGCGGGATGCAGCATCGGACATGGTTCCAGGGGCATGAACAAACATACCACTCCTGTTTGATACCCAAACCACAAAACCAGTAAAAGGATTTCAATCTTGCACGGCCATAGGACCGTCACATCTCACACCAGTGAACCAAGATTTATCCTTGCCTTGCGCATGATAGCCGTTGAAGAACGTCTGAAAAGCGTTAAATTACACGTGTAGTTCGTCCTAAAGTTGTTCTTCTTCTGATGGGCCATAATTCATTGGTGAGGTTACGCTACTAAGACGGGGTCTCACAGTAAGAAAAAAAAAACGAAAACAAAAAACAGACTACAATCTAAAATTCAATGTATGCAGCACATGCATTAGTGTCTAATGGTTGGGAAAACCCCGCATGATACATCTGGCTGAGCTTCTAGCTTCGACTCTTCTTGTCCTTTTTATCTTTTCTTTTGTCGATTTGAAGGCAGCACCAGGTCCTCATCCCCACAAGGAGCCTAATTGACTGATTACTTAAAACTACAGGTTCAGCCCGCCTGCTGTGGTCTGGCAAGTGTGATATTCATTTCGGTTATGTCTTTTAACATTGATGGTGAACATTTCTGGATCAGACCAGACTATTCTGACCCCGCACCTGCAGTCTGGTCGCCGATCACGAATGACTTCACCAGGTGGCAGTCCGACTCGCAAGGATCATGGACCCATTATTCAAGAAAACTTCTCGATCGAACGGGGAGCTGGAGCGATATATCAATGAACCCGAGTGATCAACTCCTGATTGGTTACAAGAATCGTTGCACTTTTCTTCAGGGCAACTCAGAAGCCAATGCGGATCGGACACATCAGGAATGCGTTCAGATAAGTACAGCAAAATCCTAGCGAACCAGTATCATATGTGCGTGCTAAGGTTGTTAAGAGCACGATGCTGTGTCCGATTTCTTTCTTATCCCCGAAATCAATGGCAATATTCTACGCAATCAGAGTTATTTACAATTTTACAACGCTGCTACACTTGGACCGTCTCTTATCAACGAAAATTGGCTCATCCCCGAAGCTGAGGGGCTCGCTGATGATGAGTTGCTCTTCGGCATGCCCGGCGGCTATTACAATGAACGAGGGCCAAAGAGAAAACAGGCATATATTTGGCAATGCGTAAGTGATAATTCGCAAAGGCGGTCGGCTACTGATTAAGGGTTGAATAGTGTAACTGCGGCCAGGGAGGCATATCCATCAAATCTGAAGCATGTCGCAGCTGTGGATATCCTAGATGCGCATACTGTCCGGTTTCAAAAGTGCGTATTTAGTACGGTGGAACGAAAATGCGAATGGATTCTCATCGATGCGGCAAGTTGGACAACATTGGGGTAACATAATCTGGGGCCACCCGTTGGGGGGGGGATGCCTGGAGATCCTTGAGTGGATGAACCGCCGTGATGTTTCGGAATAGTCGATTCAACGAAATACGAAATTAGGTCTCACGGTGGCTGATAATGCTCTTCCAAGACCTTCAACATTAGGGCATTCTTTGAATTGCCTCATAGGGATTCAATCTTGCCATCTCTGAATCCACTATCAGTGATGTGAACATATAGTTGTTGAACGAGGCGCAGTTGTGCTGGAACGAATGGGATTTAACATGCCATTCAAAGGCAGACTTTGTCCCTAAGCCAACGATGGTTACCTCACGTCTGGATGAGTTTCTGTTGTCAAAGGGAATTGCCCATGGGCCAACGAGAGGAGAATCAAATCTCATCATCCGAGAATTCGGCAACTTACTCACCGGAACTAGCCCCCAGAGATAACAATCTAAGGCCCAATAGTTGAACCGGGGTTTTTCCAAGCGGGCAAGGGACAGATCGTCATCTTGTCACCTGCAATACTTTACTGACCGATAATACACAGCCCCAGAACTTTGATTGGTCTGTCTTGACCGATAATTTACTCCTCATTTCTGATAGGTTTTGGTCATGCAACCAGCTGCACCAACTATACCGCCTTCAGCACCGCCACCTCATGTGGGCCAAAAAACACGCACATGTTTCATGCACTGATAAGCCTCTGTGGAGTTTGTAAAGGATTCAGAACCAATGCAAAGCCGGGTTGAGCCAGCTGAATGAACTCTAAGGGCCAATGGTGTAAGGTTCTCATTGCTGGGATAACTCTGTGTAAATGGGATCCAACTTATTCCAATGTCAAGCTAATAATGGTCAAATGGAGCATTGTGAGGGTTGCCTTCTTTGGGCACAAATACTCTGAATACAGCCTAACAACAACTGAGTTGTACAATAAAGACAACCGCGCATGGTCAAAAAAAGTTTGGGGTCAAACACATTGCTTGCGTGGCTGCCGCCGACTTGTCAGATCATCAGGCTAGCTTGGTTGCCTACGGCTGCCTCACATGGTCTTTGAAGGATACCCTATCGTTCAGCGCTCGATTCTCACCTGGCGCACCAGCCTAGTATCATATTAGTGGTTCGAAAGGAAATGTGTAGGAGGGTGGGGGGTGGGGTTGTAAACTTTTATTGGGTGTAGATGCCCAAATGTCTTCATGGAACAAAGTGTAACATTTTCCAGAAGCCACTCCTTGCCCTTTCATGCTTTGAGGCTCGAAGCTCAGCCCTATGAAGAAGCTGTATTCTGTCAGTTAGACTACAAAATTTCTTCTCACATAGTTCAGGAGGAGTTGGGCAGCAGTTGACAGAAATGCAAGCCCAACATCTCTGGCAGACACTCCAATACAACAGAGACACCAAGAAGCCATTGATACCGCCATGACAACTGTCATATATGAGAAGGTGCCTCCCGGACTCCCATGTTTCTCAATATCATGATTTCTCTTGTCACAAGTGATAAATTTGAAAGATACATTATCATGCATGCGCAATGCAGCAAACAACGACGTGGGCTGACCAGACTTCCGCTTTCGTCTGGGATCGTCCAACGGCGCCGGAGAACTGGGAGAACACGTCATTCATTGATGGAGAGACTAAGGGCAACACCACTGGTCAAAGGCTTCTTGAGGCTTTCTTGGACATCCCCGAACACTCCTCAAGGTCTAACTACGAGCTTTCCGTCTTCAATCAGATATTCGACTCGGACCGACTTGAAAAGATCAGCGACGGAGATTATGAAGACACAAAAGGGTTGACAGTTTGGATTCATGACAGAAACATTATAACGGGCGAGACTCGCCCGTATAATGGTCCAATTGTAACACAGAAGTTTGACGAGGTGCTGAAGCGAGAGGTATGTCGTATCCTTGCAATATGGCATCATCGTCTTGACGATTGAATGCAAGCCGACAATTATGTTGAATAGCGTTTGTCGGACCCGAAACTGACCGATGTTCATATAAGACGCATGTAAGTCTGAAAGGTTTCAATTGAGAGAGTTTCTTGATGACAGCTAATGATATTCAGGTATTTGCCCAACCCATATCCATCGACACTAGGAGTATTGGCTTTGAGCTCCTCACAGCAACACCGTGTTATGATCAGAGAGATGATCTACAAACATCTCAAAGGGGATACTTCCCTATCTGTCGAGTTTGGTGTATGTGGTGTTATACTCAAATCGAGAAGTGCTCTGTATCCGTTAATAGCTAATCATCATTATTAATAGCTTGCCGGAAGGAGTTTCACTTTCGAGTCCCACATCCCATTCTTTGTGCTCAAGACAAGTACAGCCGACAAAAAGGATAATCGAATGACTTCTAAAAGCAAGCAAATCCGAAAAACTCATGACCTCTCTTTCCTCTCAAGGTCCCGTAATGGGCTCGATACCGATACAGCAGCAGCTGCTCTACATGAGTGCCACACCTCAATGGTCATAACTGGATGGAACCTGAACTTCTGGACAGCATGGTGCTTGAATGATACATACTACTACGACGATGATGAAAATGATTGCTGCAATGAGGACATGCTACTGTACTACGTCAAGCCGGACCAAAACGACGATGACGACGACGACGACTCTGGCCACGACTTGGATCCGTTGAGCATTGGAAATCTATCCGCAAATGGCACATCTCCAGAAGATCCACGAGAATACTTCTTGCTTATTCTGAAGTTTAGGATGCAAAAGTACAAAGAAGAGTGGGCCAACATCCTTCACTATGTGAATGACAGTGTCTCTAAGTATGTAAGTACCAAAAGTCTAGTGTAGACGCCAAACATGCATTCAAAGGGTAGCATGGTAGCATCTTAGTTTTGATATTTATTCAATACTTGAGCTTACGCAATCTTCCCCTCTTGTAGGCATAGGGCCGCTCGCCCACTGACGCTAACTCACGGTTTCTTTGCAGCTCTTGGATACTCATATATCACTCTTACGAGAGAAAACAACTCTGGGAAATATAGACGACCACTCTGAAGCGGTACAGAATGATGAAGCTTGGGTGATACAAACCATCAATCTTTTAACCAAGCTTATAGCTGCACTTTCAAAGACAATCAGATATTGCCGCAGGTTTCATTCAAGAGACGCGCGATCAATCACTATGGAATCGGATATCAATATCCCTAGCCGAACGGGCAATACTCTGCATTTGATTTCTCGAATCGTGGATGATTTCGAAGGGTTTCTAGGTGACCTGAACGATTTGAGAATCAAAGTAGAGAACTTCAAATCACAGGTACGTCTCAGCTATCACGAGTGGGAATACACTAAAAGATGCCTGTTCCACCAATTGACATGCAAGACTTTCTAGATAGGGCTACATGTAGCTGTCGACGGCGGCCGAGCAATTGGCCTACAATATTGGAATGTAACAATAGTATGTTAAAACAGCTTCTTAATGTACGACATGCCATGTCCAGCGGTTATAATGAATCGGCTCTATACTCACATACATTTGAACCATCGCTAATGTGTTCTGAACTTCTTGGCACTTGCTAATCCTTGTATTCTACTAACTAGCTCTATTTTGTGTCCCCTCTGGCCCTATCTGGCACCATGATGCAGGCCGGGGTCAAATTTGATCCTCCTGTTTTATGTTTCATTGTTTTTGCTTTCGGGCTTGGGATCATAACATGGGCACTCAAACCATTGTTAAGATTTTTGAGGTGAAGCGATTGCTGCATAGAATTCTGTTCAGATGATTGTGGACAGTGTTACCAGACTAAAGATGAAGAAGAAAGTCCGGCTATCAAGCTTTGAGCAGTCTCCTATGTTACTAAAAAGATTCTATGAGGGACGTTGCGGCAAATAAAAATGGTTGATCTGAATGTCTTTCAAGACGGCCTCGTGTGAATCTTGAACGCAGATGGTTAAAATCAGAATATTATATCCAAAAAGGCTAATAGTCCATGGGCCGGAAATGGTTCAGAAACATGCTGTTACTACTTAAGAATATACTTATGTATCTCGCCTTGCTAGCCGGACTAGTAGCCTCGAACATTTTGAATGGTGCAGCTATGTAGTTGTGATGTGCACTGCGGCAAGTTTTCGATTTACTCCGCCACCATCTATCAACCGTCTAAGTTATAGATCTGTAAGCAGTAAGGTGGCGGGATTAGAAAGTTCTCCCCCACTATCTTGATGTGTGACACCCCAGGTCACATGCGTCTTGCGCCACATGCAACCAACTTGCCAACGGGGACCATCGTCATTGTCTTCGAACGATCGTTCTCTTAAGGCCTTTACCTGACAGCAATCCCCTCATATTCGAAGTCGAGAAGCTTAAACATCCCCCAGAAATCACGAAGAAAACGCCCCTGATTTGTTCGTCGTCAGCGACGAATCGTTGGTCAGTGCCACCAAATCACTGACTTTAACCGGGCATGGCTCAGACATTTGCTCTGGCCAGCCCAGCCTCATTATCCCCACCCGACATCACCAGGAACGACACGAATGATTGCCTAACTACTGTTCTACAGATCTATGAGCTACCCCTTCGTAGAGCACATCATCTTAACCTTCAAGACCATCGCAAATCGAAAAGGGTCTGCTAGAAACACGTTGCGATGCAGATGAGCTCACACGATCCCGGATATGAGCTTAATATTCGTACTATCGACATTATTGTCCTCCCCGAGCCAGGCAGGCTGGAAATCCCCCATGAGCGAGGCCCGAAAACACCCAAGGTTCTTTGGTCATGCGTACGTGCCTCTACTTTTCACAAAATTACACTCCCATAATTTGCTGATGATTCGCCTAGTGTAATTGCGGGCAATCAAGCATCGCCATTAATACAGACCCATGTCCAATTTGCTCGAGCCCTCGATGCGCGTACTGTCCTTTGACAAAGATCAAGAGACCTGTCGGAAAGCAATACCTGCCAGGATTGGGGCAAGAGCAACATTAATCCCGAGGTTGCTATCTGACTGGAGGAAAAACGCCAGACTATGAGCTTAACGCAGCAAGTGACTTGTCGTCCAGGACGCTGAGACGGGCGTTGGGACCGTGCTATGACGGCATGTTTGAGTAGGCAGACAGAACTATCGTTGTTTACAGCTAGGCTACTTCACACCGTCATTTGCAAGGCTTCGCAAAGTGAAAATGCGGTGTCCCAGTGGAATATTCCAAGGTGCGCCGCACGAAGACTAGCGACCATTGTGAGAATGACTGCTATTACTGATGGCATTGTCGCACTTTACCAGCCCCGCATCTCGAAATGGGGGGTTCGGGAGGCCTGTTTAAAAGACAACAGGCATTGGAGGTTTCGATCTATGGAAACCGAGCAACGGGAAGAACCGGGGTGGTGGGTAAGCGATGCGTGAGGTCATGCATGGGGGCAACGTCATCGGAGATAACGTTCATATTGGTGTTTGCTTTCATGTTTACTTTTCCATCCTCAGTTTCTTCTGCAGGCCTGCAGGGGATGTTTCCACTAAATCACATGTTTCTAGATACATCAACTCAATGAGACATAGTTTGAAGAGATTTTCAACGCTATCGTAAGAGATAGGTTCCACTGTATATGTGACGAACTGTCACTCAGCACTAGTGCTCGCAAATTCTCGAAGGTCAGAACTCTCTCCCGGCCAACTACTACAGTGTCGATATCGTCCGCTTGAACGGCAAAACATATACCATTTCTACCGGCCCTCCAGAGTTCCCGTAATACTAGCGGCAATGCTAAAGAGAATTAGAGTTGCATGGGTAGTACTGGTGAAGTGGCACATGCACTAACACAACCGATCGGGAGTATGGGGTAAAGTGAGAAGTGACGAACACACCGTTGCTGCACTTCCCAACACCAAAGAATAGATGATTGTTATTAAAAAAAACGATTGGCTGCTACCTTTTAACTTTGGTGGAAAAGGACGACGTCTCATGAGTGGCATGTAATACGTGTCTTCGTGAGTAGAACTATTACAAAGTTTGTTATAAAAGAAAAGCTGGTCCATCACTAATCAGTCTCCAGCATGTTTCATTTTGCATATGTGTAAGTTCTAGGACTCCAAGGCTCTATTACCAAGTGTGAACAATCAATCTACTGCTCTTGCTAGATACCAAGTCCATGGTTGTCAGAGGTCTTGGGTCGTGCCGAGTATCAGAGGAGTAAACGGTGGGGACTTGGGGGTAGTAGTGGCTTGTTATCCGAATCTGCCTTTTTCCAGCTATCGCACTATCGCACGCTTCCTCCTTTTGTATACCTTCTAGTGGGCTGCGTGCCCTCTAGTGGGTCTTCCGGAGTAGCGATAACCTTCACCCCCGGTTAGGCTTCGTCGGTGCCGTGCCGGTGTCGCGCCGGTGGGCCCCCACGGCCCCCTCCGGGATCCTGACAACGGTGTAGGTCAGTGGAAAAGGAGAACCTCAGCCTCATTACTTGCCAACTGCCTCGGGTAGAGACGCAACGTCAGACAATTTGAGAAGTATCAAGGTTAATGGAGAAGAAAGAAGAAAGAGATTAATAATTCCTGCGAGGCCTGGTTCACCGGCCAGCATACATACCACGGCAAGCCTGGTGGGCGGGCGCCTGCATAATAATACACGAAGAAGCACGAACACAGCCTAAGACACTAATTTAAATTGTATAACCACTGAAATTGAATCAATCCAACGTTGTCCCACCACATCAAGAATATAAAATGGTTTAGGATATTTCACCGAAGTGAAGTTGATTCGGTTTGCTCTCAGATCTTGAACGGAGCCAATGTATACTTCAGAACAAACTGCAACATCCAGCGGTCAGGATATTTTCAGCCCTGTCAGCCTCATTCAATATCCGGGTGCCACAGCTCATTCCTGTCTTCAGGGTCGGCTTTTGTCGTTTTCCAGGCAATTTCACGTCCGAGGTCAACCCCATTAGCCGACTTTTCCCGGTGAAGGATGCCCGCTGCAATACGGACCAAAGAGACAGCAGGTGCCCATATGGCAATGTGTAAGTTAAAAAGTCTTGTGTCACGTCAGCCAAGCCGGCCTAGCTAATCAAAATCACCAAGCAGTGTGTTTGTGGGCAGGCAGCCATGCCCATTCGGTCGGACCCGTGCCGCAATTGTGGCACCCCTCGGTGTGCATACTGCCCCGTAACAAAGGTCCGGGTGCGTATGACTGGTCACCACGTTCTTCTGGAAATTGAAGCAGACGAAGAGGGTGTTGCACGTATCGAAGAGGGTGCTCAAGTCGTGGCAAGTTATGTATGGTTATCTATAAACCTAGTGTCGATCTTCCATCATCCGCTAACTTTCTTGTGCGGAACAAGTGCTAGTGGCTTATAAGCAGACATTATCACTCGGGTGGTGGATTAACGAATGAAAAGCCCGCGCCTGTGTCACTTTGTTATGTGAAGGATAAGATGACGATACTTTCGTTCACTGACCAAGATACGACATGGCTCTAGTAGGAGCGTATTTTCTGGAGGATGGGTGGAAAAGTTCAAAAGTCGAACAGAGTCGTTTAGACCTGTCTACAGCGGTCGAATTAGCTGGCGTTTACGTCCTGGGACAGTGGCTGAGGATTACATCTACCACCCTGAGCATAGGGCTTGGCGTCTGTAGCTGTCACCGGAAGCGATGAAATCATTTGTTACCTCAAACTTTGATCTTACATACTTTGTGCAAAACAAAGAGTGACGTGTGTATCGGATTTGGTGCTGGCGTCGATAGTCACCTGAAACCGGATTGAAATGATAACGAAAGGCAGCCAAGAGGGTCGAGTTTATCGAATGAAGAGATAGAATAGCCGTGTCGACCACAGGCTACCAATAAAACAGAAAGCCCACCTCTTGGGAACCAAACGAGGCAACCCGAGTATCGGGCATCAGTTGGACTCTGTCATCTGGGGTATACCTTCCCGAAAGAGGACAACTAGCCGGGCCAAACCACGTATAGCCTTACCACCTGCCACCTTTGTTTTAAGAACCTGTAGCTCACACGGTGGTATCTGTCTTTCGAGAGGATAAAGTGTTCCTCTGCGGCTTGAAACAGCGAGGTGTATGCGCAACATCTCCAATAACCTGACGTTTCGTATAGTCGTAACTCTTGTTTATTAAAACTTGTCTTTGACCAAACATTTCGGTCAACGCCGTACGTCTTACCTCAGAAGGGGTTGACAGAATGCGGAAAGCCAGGATAAGTCAACTCCAGGATTTCCATCTGCCAGAATTTGACTGGAATCACGAAGAGTTTTCACGCGACGACGAGAATATATTTTGGGTACAAGAAAATTATATCGACTCGGAAACACCGCTCGATACTTTCCTTGAGATTCTCGAACCATCACCGAGGTCTTCCTACGAGAGGCCCGTTATAAGCTCGATTTGCACCAATGATTCCCTCGAAATCCTAAGAAATGACATAGAATCAGTACCGAGCACTCTCGCGGCATGGCTGGACGAAAGAAGCAAGGTCGGAGGGTCACGAGAAGGAAGTGGACCCATGTCAGCTAGAGGGCTCTACGAGAAGTTGAAACGCAAAGTACGTCCAATCACCTAAAGTCTATCAAACGAAAGCTCCCCTAATAACAGTCCTACAATGTTCCAGCGATTCGAAGAAGATCATCTACCGGACGCGGAAACCCGATGCATGTATGATATAGCACCAGCACGAGATGAAAGCTTGCTGACCTTGATTTGTTTCTAGCTACTTACCCGACCCCGGGACTTGGGCTGTAGGCGCACTGGTATGGACTGCGTCACCGACCTTTGCCCCTATATTCCGGGATCTCCTCTGGAAACATCTCATGTCACGCAAGTCATTTAGTGGTACTTTCAGCGTGAGATAAATTTTATCTTTTTTCTCTTAATCGTGGCATGTACAAGAGTCTGTGCTCATCGATGTTATCATCAGCCAGGGCCCTTCGCTTTCAAACTCGAGTTTCACATCTCGTATTATGTGTGGGGAGAAGGAACCGAGATCCGGAGAGACATACGCAAAAAGCCCAATGGAGATCCTTGGCGTTCCTCGACCAATCTCTCATTTCTTCCTCGCTTTCAGGGCTCTAGTGGCGATGGCGGACCTACTGACTGTTTGTACGAGGCTCAAACCTCTCTTACCGTTAGCGGGCCCAACTCCTCAATCTGGACTGCGTGTCTTTTGACAGACACGTATTTCCGGGACCAGATGGACGTCAATGACGAGGAGCTTCTTTCATATCACGAAGCTGCGGGTATCAACGATGGTCTTTACTATGATCCTTTGACAAGTGGAGATATTGACGCAACTGTGCCAATATGGGATCCGCGTGAGTACTACTGTCTGGTCCTCATGATTCGTATAAAGCGGATCAAAGAAGAGTGGTTCAAGGTAAATTACCATCTACAGAACAGGATAGATGCTTATGTGAGTGGCGGACTTGAACATTGTGACTTCTATCGAAAAAGCTTATTAACAGTTCCAAAGCTTCAGGTACCCGGTATCCCAAGATCTACAGACGTTTCGTCACTTGGATCTGCTCAAGGTCAATCAAGAGCAATTGACGAGACCTATCACTGGATCAAGCAGGTGACAGACCTTCTGAATCGATTCATAGACACCCTTTCACAAGTACTGGAGTCATGGACTTGGTTTGCGGATGGCGGTATCTCGCACTTTGCAAATGGTGCGTCTAACAAACTGAAACTGCCCATCCAAAACATCAACACGATTATGGAAACCGATCTCCATAAAGTCTTGACCGATCTGGATGTTCTTAGGGCTCGGTTAGACCGGTTCAGAGCCGAGGTAATTTCACTTCCACGAGGTAAGAATAAACAGGCTAATCGAATACAATTCTTTTTTAGCTAGAACTATACCTGCAAATTGCAAGCAATCAAGCCATTATTTTGCAGTACTGGAATATCAACATTGTGAGTTAAACCTACATTTGACTCGCTTTAGTTCAGCAAAGAGACTCATTATCCCATAGCTCCACTTCATATCACCTATAGCTCTATCTTCTGGCATAGTGCAATCAGGAATTATTGTATTTGAGCCAGCACCGGTGTGTTTCGCCATTCTATCGGTCATCATCTGGATTGTGACATATGCTATCAAGCCAGCTTTGATATCGTGGTACACATATCGTCAACTCCCAGCGCAGGGTTCCAGCGCACATGTACCCTCCCTAGATATCATCGGTGGCACGCTTGCAACTGCCCGACAAGAACCTATCTTGGCACTACCCCAACCCACCTTCTCCAGGCTGGAAACTAAACGGCGGAAAAGGGATGGTATCAAGACAACATGAAGAAGGGGGCTCAGCGGGGTTTTCAACGTGCTTTCTTTTTACTTCGTCTAGCAGAGAAAGCAGATACAATAAATAATTTGACTGTAAGTAGACGCGAAGACGACCTTAGAACCTTCGGATTCCCATAATCAATGCGTACGACTCAATCATTCCTGACTATCCAACATGTTCGAGACTGAATGACGTTTGCCGTTAATTTGGCGTTGCTTCTAGACGGAAATATTCTTCTGGCTAGATGCATTTTATCTGTATTATGTCATAACACTGGCTCTCGATATCTGATTAAAAGCGAGGTAACCCTGGGCATCCTTACGATCCCCCCACCTGACAGCGCAGGGTTGCGCATTTCCACTCATATGAGGAGGAAAGAGGAGGAGGAAACTATTTCCAAGCGGCATCAAACTACGTCATTATTTGAAGCCGGTCTTTGACGGATCTGAGCTGTCAGGTAGCTTTGGGCTTAGAAATATTGATGCCTGATCTTACTCTCGTACTTTGGTCAGATTAGGGTTGCACTGCATGCATCTTATGCATGTCATCTCTGCCCGAAGATATGTATACATGGATAGTGATTGGCCTCTCTTGACACCTTCAACTCACCGAACAAGAAATCGAAAGGTGGTTGTGTGCTTTACATTTCGCCTTGTTTCTAACTTGGTGTGTGACACTGCAGGTACTTGTGACGCCGTTAGACGTACGCCGGGTATAATGTGGAATTGTAACCCAATATTCTGGGCGCTGCGTTGGCTCCCCAGCCTCGTAGATCTCATTTGCGATTATCAGATGACTTGGTAGTTCTTGGTGATAGGTCGCCCGCTGACGAATTGAGTTTAACACATCGGATAGAGGCAGCCACTGACACGAGTGAGTTGAGCATGAATCCTTGCAGAGCGGATTGCGAAATTATACTTTTTCCATCCACGTGCATTAGGTAGCTTAAAAAGTGGCGTTTGCCTTGGGATACCGAGATGTAGGTTGTTGTACTTCTATTGGGGATCTTTTCTCTGTTATTATGCACAGTAGGTTTCTCATAACCAATGGATGAAGTGGAATCCCATACGTATCCGCGGACTTTCGGTGGTATGCCGGAGCCCGGTAGCATCTTATCGCAGACCCAACTTCAGCGGAGCATCCACCAAAACCTCTCCAGGAAACGGGATCTTGGCCAGCCCCCTCGCCCAGTCGAGGGCGATGATGGGAGCCGTCTCAGCGTCTCGAGACCACCGCATCTTCTTGACGAGATTACCCAACCGTCTCACGGCGTGGCGGTTGCAAGTGATGGTTGTATGGCCTGTCTTCCAGCTGAACAGGAACGAGGAGCAGTTTGTGTCGTTGAGGGTTGGCTCGACCGCAAGGACTACCTTGGGCAGCGTCCCCTTATGAACTTCCCATTCCACATGCTTCCTGCGGAAGTCCTCCATGATGCGGATTGGCAGCTGCAAGTCATCTGGCACTTGGTGGCAAGAGAACTTCTGCAACTCAGAGACCAGGCGCCGGCGTCGACCCTCAGTTACTTCGTCGTCCTTTCCCTCCCAAGGCCAGCCATCTTGACTCAGAACCCGCTCGAGAAAGGCCATTTTATCGTCTTGTTTCCCCCTGGGGGTCTCCTGCCCCAAGAGAATTTCCACTCTGGCGACCTCAGATTCCGTAGAAGCATCGTACACCATTCTAAGACACGTCTCTGCAGCCTCACGTGTACAGACGAGAGCGTGGCCACGGAGGACAGGGTACAGAGATTTAGGGAGCCTGGGACCATGCTCCGCCTCGTCTACTACGTCTTCTAGAATCTTGGGGCGCCACTTTCTCTGGGAGCTTTGATTATGAGAGATGTCCGTGGTCAAAGCAACCAAGATGGACGTGTCGACATTAAGAATAGGAGTCAATGGTGGCGCATCTATAGTGTTCCCAAGACTGAGGAGATTTGAGATGGCTATCTCGAGGGGCGGAGGCGAGGTCTGGGTCTCATCGGCGCATTCCAGGTCAAGGAAGATTGCCTCGTCGCCCAGATTTGCAATGCCTTTGAAGAATCTGTCTATGGCGGGAACTCTGCCACGGCGAATGTTGGGAAGTACAATGCGTATCCGGTGTCTGTATCCACCATGAATATCGCGGGCGGCCGCCAAAAGCTGCTTGGCACATTTCAGGACCTCGATCTGTGTTTCGTCGTCGTCGAGAACCTCTGCTAGTTCTACATCATCATCCTCGTCATCGGGGCCATCCCAGGGAAAGTCTGCCTCGGCCATCTGAGCCAGAAGAGCCTTTTCGGTCGTGCTGAGGACTCGCATCCACTCGTGCCCATTCTCGACAATGGCACTGACAAAAACAGAGTGCGGGGCGCCCTGCTTCGAGTAGGGCACGGCGAAACGCAACCAAGTGACTGAGCGGCACTTCTTAATCGCCAACCAGTGATTCTCATAGGATGAAAGCTCTCCTTCCAACAGCCTAAAATCTCGAAATAATGATCCCTCGGTTTCCGAACCAGGCTCGGCAGGCTCCTGGCATCGCTGTAGCAGAGACTTGGCGCGGTGATGCTGGTTCATGTTGGCTTGCCAGAAGGTGCTGAACCCGGGAATGTAGGCGTGCCAGTGGTTATTCACTTTCATGGCTTGTGCCTCGACGGCATGGCGCAGATGTTCCAGCTCTTCGCATAGCGTCGCGGCCCGCTGTATGAGATCGTGGGCTGTCTTGGTTAGATCTTGGGACTCGGCGGCTTCTTCAGACGAAGGCATGGTTGTGCGGCCCTCATCCTGATCCAATTCCATGAGCGAGCATAGAATTATTACGGGAGCGTGATGCTGTCTCTCGCCCTCAAAGCGGTTGGTAATGTTTAGCTTGTCGGCGACGTGTGGTGATGTGTCGATGAGCTGGGTGAATGGAATAACCGGGTCGGCTGAGTCATGGCGTGGAGAAAAGGGCCACGCGATGGAGGAAACAGAAATAACGACGCTGAATTGGTGAGACAACAGATACAGAGACTACTGGAAACGTGTAAGGAGAACGCCGAGTTGGTTCAAGCCACCAAAAAAGAAGCAGTTGCTAATCTTTCTATCAGAGCCGGCTGGTTGGTTCGAGTCTAGGTAATGGGAGTTGGGAAGAATGAAGGAGACAAACGCCCTGAGTGGGGACACGTGATAGATCACGTGATATGCCGCGTATAGGTACTTTGATGAATGTCACTCGGATCATCATGTCATGTCATGTAGACCTCCCTCTCCCATGTACGGATCCCGTGACTTGAACTTCTGCAACACAGAAACACAGAAACCGGGCCTGATTTTGCCTATGAGTTCATAATCGTCAAAATTATTTTTTTCTGCTCGGTAGCCTAAGTACTGTGCGTGACTTGGTATGAGCCCACAGTTATGTATGCTACGCTTGCATTGTATCGCTACTAACCAAGTATGCACCAGGAATACCGAGGAGAAACAAACCGCCAATCAAACAACATTATCGGTCGACCACGACTCAACAACTTCCGCGAGAGTGCTGTCACTGCCAACGTTCCCCGGGAATACGACATACGGCACTCCGCGATGCCGACTCGTTTCCTCGTCACACCTCCACAAGGGAACACCAGGTGCAGCTTGGCCCAAGATGCGCGCTCTTCTCATCTTTAATCCCTTGGTCGCCGCATCCGACGAAGTGATGCCGCCCTTCGCAATCAAATACCGCGGTCGAACATCAATCTTTTCTACCAGCTGAACCAGAGCACGCGCCACCCTGGATCCAATCTGGAGCGAGCTGAGCGCATCATTCCCCTTGATCAGCTTGCGCGATGTCATGACAAGAACATCCTCACCCGCCGCCAGCCTCGATGCTGTTTCAGCTGCCGCCGTCGTAACCACCTTTTCCGCCGCCTCGGCAGACTCGATCAGTTCAGCAACGTCAAGCTCAATAACATTGAGCTTGTCGCCTCGCCTCTCCCGGAGGACCCTGAGCTGTGCTGTCGTCTTCGGAACATACGAGCCAGCAACTATCAACCCCCCCGGCTGCTTGATCCCCCCTTTGACCGACACTCCAAGGTCGGCCATCGTTAGAGGCGGGATACCTGTGATTCCCAGCCGAGAAGAGACAAAGGCGGCACCTGTGCGGTAAAGGTACCGTCTCCCCTCCTTCTCCGCCTCAAGCAGGCCCGCCACAAAGACATGCATGTCGGACTCGGCAGCAGCGTTGACAATGACAACCGTGTTTGACCCTGGCGCTACCGAGAGGAGCTTCTTCGTGACGCCCGCGGGTCCTCCGATCCGGATTTCATCAAGCGTGACCGAAAGGAATGACGAATCATCAAACCGCGAACCGCACTTCTCCAGCACGTATTTCCGCAAGTTGGAGTTCTTGTAGCCAAAGGTCGCGTCTTGTGCGAATGGTGTTTGGCTTGCAGGAACCAACACGTCATCCTCCTTGACGTAGTGCACGTCGTCGATGGTGTATCTGCCACCCTGGTAAAAGAACGGTGTGATTACCCATCCATCAAACTTGCCGAGCGCTTCCTCGGCTGCCTCGGGCTCTTCAGGAAGGTGTCCTCTCAAGGTCGAGTCTCCGCGAAGGACAATCTCGAATGCCTTGTTGGACTTTTCGGCCGCTTCCTTGACGTTCTGGCAGATGTCAAGGATAAGCTGCTTTGCTTCGGCGGAAGGTAGGGCTCGGGAATTGGTGAGAATGAAGAAGCCCGTTGGGTTGAGGCTGAATTCGTACTCCAGTGTTGCCGCATCCCAAACGGTCAAGACATCGATGTTATGGCAAGTCTGCGTACCTGTTGGATCGTCGTCGAGCACCACGAGGACTGGTACTTCGCCGTTGTCGACGACTTTTCGTGTTGAGCTAATCACGTCTCTAGAGAACTCATCGGGCAATGAATCGATCGTTTTCTGCGCTGGGAGAGCTTTCTCTTGGCCCGTTTCAACCTTGGAGTTCTTGGTGGCCTTTCCATCGGCCTGCTCGGTCTTTGGACCAGCATTGCCTGAGACGGAGAGCCCAGCTAACTCCCATAGCCTAACGACGCCTGCATCTGACTCTTTGGTCCATCCGTGAGAAGCCCCTGAAAGGTATAGGGTGTGGGCTGCCGATGATACTGGAGCGAAGTAGGTCAGGCGCTTTGCCTCGTCAAGAACGATGCCGAGGTCCTTGACAAAAATGGCAAGGGCCGAGTGCGGCGTCCAGTCGGCGTCAAGCATTTGGGGCACTCTGTTCTCAAACATCCAACTCCATGCTGCCGCACTACCGAGGATTTCGAACGCACGTCGTGTGTCGAGCCCGAGGCGGGCGGCAAACGCCATCGCTTCGGCGGCAGCAGCGATGTGAACACCAGCCAGCAACTGGTTAATCAACTTGACAGAGGAAGCGGCGCCGACGCCTCCTTGTACATGGCACAGGTTGCTCGGAGTTCCTGTCATGGCCAGCAAGGGGCCGTTCGCCTTGGAAAGCACGGCGTCGTCGCCAGAGCAAATGATCTATAAACCATTAGCATCCATCGCACCTGTCTTCGCCCAACGTCAAAGAGTGCCTACCGTGAGCGTGCCGTTCGCAGCGCGGACAACGCCGCCACTGACTGGAGCATCAATGAGCTTGACCCCCTTGCCGAGATTGACCAGTTTGCTCTCCAGCTCTCGCACAAACGAGGGCGGCACTGTCGAGCTCAGGATGACAATGGCACCGTCGGGCAGTGACTCTGCAGCCTTGCCGGAGCCGAAAAGGACGTCGTCAGCTTGTACCGCGTTCTGCACCATCAAAACTAGGATGTCTGCACCCTTGGCGGCCAAGGCGGGGCTATCGGCCTTCGAAGCGTTGCCTCCGTTGGCCAAAAACTTATCGATGGCAGGCTCGTACACATCATAACCGTGGACAGCGAACCCGCAGCGAAGAAGTGAGGCTGCCATGCCCTGGCCCATCGCTCCCAGGCCAACCATACCGACTTTTGAAATCTCCATAGGTGTGGTGCTTGGTGTCAGCTTCTCTTGTTCGTTCAGTCGAACGGCCTGGTCTTTGACGATGTTCTGCTGACCAGGAAGGAATACCCGGACAAGGCCTGAATCATCCTCGGCGCCATAGCCCTGAGCAGCTCCAGAGATGTACAACTGCTCAGCTACAGAAGCGAGAGGGGCGGGGAATTGCAGAGCTCTTGCGGTAGACACGACAATACCCTGTTCAGATCCGTCAGCTTATGACTCTAAGTCTGACAAGAGAGGGAGGCTCACCATGTCTTTGACAAAAATATTGAGAGCAGACAGGGGGGTCCAATCCCCATCGAGCATGTGCGGCACGCGATTTTCAAAAGCCCACGAGTTACCCGCGGCGTTTGTAATGATGTTGTATACTTCGCGGGTATTCAAGCCCGCCTTGGCTGCCAGGCCCATGGCCTCGGACGCAGCTGCAATATGTGTCCCAACCAGGAGCTGGTTAACCATCTTGATCTTGCTGCCAGCCCCCGGTCCACCGGGAATGACGTAGAGCTTTTCGGACATGTCGCGCAAGACTCGATCTGCGCGCTGCAGCGCCTCCGGAGCGCCGGAAGCAAAAATGCTGAGTGTACCTTCGGCTGCACGCTTCGTGCCACCGGATACGGGACTGTCAAGGACTAAAACATCGTGTCGGCCCGTTGCCGCGATGCGGGGTGCTAACACCTCATGGTATCTAGGCGGCACGGTTGAGCAAATGAGCACGGTGGCATTCTCCGGTAATGCTGCGGGAATGAGGTTAGCAGCCTGGCCCGGCTGAGGGCTGGTGACATGCATGAGAAGACTCACTTTGCACGGCACCCGTCTCATTATTGAAGAGTATATCATCAATTTGCTGAGCATTGACAGCCATGCAGACTAGGATATCGCTGGTCTCCGCCACCTCTCGGGGCGACTGGCCCACGGAACCACCGCCTTGCGCAACAAACTTCTCTGCGCTCGGCGGATAGACATCATAACCCTGCACTCTATATGAGGGCTTCTTTGCAAGATTACATGCCATGCCGAAGCCCATGGCACCCAGGCCAATGAAGCCGACGCGTGTCGACTGACTGTCGGGGGAAGCCATCTCGATTTACGGTGGTGGGGCGTTTACCAGAGTCGTCGGCGACGGTTGTTCCGAAAACCACGAGTGCTCGGCTCGAAAATGGGCATTTCGGAGGTCCAGTCATCTTATAGCACCCACGTTCCCCAGACGGGGCAGGGCGCATGCTCGGCAAACCAGCCGCGTTTTTGCGGACGGAGATCTGGCGAGAGCCTTGTCGGGTGGAAGATGGCAACCGAGGTGGAACACACGCATACTACGTAGCCACCACACAAAATGTGGGACCTGGTATCTCTTCTTTTCGATACAAGGCGTGTGAGGGGGGGATGAGACAGAGAACGGACTAAACTGCCACGGCCGGCCAAGAGAGGGAGGGAGAGGCAGTGTGTAGGTCGTGGAATTGGGATACACCATGTCGCGATGTCACCATGTCGTGTTGCCCATATGGACGTGGCTGCTACACTAGAACATGTGGAGACTAGTGTTTTGACCCCGCACGGTGAGAAGTCCGCCCCGCTTATAAACATAGCAGATACGCGTGTCTTTTCCCTCTTTTCTCCCCTCGGCCATCTTCCCGCCCTCCATCTTGTCCACCTCGTCCACCTTTCCCTTTCAAAGGCCCAGAAAAGCGCACCCGGACTTCTATCCTGCGGACCCTTTGGACCATGAAACGTGCCAGAATTGACGGTCCGGACAAGACTCCGTCCTCTTCTACCTTGGGAGCCGCCTCCGGCCAGCCGGTTCACCTGCCGAAGATCTCAAGAAAAATCCGAGCTTGTGAGTACCAGCATTGCGCACGATCCTTCTTGGGCTAAACCCTCCATCGATGGACATACTCCTTTCTCTTGCTTCCCCCCCCCCCCCCATTTTGATCGGAGGTACTCGCACTGGAATAGCCGCTGATCCAAAGAGAGATAGGCCAAGAATGCCAGAACCGCAAGATCAAGTGCGGCATTGAGCCCGGCCAGAACCAGTGTGCTCGATGCGCCCGCCTTGGCCTGCAGTGTGTAGTCAATAAGAGTCTCCAAACCTTGCTTGACAGCGAGAATGAGTGGAAGACCAAGATGGAGATGCAGCTCCAGACGCTACAAGCGTCCATGGTGGAGGTCAGGCGGGCCTTGAATCTGCCACAGCTTGCCCCGGTCCAGGCTTATCAGCACGACGCTACCGGCATGTCCCAGAGTCCTGTCAATATTACCGTATCACAAAGCAGTCCCGCCACAGGTCCATCTCCGGTCCGGCCTCCAGACGTAACGGCCATGACGAGGGAGAACTCTCCTGAGCAGACGGCGCAAGATAACGCCGAGGACCAGGCCATAGTAAGCGCGCCAATGGCCAGCCTCTTCGAGGTGACGAAGCTGCGGAACATCCGGAGCGACCCCGGAGCCCGGGTTCGCCTCCCATCAAGCCGAGCGCAAGAGCCCGACTTCATTGCACAGGGCAAGTTTAGCGTTGAGGAGGCGGAGCAGCTCTTCTCCACCTTCCGCGGGACGCTCAATGCCTACCTTTGGGGAGGCATTGCGCTGGTTCACGACAGCCTCACCGCGACGCGCATGTCCTCGCCTCTTCTCACGGCTGCCATCCTCGCCGTGACGGCGCTGCACGAGCAAGATGATGGCCGTGCCTTTGACATCTGCTACCCCACCTTCCTCGAGCTAGCCAGTCAGACCATGTTCGACCGATACCATAGCCTTGACGACGTCAGGGGACTATGCATCGGTGCCTTCTGGCTCTCCGACATCAGTTGGAAGGTGTCTGGTCTCGCTGTGCGTATCGCTACCGAGTTGAACCTTCACCAGTTCTGCGCCAAGGCGCTTAATAAAGGACCGCAGCATGTCGAGAAAGCAAGGCTGTGGTACTTGCTCTACGTGTGCGACCACCACTTCAGCATCGCGTATGGCAGGCCTCCCGTCATAAATGAGGATGCGACCATTACCCATCATGAAGCTTTTCTCACGCTGCCAGGCATTACGCAAGCGGACTTCCGTCTACATAGCCAGGTTGGTGTCTTTATCATTTTAAGTCGGGTTTTCCACACATTTGGCCCAGATACATCGAGGCAAGTTGCCAGAGATGAGTTTGAAGCACTGAAGAGATACGACGCCGACCTCGCTCGATGGAAGCTCCAATGGGAAACTCGGCTAGGTAAGAAAGCATCATCAGCCTTGCTCTCCCTGACACGACAGGTCGTCGGCTAACCTTTTGGCAAGTGCCGGACAAGCACATAGCACAGTACCCTGCCAAGGGCGTCACCCTTCACTACCACTTTGCCCGTCTCTTGTTGTTTTCCATCTGTCTGCGAGGTCTCAACCCGTCGAACCCGTCGGACCAATACGCCATGTCCGATGAGCGCCGCGAGTTCATCAACCTCGCCATAGCAAGCGCGTCTGCCGCGTTAGAGCTGATCCTGACAGATATCGACATGCGCAGGGCGGTCATCGGGGTGCCACTCTACCTTCTGACCACCATTGCCTATGCTGCCATGTTCCTGATGAAGGTTCACGCCCAGTGGAAGCCTGCGCGGCTGAACATTCGTTACGACGAAGTAGTCGACCTTATTGAGCGTGTCGTCCAACTGCTGGAGGAGACCAACCGTTGTGCCCGTCACGTTGCACACTACATCGGACGCGGTCTCAGCACCATGCTTGATAAGTTCAAAGAACGAGGTCCCCAGGAGAAGCAGTACATTGCCGGGAGCCAGCCAGGGCAACCCGCTCAACCGGGCCAACCTATCTCTCAGGTCTGGAACGAGGGGGATATCGGCCAGGATTGGAACCAATGGATGTTCAGCGGGGAGATGATGAACAACTATGGAATGGGCCCTGAGCAATACCCGCTCAACATGCTAGACTTGCTAAACTCCCAAATGCCTGGCTGAATGACAATATCACCTACTGAGATGACAGACGCTATGGAGCCCCATTCATTTGTGGCTTTATTTCCAACCCCCAACCTGATATGCAACATTCGTGATGCTTGTCTTGTGGTTGATCGCGGGGAAATCAAATGGCGGGATGAAATCCGGATGCGGATGGCTCGGGCTGAAGGCCGCTGTCCCCCTTCTTGTCTTTGAGGCTCGGGAAGAAGTCCGCCCTGGGAGGGCCGTCTCAGCGTGGATCCGGATCATCTCGCGACGTTTGTAGTCCAATCATGCCGCGTTTAGCGCCGTGATGATGGATCATCGCCTGATCTCAACGAGATGAGAGGCCATTCCCTCGCGTCCGCTCCAGACGGACGGCTCCTCACCGCGGGTATCGAACATCCACCTTGAACCCCCCTTCCCGGCTGCCTCCCCGTGTCTCTTTACCCAACATCTACCCCGTGGGGAAGAGAAGACAAGCTGAATTACCCCAGACGGGTATGATTCGCGCTTTGACCAATACTGTTAACATATATCCAACTTTCTGATATTACCACCGTTTTTGCATGGGGTAGAAGAAGGCTTCATCCCTCAACCTCAACCTCAACCTCGTGGTCGACTCTTCGCGATTCCCAAATAAACCTCAAGCCCGTCCCCCTCCCCCATCTGCGACGAAAAGGGGCGATTGCGCGACGCGTTTTCGCTCGCATCTCCATATCGCAACACTATTCGATAGCCAACCCACTGTGGTGGTTCAAGCCTCTCGGTTAAGCCGCCGCCGCCACCACCACCACGAGTCAAGGAGGGGCGACACAAGGGACGAACGACGGTGACAAAGCGCCTAGGGAGGGGGCCATAGCGGAGAAAGATGAGTTTCGAGAATGGTCGGAAGCAGTCTCTCGAGATGAAGGAAGACAAACACGCGCCTGTCGTCAACGAGGCGGACGCCGAGCTCGCCGAGGCCCTGAGGAACTACGTTCCCGGCACGCGGGAGGAGAAGCAGCTCGTGAAGAAGATTGACCTGTTTCTGGTATGTGCCGCGACGCGCTTTGTTCTTTTTTCCCCACTGTCGTTGACGGGTCCTAACACGGCCGAACCCAGATGCCTATGCTTTGGATCATGTATATCCTGAATTACGTGGACCGCACCAACATTGTAGGTTCCCCTTTTTTCTTCTCCCCCCCTCCCCTTCCCCATCACGAATAGGTGCAGGGAGGGAGGAAGATGCTTGAAAAAGTTTCCCACGACGGAGATCACAGACCACTGAAGTTTGTCGGCGCGTGAACTAGGGAAATGCCAAGATCGCGGGAATGCAAAAGGATCTCGGCCTCACCGACGACGGGTACGCCTGGGTGCTGTCCATCTTCTTCTTCGGCTACCTCATCTGCGAGGTGCCCTCGAACATGATCCTCAGCCGCAGCCGGCCGTCCGTTTTCCTCCCGGGCATCATGCTCGTCTGGGGCGCGCTGAGCGCCCTCATGTCCGTCTCCAAGAGCTACGGCGCGCTGCTGGGGTTCCGCTTCGTCCTCGGATGTGTCGAGGCCGGTTTCTTCCCCGGCGTCTTGTATCTCCTGAGCTGTTGGTATACCAGGGCTGAGCTGGGTATGTGATATATCGCCCCCACCCCTCCCTCGCGCGCATGGCATGCTGCTACGTATTGACGCAACCGCGACAAAAAATGGGCCAAGGGGCGCACGCAGGGGCTGACCATCTGCAGGCAAGCGTTTCGCCATCTTCTACACGGCCGCCGTCCTCTCCGGCGCCTTCGGTGGCCTACTCGCCGGCGCCATCACGGCGAACCTCCACGATGCGCACGGCATCGCCGGGTGGCGCTGGTTGTTCATCGTCGAAGGTGTGGCCACGGTCGGCGTTGCCCTCATCGCGTTCTTCGTGCTCCTCGACTACCCCAGCACCGCGCGGCAGCTGACGCCGGGCGCAGCGCCAGCTCGCGAGCATCCGCATCGTCGCCGACGGCATCGCCTCGGGCGGGCAGAGCCGGAAGCGGCTCTCGCACTGGAACGCCTTCGTGGCGGCGGTGGCGGACCCGCGGACGTACGCCTTCGTCCTGCTCTTCATGCTCGACGTCGGCGCCGGCACCATCTCGTACTTCATCCCGACCATCACGCTGACGCTGGGCTACGACACGGTGACGGCGCAGTACATGACGGTGCCAGTGTACGCCGTCGCGTCCGTGTGCCTCAACATCGTGGCGTGGAGCTCGGACCGGCGCGCGGAGCGGCGGTGGCACGTGGCGGCGCCGCTGGCGCTGGGGTTCGCGTGCAGCGTCGTGTGCGCCGCCGTGCAGGCGCCCGTGGTGCGGTACGTCATGATCTGCTTCGTGGCGGCGGGCATCTGGTCGGCGCTGCCGCTGGTGCTGTCGTGGGCGAGCGGCGTCGTGAGCCTGCCGCCCGAGAAGCGCGCCATCGTGCTGGCCATGGTCAACGCCTTTGGCAACTTCTCGAGCGTGTACGGGAGCCGGATCTGGCCGAGCCGGGACGCGCCGGCCTACCGCGTCGGCTTCGGCGTCACGGCGGCGTTCCTGGGCGCGGGCATGGTCATCGCCTTGCTGATGCCCGTGTTCATCCGGTGGGTCGACTGGAAGGGGACCAAGACCGAGAGGGAGGTCCTGGAGGAGGAGGAGGAGGAGGAGGAGGATCGGATGTAGAGAGAGAAGACAGCAATGCCCTGGTACGGGTGATCATATTCTGCAACTTTGCAACTACTAATTGATTCTACCGTTTTTTGGCACAGCTCAAAAATATCCTCAAGTAAACATACGTGGACCGTTCCATCATCAGATTTGAACCATGTGTATCCAGGATAAGCCCTAGGAATACTCACGCTGTGTGGCGTCGGATATCGATCCAGGTCGCCAGCTCGTCTTTGGCGAACAGAGCTGGTTTCACACAACGTATCCCTTCAGCCTGCAGTTGACAATCAAGCTTCACTGATTTGATGATCTGGCTGACGCGTCAGCGGCACAGTCTGCCTTGCGCAACGTTCAATTGAGACGTGTGTCTGTGTCAAGCTACGTATCTGTTCTTAATATATGATGGGGACTCATGGCAATATAATCGTCGGCACACGTCAGACTGCAAAATCTTCCCATCTTACCACATATCCATCATCTCACACAACCACCACGATTGTTAGTTGAGGTCGTTCCTACATTCGTTCGTATTACTGACAACTGGCGTTTCCAGTATCTGCGTATCTCTCCTCGATGCTCTCCAATTCTGAAAATAGTACCTCCCGCCGACGAAGGCTCTGGGAACAGCTTCCTTCCGGCTGGAGGAGGTCAGCAACGGTCAATGTCGTGCTATTGTCAATATCACTGCTTCTTCCAATCGGTATCTTGGCCGCCGCGATCTTCTCGACTGGCGACTTCTGGCAGGCCTGGATGTTCTACGAGGCGGAGTGCAAGAGCAGCAGTGTGACCGCGACCGACACTGGGCTCCATTTGCTCCTCAACGCCATCTCTACGGTTATACTCGTCTCGTCCAACTTCTTCATGCAGGTTCTGAACGCGCCATCGCGTAAAGAGGTAGACGACGTCCACGCAAAGGGCGACTGGCTCGACATATGCATCCCGTCATGGCGCAACGCGTTCCGCCTCTCTTGGTTCAAAATTATATGCTGCCTGGTTCTCTTCTTGACCTCTCTCCCTATTCACGTGGTATTCAACAGCATCATGAGCGATTATCACCTAACAATCGCGGCCGAATCTTTCACCACTGATGCGAGCGTCTTCTTTCTCCCAGGCTCTGGTCTGGTGACTAGTAACGACTACTCATGGCCCCGGCATACGGGTATACCTCCTCTAACATTTCAGGAGTATTACAGCAAAAATGAGTCCTGCTTAGCCTTATCGAAGAATGTTTCGGAAACAGCCGTTCGCGCCAGAGGGTGGGCGAGATTAGAGCCCTCGGAATGTAGAAAGATGTATACCTCAGAGGCTTGCTCCGGATTACGAGACTACCGCGACGTTGTTTTGGTTGTTAAAAGGCCAAGGGTGGAAAGGATCGGAGCTGTGGAATCTGGCCGGCGACGAACTCTGGCAATCTGTCGTCCCACGAGGCGAACTAAACACTCTATGGTTTTCCACGACGTGCTGAATGACTGGCACGCTGCAGACTGTCAAGGATAGTTGCAGTAGCTACTGTAACTTTGAGAGCAGTGAAGTGGGAGAACGATGGCTGATAAACATAACCAATTGGTACCCGAAAGCTCTCAAAAGGAGTTACCATGGCAGGAGTAGATGGAACGAACCTCTCTATTCAAAGCCAGGCAACCGTTCTTTCTTCGGTCTTCAATACAATTCGTCATACTTTGTCGACCAAGATGGCTTACAGTTCCTCGAGGTATCCTACTGCCTAGCAGAGCCGAGAGAGGCCACCTGCGCCGTTGCTCTGTCAAAACCGCTTCTTCTTGCCGTGGTCTTATCGGTATCCTTAAAGGTACTTACTTGCGTCATCTTCATCTGGGTCCTTGGTCCAGAAGAGTCTCTCGTTAGTCCAGGAGACGCAATCTCATCATTCATATCTGTGCCGGAGGGCAGAACATATGAGTCAGGGCCGGTCACGCAGAAACACATCCGTACAAGGACCCGAGAGATTGAACCAAGAGAATTGTATCGGCCGCCTTTGGCCATTCCTCGGGTGAGTCAACGACATGGAAGGATGACAGCGGTGACTCTCATGACCTAGATATGGACGTATAATATATTAGCATTCGGCATTGTGGCATCAGGAGTCGGTGTCGCGGTTCAAACGAGGAACGAAATACCACTGTAAGTGACCTGAAAGAGGTGGAACTCTGGCTAACTTCTAAAAGGCAGTGGGTTAAGCTAGATGTCGACGAAGCCAGCAGCACTCTCAGGGGCGTTGAAAGTGGTAATGGCTTCATCAGTTCGGTCTTGACCGGTAATGTGCCTCAATTGTATTTGTCGTTTTGGTACTTGGCGTACAACTCCTTGATAACCCGTCTGGAAATGAGTTATGAATGGGCTCTCTTTTCAGTCGAGTATCGGTCGCTGCGAGGAACTCATCCAAAGTAAGCATCGATCCTTATCCAAACAACTTAGTGCATTACTTGCGGCCTATTAATCAATCTCGCGTTTTAAAGGGGACAGCAGATATCGACATATCGTCTTCAGCTGCCATACAGCTATAGAATTCCCCTGGTACTCATGAGTAACCTACTACATTGGTTACTTCCAGTGTCTTTTTTTATCCTCATATCTCGTGGCAGTAAGATTCCCAGCATTTGAAATCATGGAAATGGCTGACATTCCATTGGAACAGGCTATCATGATTCATCTGATGACTATGAAGGGTCGTACTTAGCTGATGCTATCAGCCTCCCCGACGACGCGACGGTGTCGATTGGGACTTCGCCTCTACCTCTCATGATCGTCACCATGCTAGGATCAATAATGATTCTTATGCCAATTGTCATCGCCTGGAATGAACTACCAGGCTACATGCCAGTCGTGGGGTAGAATTCTCGAGCAATGCTAGCCGCGAGCCGTGTGTCACCTACCGCAAAGATCCCCCGTATCGCCGGCCACGAAAGGGGCGCCGCCGCAGGGATCGAGCTTCAGGAGCTGATTCCAGCGTCCGACAAGGGCTATGGGGAGTCGGTGAACTCCAATGCGCACAAAAACATGGCGTACCGTCTCCTCAAATGGGGCGAGGTTGAGATGCCGGAAGACTGGCATCGCGAGTCGGCAGAAGAAGGGAATGACCAGGAGGCACCGCGAGTCGGACACCTCAGTTTCGGGACCATCTTGGACGACCCCCAGCCGCCGACCGAGGGATACTTCTACGCATGATGTAACACGGCTAGGAAGCCCTACTTAGTGTCACGGAGTGGCAACCACTATCCATGGGCTGAGAAGGCCCTGGACCATACGAGCAGTGCTGGCAGCAGTGTCTGTAATAGATCGCAAGCACTGACGGATCTGTTGGCGATCATTGTTGAGGCGTGGGCAAGGGAGGTTAAGTGATTTAATGGGCCAAGATGGGCAATACCACTGGGTAAATCTAGGCAACATCTCTAAAATGGATTTACCTACCTAGATAGAGGAAACATCACAGCATGCATGTTTTACCAAAGGCAACAGACATCACAGGGGCAAGCCATCTAAAGACATACACACATGTGCTCAATTAACCAAGGATTGTCGTCGTATATGCGTGTTTCAACAATAACACCCGTGGACGGTATCATCCCTCAAACTATTCTACCGACAGCATTCGCATTGTCGCGAAGTCTGATTAAAGAGTTGTGCGTTAGCCGTAAGATCAAAAGCCAACATCTTAACCGGGACAGCCATAGTGGTACACCGCAGACGAAAAAAGCTGTCAGCACTTACACCACAGCAAGTGAAGCCGCTGCAGGCGCAGAAGATGGCGCACTGGCGGGCCTCCAAAAGAGGGTTGTCGACGCTGTTCGAAGAGGTGTCGGTGCCGACGGGCGAGGACGCCACGAGCGCTGCAAGCAGGCCGATCACGACGGTGGAGACGCGCATGATGATGGTTGTCGGTCTGACTAGCAGGTCAAGTTGCTTGTTGCAGTTGTGGATTTGCCTTGTTGTTTTTGCGTGTAGTCGTGGTTCTCGATGGAGAGAATGAGGACAAGAAAACTATTTGGAAGAGGTGAGTGCTGCTACATATACACATTCCAGCAACTTGTTTGTCGTTGTTAGTAAACCTATAAACAGAAGATTCAAATGTAGGCCGTGGTCATGCTCCATGGATTCCTACCCAAATGCACACCTTGTAATGATTGTGAGTAAGCAGCGTGCATGGGCACCTACAGGTGTATCTATTGAAGTATCAGTTCTGCGACGATCGTCACCATCTTGAGATGCTGACGTTCAAAGATGGCCTAGAAGTTGAGACTACTGAGAGAGCACTCGCTGGATAGGGTATAGTTTGCCTGTCTGTCTGTTGCCGTAAGCCACAGCAGGCGCACGGGTCGGCTCGTCTGCATAAGTCATGGACTCCCTCGGCCAGTCTGCAGGATGTAATTATAGATTCAACAGGCAGCAGGGTTATTCAGCTGTTTGTTCCCGGTCTTGGCATAGAAAGGACAGGCCCTAGGGAACGGCTTTCCTGATAAGAACATGGCGGCTATTGCTGTGACTCGACTAGGAATGTGTTTGTAATTTCCATTTCGATTGGTAGACAGGTTGTCGCCTGCGCTACGAACCAACTCAACTCACAGACATCACCTGCAGCCTCCTTACTAAGGACTGCTAGAGGAAGGCCAATAGCTGCTCGGCGCCAATGGACGCCAAGGCTGCGGGCTTCAATATTGGACTTACGCACATAGTGTTAATGGCTGTTATCTGAACGTTATGCCTGGGTAGATATTGGCTGCTGGAATACAGACACATCACCAGGACGTTTCGCTGGCGTTGCAACTAGCAACAGAGCTTATCTTGATAGCTTGTCTACGCTACGTATCGGTGATCAGGAAACCAGTTGATAACCGCGCGAGAGACTCACAAAGCAGTGAGCCTTTGTTGGTCATCTCTGGCAGTTGTGATACTAGAAGGCCTAGTTATCAGACTCTGGTACCATGATTTTCAATCTGGAAACCTTCTGTTATGGTGTTGAACACTGGTGATGATATACTCACTATGTTTTTCGACTGTCTAATACGTAAAACATTGTGTACATGTATGACTAACGAGAAGCCGGGGGCTTTGTGGCAATACGCACTGGGGAGAACTTTGGAGAGGCTATCTTGGGGATGCGACCTAATCAGAAAAACCTGTTCTGTTGATGTATCGAATATGCAAAGCCCCCATGAAAGGAAAATCATTTCTATATGCGGTTTCTTTCTGTTCTCAACCTCGCTCGGAAGTGGTATAGGGTCATGTCGGTTTCCCTGCCAAGGATTAATCACAAAATCTCGATTAGACTCAGCCCATCCTCGTTAATCCTCAAGTGGTCTTCCGCTCCAACCAGAGTCTCTGCCATGCTTGAGCCCTTCTTCGTGATGCCAGGTTGGGAAACACCAGCGGCGAAATGGACTTTTGGCCGCCACTGGTCTCCATACTGCCCGTTGTTGTCTCCGTCTGTGAGCTTAACAAGTGCCTTCATTGGCATATGTCGCAGGATGCTCTTCGCAAGTTCTGGATTTCGGTACTGTTCGTACAGCGCCGTCATAAACATGCCCACCCTCCCGTACTGACCTTTGCCCGGGAGTTTGTGGAGTATCAGGCCTCTGATAACCGGTTTACATGGTTTCTTGCCTCCCAAGAATGACGTTACCATATGCAAGGCGATTGGGACCATGTATAGCTGACGTGGGCGATAAGATGTCTCATCTGCCCACAACATGTCTGTCGTATCCCACCTGACCTCCACATATGATCCACCGGTCGTCCTGAAAAGAAGTTCCTCCTGCAATTACTATCTACTAGTCAAACCGGCATTTTACTTCCTTTTAGGCTCACTGTATCAGGGCCCAAGTGAATCTCTTCGAAACCAACCACTCCTTTAGACAACACCAGCCGTCCGCCACCCAGAATCCGGCCAAGGGGCCGCTCCCAGAAACCTAGCCCCTTCTTGAGCATCTTTTCAAGAATTCTTGTCTCCCGAGACCTCCGGGTGAGGTGCCTTGCGGCCCCTCGCAGCGGAATAATAATGCAACCGAAGCCTCCAGCTGCTTACGCCTCTTCTCCGTCCAACGTAGCAAAATACTCTAGCACAGACGTTGCCTCCTGACTCTCTGCCCAATCTATCGCTGTGTAGCCACTCATTTTCTGATGTATTGACGCACCCGCCTCTACAGCCCTTCTCACGACAGCAACATTATCATCGTATGCCGCCTGGTGCAATGCATTTTGTAAGTATCCCGAAGACTTATCTAACTGTGCACCATGCTCGATGAGCGCGAGGGCTATGTCTCGATGGCCAGAACCCCACGCATACTCCCACAGCGTAACGTCCTTAAAGGGCGACTTTTGCACGTTCACGCCGTGATCTAACAAGACCCTTAGACAGTCAAGATGACCGAATTCGGCGGTAATGCAGATGGGTGTGCGGCCGAAAGAGTTGGTTAACGCAATGTCGGCGCCCGCATCGAGAAGCATCTCGACCACGTCCGCACGACCGCATCTACACGCCTCGTGGAGCGGTGTACCGGTAAACGCAGAAGACGTGTTGATCTCTTCCAAGCTTGCGTTTGCGATTCTGACCTGCAGAACCTCGGGCGGGTCGGCGACGACAGCCTCCCTGAGCGTCTTTTTGATGTGAGCCCCGACGGTGTTGCTGTACCCCTCGGCCTTTTTGAGCATCTCCACAATGTCTGGTCGCTTCTTTATTGTGGCAATGTCCACGGGAGTTCGGCCTTCGTTGTCCTTGATGTCACACCGTGCACCAGCATCAACGAGTAATCTGACCCCGTGGGGATCGAGTATTTTGCAACTGTCGTGGAGAGGGGTCTCGCCCGAATCCCCTTGCGCGTTGACCTCAATATCGGGTACATCCTTGAGGAAGTATTTCATTGTGTCCCATGAGCGGTTCACTGCAGCCGAGTGGAGAACGGTCCGGCAAAGGAAATCTCGACGCTTGACGTCCATGCCACGCTTGACCAGCAACTCGACGGCCCCTTGCGCATCCTCATCCACGGCACGCATGAGAGCAGTACCTTGGTACGAGTCTTGATGATTGAGGTCGGCGCCGTGATCGAGAAGCAGCTCCATGCAATCCGCATATCCGTATTGCGCACCGTAATAGAGAGGAGTCCAGCCTTGCCCTGGCTCCGTGCTATCAACCACTATATCCTTGTGTGCGAGCAGGCTCTTGATCGCCGGAATATTCCGCCAAATGACGGCAATATGTAGTGGCGTGAGATCTCCTACCTTGGCATCATCCCGGAGGTTGACATCCACATCTTTCCGCGCAACGAGCTTCTTAACGATGGAATGACTGGCCGACTTGATGGAGGTTATGAGCGCTGAAGAGGTGGAACCGTCGGACGGGATTGCGTTGATGTTAACGTCGCTTACTCGCAGCAGCCGGGTTACGAGGGACTCGGCGTCCGCGCCCACTGCACGGACCAGAGCCGTCGATCCAGCATTGCAGGTGATCGAAGCATCCGCTCCGGCAACGAGGAGGCTCTTCAACTCTGGTAGCCCCTCATTACCTCGATCGGCAGCGTACATCAGTGGCGTGGCGCCAATGAAATCCTGAGCGTCAACATCCTCCCCTTCATCGATGAGAGTAGAAACGACATCGGTCAACCCTAGGTAGACGGCAATATGTAGAGCCGAAGCGTCCGCCTCGATGCTCCAATCCGGGTCCAGATAGTACATCGCCTGGACAAAGGACCTACGGGCATCTGACAGCAGAAACCCCGCGGCACGATTGTCGTCATCCTTCTCATAACTTCTGACGACGTGCTTAAATGAATGTAGCACTGCGTATTCGAGCAGGGGATACGTCTTACGTCGAAGCATAAATAGAGACCTCTGGTCTGGACCTGATAGGGGTTCTCTGAGGACCTCTATGTTGAGATAATGAAGGCAGTCATGGGCGATAGCGCTATCGCCTTTAGGATATAGCTTGTCTCTATGCTCCACGAGGAACCGGCTTGTCGTCGGATGGATGACTTTCACAAAGTCGCTGCTGTCTATGAAAAGAAGCCCAGCGCTCCATGTGGTAATCTCTCGAATGGGGAGGATGTCATCCTCGTCGATGTCCTCAACGCCCGGATGGACAGCAAGGGCGTGGCCCAGCTCAGCAATGCTTAACGGCCTTTGCCCCCATGCGATCCAAAGCAGAAGCTTCTTGAGTATATCAAGATGCTTTGGGCGTAGAGCTCGCTCCATGCGCGCCAGACTCTTGAAGTACATCTGGTCCAAATCGCCGCTAAGGCCTTTTAGCGCGCGTTTCAACGCTGCTACCGTTAGGCAGTCGGCCAAGGAGTCGACGTAGAGGCGGGCTAGGAGGAAGCTTCAAAGAGGATAGGTTAGCCCATGCTATGCCTTTAGAAAATGCCAATGCTTTGATATTATGATCTTAAAAGCACAGGCAACTCACGCCAAAATTCAGAGTTACTTACATTTTTTCCGACTTTTCTGTGACAGTGCTAATTGTAAATCTTCGTAGGATCTCCTGGCCCGAGTCTGGACCCAATAGCTTCCGCAGCTCTCGATCCGAGTCTAGTCTTGTCGTCACGTAGTCACTGATGTCGCTTTCTCTCGGCTGATACCATATCCCCTTCCACTCAAGCTCTCTCAGTGTTTGGTGTTTGCTTTCGCCCCTAGATACCGTAGCAGAGTGGCAATTCTCGCACATAACATAGGATGCACAGTTTCTGCACCGCCAGTAGACCTGCGCGTCCTTCGTTTGACACTCCTTGCAGACCTGTGTTCCCTGGAGGGCCTCGATGATGTCTTCAGAGTGGCGAGACGTGATGATGACCTTGGCCCCGACCCCGATACCATGAACTGCCTTTACCACGGCGGCTCTCTCCTCAATGTTGCTCACCTCGTCAAGGCCGTCAAGTATGACATAGGCAGAATCGTACGTTTTGAGCTCCTCTCTCAGGCATTCTGTCAGAGATTCTACACCGAGCGGCTGGCCGTCTTTGCTGGTTGTTGCCTTTGAATAGCACTCCTTCAGCTTGGAAGGAACCTTACTGCTGCCTCGATTTTGTAAGACCTGCTTCAATAAGCTGGCGACCAGGTTTCGGGGTGACTGGGACTCTTCGTCGTCGAAACTGCAGAAAGCGATCATTACAGCGACATTATCTTCTCTGTGCTGCTTGATGACGTCGGCGCAGATAGAAGCAGCAACGACAGACTTGCCGGCCCCTGGGGCGCCAAAATACCACAGGGACCTTAGATCATCGTCGTGCCATGACCTAAAGCTGTCTGATGCCAAAAGACAGCAGTTATATGGATCCGCGTTGCCGAGGACATCTCGTTGCTTTCGAACAAAGTTTAAAGGCGTCAGCCAGGCCAAAAGCTTTTCGTAAAAGTTATCGTCGACGGCCGCCCTGAAGTGGCATAGGCCCTCTTTTATCTCACGGTTCATCCGGTGGCTAGATTGTTGTATCACCAGCATCGTGGTCTGCTTCAGCTCCTCCAGCCGGGAAACTATACGCATGGCTTCCTTTTCTTGGAAGGGCCATCGCAGAGTCGACATGGCCTCGCCGAACCGGCCTTTGGTCGTCGTGAGCTGCAACTCGAGCTCATTCAGCTGTTCACGGACCTGCGCGGCAATGCCACTAGAGCCGTCTAAAACCCTAAGAGGTTCGACCCAAGGCTCATCGGCTAGTCCTCCTTTCGGCAGGTCTATCTCCTCCTTGAGTCGTTGGAATACGAGCCCCACAGCAGTGTCACCTGTTCCAGCAAGAGCCGCCGAGACTTGCCGCCATGCTTGACGCCTTCGAGGTAGCCAACAATCTTCCAGGATGTATCAACAATAGTGATGATGCTTGCAGCAAACCCAAATGGTTCCATTGTAGCTGTAGGAAGAAACGAACCTGTTTGCGCTAAAGATTATCTTCAAGAAAGAAGACGAGGAAAATCAGAAGAAAGTGTCTACCCCTCTGAGAGGGGCTCCCCTACTATTATATAGGTAATATATAGGGGGTAATATAGGCTTGTGATAGGATGAGCACCAGCCTTGGTCGTTTTGGGAAGTCGCGTAAGCAGCAATGGTGTGATAAGCCCTTTGCCGCAGAGATGCATGTTCAGCGAGCGGCAGCTGTACCCATATTGTAACTTGTCAGTGTGCGGCATGCCAACCCGCAGGCTCAACTTCCCTCTCGCCTATTTCTTCTTGGCATCTTCTTTGAACGAAATAAGTGGACACTCACTCCAATCCTTAACAGCTGAAAACCTTTCACTTCCTGTCTCTAGAGCCCTTCCGCGATGGCTTCATAACCGCCGCCGGGCACCGGACCGCTGTCGACCTGTGTGGGCCACTTCATATACATCAACAGCATCCGCGAGCATTATGAAGGGGGTAGCCACTTTGACTACAATTTCAGCATCATCTAACACACCAACACAAGTAAGGGTGTGTCGGTATAGCACTTCGGCGCATACGCAAAAATGCTGTATAGATGGGCAGATGGTAAAGCTGAAGGATTGCAATGACACGGGCTTCTGGCGTATTTGGTATTTGTTGCCACAATCTGGACGGTAACGATGGTAATCGTTGCATGGTAAGCAATGAGGTTGCGTGCTTGTATAGCTGATTATAGGCATCATAATGAAAGCTCTAGTCAACACAGTTTCCTGATATAGGATACCGACGGAATCGGTATGCGTATCAATCTACCGAGTTCAGATCCCGGCCCTCAGTGGATGTTTCTGTATGACTTGCGGCCAAGCTATTACAACTCCAAAGCGTTAGAGTACATTTGCCGAGGTAACAGGGATTACATGTTGCCTGTTGTGACAGCATTCTCGGAAAAAACAGAAGCAAGCAGCAGCCGTAGCGACGGTGACCAAGAGCCCATCTAATATAAAGACCCAAGAAGGAGGGTGCGAGTAGCAATACTGAGACAGATCTGGGCTCCGAGACTAGTGTCATAGAGAGTCGAGGGTCTGGAAAAATGAGTCTTCTGCTGGGGAGATTGAGGTACATCCCCTCAATGCACACGAAAGGAAAATATCGCGGGATATAAGCGTTAGTTATGGCCCTGTAACTAACGGCGTCGTACCTGTTCTGTGGTAGAAACCGTACTTGTAATTCTTAACCATTCAGCTCTGGTATAAGTGGACAGGGATTCAGGTCATGGAGACAGGGGCGGAAATATTGGCAGACTATCCACAGGTAATCATCAGCTAGCACGGTACGTGCCGAGCCGGCTCAGTATTACTCCCTCCGTCTTACGCCGTCTTACGCCAAGTCGTTTAACTGAGACTTGCCGCGACCACCGCGAGCTTTTCCATATGGCTGAGTCATATCCCAGTCAATTGTCTTTGCTTGAAGGTAGCCGTCTAGAAATAGTGGCGATGATGCTTCTCCTCTGGCGAAATCTCCTTTGGTTCGCCCTCCTCAAAAGTCTCATGCGTCAATCATCTCTATCTCGTCATATGTCTGACATTCGTTGTCTACGTATACCATCCACAATTGGCTTTTAATTTTGATTACCATCGTATTCAAAACCATGAGAAGAATGTATCTCCTGAAGGCTCTCTCGACCGGCGTGTGCATTCTCGGCGGGCTTGTTGAGGCCCTTCGGGGCCGCGCTCACCACTTGGCCAAGAGGCAGGTTACCGAGCTCCGGCAAGAGTATGACTTCGTCGTCGTCGGCGGTGGTACTGCCGGTCTGACAATCGCAGACCGTATTTCGGACGCCTTCCCCATGAGTAAGTTGTGAATCCTACAATGCTAGATGAGGATCCCCAATTGGTGACACCGGAGCCATCTTGGAAGCTTATGCGGTTGACCTTTCACAGAGACCATCTTAGTTATCGAATACGGCGAGATTGAGGGGACCGTTGGCTACTATGATCCGCCCGAGGATGGCCGTGGTGCTAGCCGCCTAGTCATCACCTCTCCTCCTGTTGCTAGCGTCAATAACCGCACGGCTACGGTCATCCTTGGAATGACTGTGGGCGGAGGATCTGCCGTTAACGGCCAATTCTTGGACCGTGGTTCCAGATATGACTACGACGAGTGGGCGCATCTCGGTAGCCCCCAGTTCGATGACAGCCCTGACACTTGGGACTGGGAGAACTTGGGCCCTGCCTTTAAGAAAGTTAGTCTTATCCCTACCCTTTCCATCGCCGATCTTCCCTTCTGATATCTGAACATACCAGTCCTTATTCCTTACCGAACCCAGGGAAGAGCTAGCCCAGAAGTACGGCTACACTTGGGACGCCTCCGCTTACACCGGCGACTCCATCGAGGCCTCTTTCCCACCCTTCCAGTGGCCTATACAACGTATGTGACTCCCAGACCGACAAACAAGGGATGGCGAAGATGCTGACTGTCGTCTCCAGGGATCGGGTGGCAGGCTTTCGAGGAATTCGGTCTCGAGACCCCCGTCACCTGCGACAACGGGGATAAGCATGGTGTCTGCTGGGTTCCCTCGGCCCAGAACTCCGAGACTGTCGAGCGGTCCCATGCCGGTGTCGGACACTACCGCAGGATTGCGAAAACCCGGCCCAATCTTGACCTCCTAGTCGGGCACAAGGTCATGCGGCTTATAATCGACAAGAACATGGGCGCGCCCGCTGTTGAGTTCCGTCCCGTTGAAGGGGGAGAGGCCCGGACCATCCGCCCCAAGCGTGAGGTCATCCTGTCGGCCGGTGCCATCCACACGCCCCAGATCCTCCAGCGCAGCGGTATCGCCTCAGCCGAGTACCTCGAGTCTGAGGGCATCGAGCTCGTCGAGGACCTCCCTGGTGTTGGCCAGAATTTCCAAGATCACTGTGCTACGCCCATCACCTACTCATACGATGCTCTTTTCCCTGCCGAAGCCGATGTCACGAACAACGCTACCTACGCTGCCGAGGCTGTCGCTCAGTTCCGTGAGAGACCTGCTCGTGGCCCTTACACTCTCGCCATGGGTAACAGCGCGGCCTACGTCGCCCTCCAGAACGTCACCCCCGAGTGGAAGCGGATCGTCGCAAGCATCCGTGCCCAGATCGAGGACCGCTCCGCTCTCCAGTATCTCCCCGCTGGCGCCACCGGGGCCGTCATTGAGGGCTACCTCGCTCAGCTCGAGGTCCTCGCCCAAGCCTTCGAGCACCCCGAGCACCCCATCCTCGAGATGCCCTTCCACGCGGATCCCGGAATCGCCTTCCTCCTCAAGCCCCTCAGCCGTGGCTCCGTCGTCCTGAACGCCACGGACCACGACTCCACCCCCATTGTCAACTATGCCACTGGCGCGAACCCCATCGACCTCGATATCATGGCCACTTACGTCGACTACGTCCGCCACCTGTACTCTGCCGACGTATGGCAGGCGCATGGCGCCGTCGAGGTCGCCCCAGGTGCTGATATCACCAAGCACGACGCCCTCATCGAGTACGTCAAGAGCACCGTCATCCAGTCACTTATGCACCCTTGCTGCACGGCTACAATGCTGCCCCGTGAGAAGGGCGGCGTCGTCGACTCGAGCCTTTCTGTCTACGGCATCTCGGGCCTCCGTGTTGCCGACTGCTCCATCATCCCTACCATCCCTGCTTCCCACACTACCACGACAGCGTACGCCATTGGCGAGAAGGTGATTTAGTCCCATACTCGTCTCAGCCCGCGTCTCGAAGAAGGCGTGATTGCTAATAGATATGCAGGCTGCTGAGATCATCATCCGTCGGTGGAAGTCGGTGTAAGATGCCCAGGATCGGCTGCCATCGCCCAAACTGTACGGAATTTTGGCTAGGGAAGGATGACATGACTTCTCAGGTTTATTCAGCGGAGATTGAAATATTACCTACTGCTATTACGACCTTTATGCGATTCTGTGGTTCGCCTATGAGCCACCTCCTTTTAAAAGTTAGAACCCTAATAAAGTCGCGGCACAGCACAGCAAATAGGTGTAGCCCAAGTTTAGCTGGGCGATCTTCATTGAGATCGGCCAGTAGTGTAAAGTTTCAACAAATCTGCTTACAACCTGCAGGTACTGCTGTATAGGTTGTAGGCTCACCAAATCCCCAAATCGCATCGCTCTCGTGCTCTTGGGGGTTGGACCTTGTCACTCTCTAGGAGCTACCCCTTGAAGGACAGCTAGTGCTGCAAGGGTGGCGGCAGGGTGTTTGAATCTCTTCACTTCGGCGATCGTACAGTAAAGGTGCAAAGATTACAGGTCCAAGTGCTGCTACAGTCATAGTCTATGTCTCTGTGTTATATTCGTTCAGGCTGTGACTAACGACTAGTCTCTGCTATAAGCTTTTTGCTGCTCGTGCACGATTCTCCTTTGCTCGTTGAGTCAAGCTGATCATGGGAGCATACAAGTCGAAGATGTGTGGAAGACCCGGATACACATGCAGCTCCATCTGGACGTTCGCCGAGGCAAGCCTACTGGCAAATGCAACCGCCTCGGCACAGAAGAGGTCGACCCCGCCCACTTCTATGTAAGTTGGCGGCAGGTTTGAAACGTCGACGGCTCGCGCAGGCGCCGCGTACGCGGCCGTTTCTGGCCCTCCTGCCTTGCCCTCGCCAAGGTACGCGTTCCAGCTGATCTGGTTCGAGGTGTCTGTCCAAGTGAGGAACTGGGAGAGTGGGTTTTCTGGAAGGGCCCTGGTCCTATCGTCGAGCATCGGATAGACGAGTATCTGCTTCGCCAGCGGCGGCGACAGACCCCGGTCGCGGGCCATCATGGCGGCGCCCGCCGCCATGCCGGCGCCGGCACTGAGCGCGTAGAACCCGATGCGCGCAGGATCGATGTCGAGGGTTTCCGCGTTCTGGCTCAGCCATACGAGAGACGCGTAGCAGTCCTCAGTGGACGTCGGGTACGGGAACTCAGGGGCCAAACGGTACTCGACAGCGAATATGCGCAGCCCGGTCTCCAAGGCGGCCCTCGCGGGGAGCGGCCTGCTGTACGGCTCTATGTCTCCGCCTACGATGCCGCCCCCGTGGACGTAGATCAATGCCGGCTGCTTCCCGCTGGTCTCTTTGGCCTCTGGCGCGAATTCGTACAGCGCGATCGTTGCGCCGTCAAAGGATTTGACATCATGTCTGGTCTCGACGATGCCGTCTGGCAAGGCGTCCCCGAGAACGGCAGACAGGCCGGCATTGACAGATCTGCGGAGCTCCAAGGCGTTGGTCGGCCTCCTCGGCGGTCGAATTGCGATAAAGGGACCGGCAACGGCCCAAAATTCTGCGTCGAACTTGAGATTCGTCATCTTCTGCGGTTGATGTGCATAGTACAGGATGGACAAGACCCCGAAACCCATCCCCAGGAGCAGGTAACCTGGGCCCATGGTAGCCTTTATGCATTGCTCGCGACTTTGCCCCCCCCCCCCCCCCGGAAGGGCTTTCTGTTTCGTGCTGTTCTTTTTGCAGCCGGGGCATGAGAAGTGTCATATCATACCCCTACTTCATGGGGTCCAGCTAGCAAGTTTTAACGTCAACGCCACCCGGCGCCACGAACGTATTTCCCGAAAGACTTGGGACGGCTGGGGGTTCGAGAGTTCGATTCGCTGGCGAGCAATGGCGCTCAGTTCGTCCGAGCGGCATGGAATTGCGTGGCCCGGACACCTGTTCCGCGTGGTGTCTATCTTCTGGCGCATGACCAAAGTGTGATTGCCACGTATTCTGCGCTGGCTAGTGACTCTCTCTCACATCTTCTTCCGGCAGAGGTATTTTGTTCAATTGACTTTAGATATGCAGAAATCTAAACATGAAGGTCCGGTTCAGCAAGTCTAGTTATGGTTTCAATGCTGCGCCCTTGAACACTATTCATGCGTGCAAAGCGGGCGGCGTTAGGCAAGTTTTTGGTGACTTGGCTTTTGAGATTTCATATGATTCAGGTTTTCGAATAAAACAAAGACAAAAAGAGGAAGTTCTATCCGAGTTGCTAGCCTGAACACAAAAGTCCGTCCAATACGCTTAATAGTCTTACGGATTTGATACTCCCGGATGTGGGGACGATGTATCAAGCGGTGCATACCGCTTCATAGAGCTCTTAGTCAAATACATCAGTGGCATACCGCTCGTTTCGGATGCCATTGAACCACTCCTCCAACTCTTCTTCCGTCATCGGCTTCCCGTCGTCGATCTCGCTCTTCTCCCTGGCGGCCCTAAGCAGGACATCCTTGACGCCCTCGGCAACCTTGTTGGAGCCACAGACGTAGACCCTGGCCCCCTGGTCCCAGAGGTCGTACAGCATTTCGCGCTCCCGCCAAATACGGTCCTGAACGTACTTGCAGCCGCTCGATGCATCCGGTTTGCGGCTGTATGCCCTGTACATCTTGACGGCGCCGGCAGCCTCCCACTTGTCAAACTCATCGCGGTACAGGTCGTCGGCGAGGGGATGGCGGCAGCCGAAGAAGAGGATCGCCGGCGCGAGCTGTCGGCCGTTGCTGAGGAGAGTGGCCCTCTCCTGGATGAACGCACGGAAGGGCGCCAAGCCCGTGCCGGCGGCGACACACAGCAGCGGCGTCTTGTCCACGTCGATGGGCAGCTTGAATCCGCCCTGCGCGACACGTATCGAGACCTGGATTCGGTCGCCGGCTGCCAGACTTGAGAGGTAAGACGAGGTGACACCGATATGGCGGCCCTGCCCTGACAAGGCGGGCTCGTCGAGGACTCCGTAAGTAATGGTGGCGACACCTGGCTCGACGAGAGGCGACGAGGATATCGAGCTGGTTATGACGGTAAGCATAATCCGTGACAACTGGGAAAGCCCTGTACTTACTACTGGCGGACACGCATGGGCGGGAGCATGAGGAGGAAATGGTTGAACGGGATTGCCAGAGATGGGAAATGCTCGGCGATGTCCAGGACGGAGAGTCTCTTGTTCTTCACCCCTACGTCGTAACCGTCAGTCGCCAGGTACTGGAGCTTGCGACGGAGCTCCTCGTCCTTGGCAAATTGTGACAGTGTCGATATATTCTGGAAGCTTCTCGTTAGTGACTGGGGTACTAGTCAAATGAGAACGCGTAGCGAACTAACCCTCCTGGAAGCTGTTTGACAAAGCTCGACGTACGAGCTCAAGACATCAGAGACGGGAATGCTGGCGTCTGTAGGCAGAGTCGTGGGGCCCGCGGCCTTGATCGTAACATGAGAGTCCCACGTCAGGTGGAAGTGTCGCATCACCCGTGCGACGGTGTCCTTGGGGTTATGCGGGAGCACGGCCATGTAGTCGCCCGCCGTGTACCGTACGTTGGACGGCAGCTGCACTTCCAGGTGCCTCTTGACCGGCCCCAGGTCGCCATTTGCAAGCGGGCGAGAATCGAGTACGAGCGCGTCCCTGACGTCCTGGCGCAAGGTCGAGGTTCTCGGTGTGGAGAAGGAGACCGACAGGCCTGCCTCGGGGATGCTGCTATCTTCGCCCTCAGGCTGGCCATCGAACTGCTTGACGAGAGCGGGCCACAGAGTGTCGTCCTCCCAAGCCTCAAAGTCGGAGAACATGTCTCTATCTTTGGCGTCGGTTGAAGCAAAGGGAACGATTCGGTGACCACCGCGCTCTTCGATGGAGGCGTCTACTAGTTTGGGGATGCGCTGGTGCGTCTTCACCCAGTCGGCGTGTCCTGTTGACGTGGTCAGAGGGCTATATTATGGTGAGGAGTTTGACCAACTTACCGCAGCCATATACGGCATACTTCACGTTCTTGAGCTCCTTGCCCTTCAGATTTGTCAACCAGTCGACGAAGAGGGCGGCGTTGTGGGGTGGTTCGCCCTCGTAAGAGGAGGTGATGATGACGACCGGTCTATCTGCTGGCAGGGACTCTCGAGCGGTGTCAAGGGTGTCCACTGTCGCACTGAAGCCATGGGATGCGGCGTCGCTGGCGAGCCTCTGGGCCATGAACTCGCAGGTTCCCGAGTTTGAACCGTAGAAAACGGCCAGCTTTGCCTTCTCCTTGATACCGTTGGCCTCTGACGATCCATCAGTAGCCTCATGGGCCGTCGTCTTGGGTTGGGCCCCATGGCCTGCGGAGTAAGACCCGGCCATCCGTGCCTCGAGAGACGAAGGCGTCAAGCCCTCTCTCAGAATGGCCCGGACGTACAAATCCTTGGGCTTGATTGTGAGCGTCTGCGAGATCTTGAGGTCGTAGTTGGGGTTGTGCATGACAAAGTTGAAGTTCTGTAGCAGCAGGGCGAGGGCGAGCACCATCTCCTGCCATGCAAAGGCACGGCCGATACAGCCGCGCATGCCCGTGCCAAAAGGACTCCAGCAGTTGGGGAACTCCTTCATCAGGCGGTCAAAGTTCTCGTCGAGCATCCTTTCGGGCTTGAACTCTTCGGCGTCGTCCCCGTAAACCTTGGGGTCAAGGTGTGACTTTGCCAGGAAGCAGAGGATCTGGTCCCCAGGCTTGATGCGGTATTTGCCGCCGATAACCTCCTCGCCTTTTAAAACCTCCCTTCCGAACGCATAAATGGGGGCACTGTGGCGCAGTACCTCTCTGATTACCTGTGTTCGGGTTATGTTAGCAGTCGTCCCGCGAATCGATGATTCCACCATAGCTATCTGGCTTAGGGCAACACCGAACGGAGAAAGGCCTAGATACTTACCGCTGTCAGATACTTTAACTTGGCAACATGCTCTACGCGGAGTGGCCCATTGGCTACTGTGTTGTCGACTTCCTCTTGGACCTTTCTGTATACCTCTGGCCTCTTCAGCAGCCAATACATGGTGAATGTTAATGTTGCGGCGGTTGTCTCGTGGCCCGCCACCAGGAAGGTGATCAGGTTGTCGACAATGCTGTCGTCCGTCATTTTGCGCCCTGTGACGGGATCAACGGTGTTAAGCATTGCTGTCAGCACATCCTTCCGCCCCGTCGCGCCGTTCGGATCCAGCCTTCTGGCGTCCAGGACCTCTTTCGCCGTCGACCGTAGCAATTTGATGTTGGCCTTCATCTTTTTGTCCTGCTTCTTGTAAAACACCTGAGGCAACACACGGAAGGACTTGTCGCCGGCCTCCTTCATAACGGCGTACATGGCCGTGATGAACGGGTGGGTATCCTCGCGGTAGTACGAGTTGAATCTGTAACCCATTGTGCACAATGCGACCGTGTCCATCGCGAGCCTCGTCATGTCTTCTCCAATATGAATGGGGGTAGACGGTCCATGACGGGCCCACTTCATCGCGAGCTGTCCAGCGACGTCATGCATAGGGTCAAACATATCCCTGATGGCGAGGGGGCCGAAAGCCGACATTAAAACGCGATGGGCAACGCCCCAGTTCTCTTCTTCCACGCCTTTGGACTGTCCAAGGCAATGTTAATCAGGAACTCTCACCGATACTGAGCCAGAGAACGGAGGGTGAGGTTTAGGGCTTACCGTGAACAGACCGTCATGTACTGCCTCGCGTAGCTCCTATATCGACTTGTCAGCAGCGGAACCAATCCCAAACCCTGGCTGGAATTGTATCTACATTAAGATCTCCCTCGATGCTTTTCTTGAAGCGTTTGTCATCACAGCATTCATTGATTAGTTCGTGAGTGTTGAGAAACACCAGCTTCTGACCGAGCAGATCAAGCTTGTAGATAGGGCCTGGTAAGTTAGCTTAGGTTCATCCCGGTTTTTTCTTCAGTTCTCGACAGGAACACCACCTACCAAATTTGTTCGCGAGGTGCACAAAGGACCCCAAAGAATATTCCGTGTCGATCTCAGTCACATGCCCCAGAACAGGGATGCGAGAAGGCTCCGGGATCTCGATTTCTCCCGACATAGTGCCAAAGCTTTTTCTCGACGACTGGCGGGACAGGCTGAAGACTCGTCTGCGTTTCTCTTGGGTTGATGATGAATTTGAGTCCTCAGCGGATGCGGGAGGTTCAGCTTTCGGTAAGGATGGCATTGTGGCCTTGTGGTTGGGGTAATGCGTTGAAGATAAATAGGTCTTGAGATATAAGGTAAGCTCCCGTGACGATATTTTGATAAGTCGATCTACGAAACGGTGTCTCGGTGGAATAGGAGAGCCGTGGCGCCCACCGATCCCTGTCTGACCAGCCCAAGCCCCGTCCTTGCGTGCTCTGTCGGTGTCCTCGGAAATAGTCTGACGGTGGCTGAGCTGACGAGTAACGTACGACGAATGTTCGGTAAACGGTAGACAGCAGGCCCGCTCCTCGTGAGATTCGTCACGTCTGTGTCTATGTCAGCGGCCGCGGGGACCGCGACTGGGGATTTGACGAATTGCCCTTGGGTTGGTTTCGAGCGGTGCTCCGCGGGTATCCGTTCTCCACTTCTTTCGGTATGCGCGGGACACGAATCATGCAGACCATGTGTACAAGTGTCTGCCCCGGTTCATGCAGTAGGGTTATCCAACACGTAAACAAGGCTGAGTCAAGTAGATATCAAAGAATCCCGTTTCTCGGTCACGCTGTTAATTATACCTATATGATGAGGGTCATGTAGGGCTCGCCTGGATTAAGTTCAATGCCGTCTGTGAACCGCCATCAGATTGCCGGTATCTGGTTCAAGCCCCCCACTCTATTCGCTGCTCGCATCGTCGGGGCAACCTAGAAACAGAATAGAGTTACAGAAGTAGATTACTTGTTAGAGAAATAAATTGGATCTCAGTTGGCAATCATCAGTCCGCACTGCTGTCCCAGTTGAACCTTTCTCGAATTGACCCTGCTTAGGGGTGTGTTGCTACGGACGTATTCCATGGATCAAGGAATTGTTCACAGCCATATTCAGATTAGAGTTTCGGCCTCTCCGGGATCAATACCAAACTGCTCAGCCTATCCGTACCAGATATCTCAATCATGCGGCCGCAGCGCGATCGTCCATCACAGTCTGAGCAGGGATATGGATGTGAATGCATATTCCAGCCAAGATTGTTCGAGCAGCTCCAAACAGTCGTCAACACATAGATCACGTATCAGCCTTACATTTAGAAAACTATATTGCATCAAACCAATTGTTCCGCTTGTCGATTTGGTGAGCATGAAGTCCTGCCGAAGAATGGCGTAACTCTCAACGACATCTCCTGCATGCGATACTACTCTGACGCTCTGTCACTACCCCGCGATGATTGGAGAGAAAGACAACCCAGATCCTAGAGACGGCCTAGTCCTCTTCTGCGTCACGGGGATCATGGTTTGCCCAGTATGTCTCGTACTCGTCCCAAGATTGCGCCGGGAACACCAGTGGAACCGTGATTGGGCCAAAGGGTATGCCCTTCTCCTCCAACTCGGCAAGGCGCGCCTTCGTTGCCGGTTTGGTCTTGTTGACGCTGTACAGCGCGATGCGATGGCATGAGCTGGTGACATGCAGGCCCCAGTTCCAGGCTGTGCGGACGTCGGGGGGCTGAGTGTTGAGCGAGTTGTCCCAGCAGCGGCAGACGACCTCGATCCAGCCCTCAACGTCGCAGGGGAGATCGAACTCCCACGTGCGCCACGTCCAGCGGCGCTTCTTGGAGAGGTTCTCCACGGGCACCGTGTACCAGTTGAAGCCGCCGTCAGCTGAAAGTTCGACGCGTTCGGGCCACCGGCCGCCCCCAGAGTAGGCCCAGCCCTTGCAGCGGATCTTGCCGTTGTGGATGACGACCTGCTTGGTCCAAGGCGACATAATAGCTGAGCTGACGGGCATCTCCTGAATCTGGATACCGTCCGTCATCTTGAGGTTGTGCTTCCCCACTTGTTGCGGGAAGTATAGGTACTCCTTGCTCTGCACGGGAGCTCGCGAGGGCTCCTTGATGGCCTTGACGCGGTACAGCCACTTGACGCTCCTGGCCCCGATGTAGCCAAAGACCACGATGCGGAGGGGATAGCCGTGGATCCTTGGCAACACCTCGCCGTTCATCTCCCAAGCCAGCATAACCTCATTCGCCTTTACCTTGGGCCACGGGACGCTGACGAGGTAGTTCATCGTCTCGTTGTCCTTGAAGTAGGTGTCGGCGCCGTAAAATTCTAGGTGTTTGGCGCCATCGACCAAGCCCCCGCAGGCCTTGATGACTTTCTTGAGGCTGATCCCAACGTACCGAGCGGTCCCGATGGCTCCCTCGGCCCACGGCGCCTGGGGTACCTCGTCGCCCTGGCCGGCATATTTGAGGATCTGCTCGATGCGGCGGGTCCCGGAGCACTGCATCGTGACCGTCTTCTCCAAGCGCGGGAACTTGGACTCATCCATGATGTCGTCTAGGGTGAAGGACCGGGGGTTCGCGACGAGGCCGTCCAGTAGGAAGCTGTACTCCTCCTTGTCGATTATGGGGATCCCGCCATGGTTCCTGACAAAGTGGAGCGAATTCGGGGTGATCTCCTTGTCGGTCACCAGCCGCTTGGGCGGCTCTCCGTTGTAGGGGAACTGGAGCAAGTGGAGCATGTCCGGGTGCTTCTCCTTCAGGACAATATCCCACGAGTCGTCAGGGACCTTTGTGAGCTCCCCGCCGATGGCGTGGTGCCACATTTTCCAGTTGGTGCCGGGGAGGACAGGGTTGGTGGCGGGAATCGGACCCAGCTGGTACTCCGGGTTGGGGTGGAACGTCTGAGACGTTAGGATTTTGTGCGCGATAGCTTTCTTGTCAGGGTAGTTTTCCCATTCAACGTAACTGACGTAGCCGATTCGGATCAGTCGCGAACAACAAACATATGCTTAATCCCCACGCCCACCCCCCCCCCCCCCCCTCCACCCAGCTCAGTCACTACTATTTATCCACAGCGAGCAACTTACCCAACCCAGCCCTTACGCTCGGCAGCAAAGAGCTTCTCTTGGTTGCCAATCTCAGCGAGCGCCTTTTCATCCTTGGTAGGTGGCCCGAAGGTCTGAGGAGGTAGGGCCTTGGTCTCGGGGCCCGTCATGTCGAGGACCGGGAGTACGGCCCCTGAAAGGCCCTGTTCAATCTTCCACTCATCAGAGCGGTTAGTGGTCTTCATAGTTGACAGCTATGGGATAGCTGGTTCTGTTTGTAAGCTAGATTTGTTGTTGCTTTACAGTGGAGCGTTGGGCGTCGATGAAATGGTGCGGATGAAAGAGAGGGGGAGATTCGGTAACTGACCCCAACTGAGGGGTCGTCAACACTTAAATCAGACCTCACTTGGGACCAGACATCCGATGATCCCTATTGCCGAAGAGGAGATGGGCAAAGTCTTGACGTCTCCACAGACATACACAAGCTACGGCGCCCAAACCCAATTCTTGTTGAGCCGACGCCCCCTCGTAAGGCCTGCATATTCGGTTAATAGCTTCCTATCGTCAAACCTGTTTCTGGCGAATAAAGGACATGTAATTGGCCCTATCCTTTTGCAGGTGCCCGACCCTGATGACGTGGTGTTCGGCATGTCTTGTAGGCATGGTGTACTTAGTCAGACCGGCATGATGGGCTTAGTGAGGCACTCGCTATGTGCTTCGCAAAGCGGGCGGTGGTGAGGGCCCGGTACCACGGAAAAGCGCGTGCTGTGGGCTGACTGGTGTATACGCCCTTAGTCTACCGCATGTCTGCATATCATAGCAGAGGCTGCATATGTGCAGGTTCTAGGTCTAAAGACCGTTGTCAACCCTTGGACTGCTGCTGGTTGTATCAAGCTCGAAGACCTTGACCAATCATTGACACAGCTTGGACGTCTGGGACTACACCTACCGTTATCGTATTAAAGCAGCTGTTTTCACACCGTAATATCCACCTTCTTGCTGCCCCTCCCAAAAAGCTATGATGACTTTGACTGAAACAGCCCGACAGCGGCACCATACGCGGGCCAGCAAGACGCGCGAGGTTGCCCCAAGCTTTCGATCAATGGCGACAACGGATGAATTAGCGCAAACCAACTTTCGAGGTTACGATCCAATCGTTACTTACGTTTCCCCGTGTTTTCGGTCTCACGAGCTCTCATGCCATTTCGGCCCCCTCTTCTACTCAGGGTGAGGAAAGCAACCGCCAACTTGTTGCGAGAACTATAGGTACTTCTTTCTGCACTGGGGCTCGCGAGGGCGTCGATGACCTCGATACAGTACATCCACTATGCGTCTCAGGTGCGGCTAGATTACCCGCCGTCAGCGAGCAGGGTCAGGATGGTGAGCAAAGCGAGCAGGTTGCTTGCACAGTAAACAGATAGGAGCTAGACATAAATCCGTCAGTTAGATAATAATAATGATGCTGGGTACTCTGACCTGTCTACTTACCTATTATATAATTGATACTATTCATGCTAAGTGGTCAGCGTGCTAGTTTCCACCATCCACACATCCATCCCTTCTGGCATACTAACAGTTCTCACCCTATAATATGTCACCCTCACTTTTTACACGTGACTGTACTCCGTCATACATCCTACAGATACGCTATTCCCCTCTCCAAGAACCCCCAAATAAGTGTTTGATCAATGCTCCATCAGGGATGCTTCCATCGTTGGTACTAGCTGAATGTAGCTGCCCCATGCCAAATCCATCGATGGGTAGAACCAAGGCGTCGCCATATAATCTTGGCGAACCCATATATGACAGGTTCCTCAGGGCTGTCAAGGTGTTATCGGTCTCTTGCAGATATTCCCAGACCGCATCTGTCCATGCTGCTGGACCTGTCGTGTTCATAACCTCGAAACTTGATGCCTCCCATGCCGGACCGTGCAGATTGACCATGTCTTCCCATGACCGTACCACACGGGCTACCATCTTTTGGAAGACAGGATGACCTGGCGATGCAGCAATAGTCCACTGACAAAATTGTACCCGGTGTGATATGTCGGCCCAACTGACCCCGTCACGTTGATCAAATTCAATACCAACAATAAGCCGTGTCCGGTTCCGAAACTCTTCGGGAATCCAGTCATCAACTGGCTTCAGAGCAACAGTATCAGTATCGGAATAAACGCCACCCTCAATGTCCAGGAGAAGGTAGCGAAGGAGATCAGATTTCATCCCAACGTTAGGGAGTGAGTCGTAGATTGAAAGAATGGTGTGGTTGAAATTGCGGGAAACAAAATCTCTACCACCTTTTTCACCCACAAGCGTGCTAGAAAAGAGTTGATAAGTCTAATCTCAATGAAGTCCAATGCTTTGAGGCTCTAGCAACAGAAGATGGAACCCTTACTATGTGTAATCCTGGTTCTTAGCCAGCCATGTTGCTGTTTCTTTCAAAATGTCTGAGTCAACTGCATTGTGAGCATTTTTGCCCCCCTTGGGCAAAACAATTTGCCAGATCTTGGGAGGGATGAGGTGATCAGGGCGCGCCTTCATCCACTCTGATGGCGTAGAGTTGTGCTCCCATGGGCGAGGGCTCTTTATGCTCGTAAACTTGTTGTTAAACAGACGTTGGTTGATGCTGCCAGAGGTGCCGTAAAGCAAGAATATTAACAGCAGGATCAGGTTGATGCCCACCCACAAGCGTGGCTGATACCGCCTCCGCGAGTTGTTGTAGATGACTTTTTCTAACATTGTTGCCAGCGAGCTGGTAGGAAAAGCTCAGGCCGTCACGCGCTAACGGGAAGATTGCGAAAGACGCTCGCCAGGACGACGAGATGGGGTTATTGTCGACGTCGTGTCAAGAAGAAAATGAATGGCCCGAGCCTGTCGAGCCCAGCGGGGAGGGGCAAGCAGGATTAAAAAAGGAAATCAAAGAAACATAACAAGCTCAGCTATTTTCCTCAGGGTTGTGGGAGCCGAGACAAGGGAGAAACCAAGTATACGGGATTATGTACGGACCGTCGAAAGGGAGAAACACATCTGGGACAGACGAATGCAAGGGACGAACTGGGTCTTAGGATAAGGATCGCGCCTCCATACCTCGCCGCCCGTTTTGTAAAGAAGCATTAGCCATGTGGGGCCAGAAGACTGGTGAGTCGCGACAGAACACTTCCAACAGAATAAATGGCAGGGGTCATGGGCAAACATTCATCTTGGTACAATAAAGAGACATGTACGGATAGAGGGAGGCCACCAGATCAGCTCACCGTCGCCAACTATGCCGTCAGGCACATTGCACACCTCCCGCGACAAACAAATATAAACATGCCACCTAATGTCCCTGTGCCCAGACATACATGCGGGTTCCAAAATACACCGCTGGTCAATACTGCAAGATTGGGTAAGGTGTAGATGTCAACCGCCCCAAGAGTAACCCTAGCCTTTGGATTGGTTTAGCCCAATACAGCCAGCATGGATGCCCGGTCACTCTTGGCCGGTTGACAATCGTAGCCAATAAGGAAAATTGCTAGTATCACATGTGGAGACTCAGCCTTGAGTAGCCGGACACAATTGGTATGTTGGCCCGTAAAGCGTTGGTGATGGCGACCAAGCAGGTTAGGCTGGAACACAGACCCTTGTCGAAGCCCCTCTCCATATGCCGTTGAAACTATCTCCAAGAGCTGTCGCTCTTTCTGCTACGATATTCACAGGGGCATGTGTATGTATGTACTGTCAGGGCCTGCTGAACCGGGGCAGGAGACGGCGTTGGAACTTGGGGAATGGCGAAATACACCCTAGACGGACATAAGTTTTTGATGTAAAGCCAACATGTTCGAGTGCTTCCACCCGTCTTCATACTTCTGCGGCACGATATGCCCACAGCTCTTCAAACACATTTGACTATTCGCTCTGTCAAACCATTTCGTCCTGAAGTCAATTTTATGTCAGAATAAGAGGCAACAAAGGCCAGGACTTACACATCCAGTCATGACGACCACTTTTGACATAGACGCTTTACCGACAATCCCGTCATCATGGACCGCCCCGACCACCTGCTTCGCCAGCACGCTTTACTACCGAGTCCTGCTCGGCGACGGCTTCTTTAGCAACCTGTACGGGACGCCTACACCCGTACTGGATGGCAATACACCCAAAGGAGATTGCATGCCCCCATCGTTCACCATCAACGTGCCCTATTGAACCGACGGTGATTGTCCCACGGGCTACACCCGTACCTGTGCTACTGCCGGGCCCGATAGGTCGGGAAAGCCCGTCAGCAGTGTTACATGCTGTCCAAGGTTCGTCGGTCCGCTTGTTCTTTTGTTCAAGGAGCCCTGGACTGCATTTCAGGCCGCCGATGAGCAAATACATCGGAACTTGGGTTGACGACTACATATAGTGTCACTGGCAATGCATTTTCGTTCATGTGCAGAGATCATGAATACGGCTGCCACGCAACAGCGACTCGTGGCGCTGTGTGGACCGGGTTGATTACCGATCTTGGCATTGCTGCTCCAACAGAAGAGCCGATAACGCGGACACCGTTTACAGATGAGGGTTTGGAGGCGTGGGGAATTAAGATGATTTCAGTAAGTTGCGTTTGTTTTCCTTCAAAGACTAGACCAAATCTAATCAGTGTCCATCACAGGTAGCGTCGACATCACCTCCAATCTCTACGGCAGCTTCTAGTCCACCTATGACGATGACAACGCCAACAACAACAGAAACGGGAACCTCTGCAAATCAAGCTTCAGCTACGACAAGCACACAAAGTGCCAGCAATGGCTCTTCTACAGGGCTTTCTTCTGGCGCCGTAGCAGGGGTCGCCATTGGTTCCGCCGCATTGATGGGCATCCTCATGCTCGTCGGATTTCTGATACATCGTAACAAGCGCAAGAGGCTGAGCAACGAAATCAGCTGCCTCTCAACAGATGGAAGCACAAAGGGGACCCCTATGGACAGATATATCTATCCTGCCGGCGTCAATGATGGCAAAGTCCATGAGGCTCCAGGCCAGAGGACATGGGAATTACAGGGTTAGAGCCGACTGAATATGAAAGTTGTAGTGGTAATAGTGGCAGAGGTTGAAGAAATATCACATAATAGCATGTCATAGGCGTCATTTAGGAGTAGAATACCCAGAACTAGAATTGAAGAAGTAGAACTAGCACTGCGCCTAGATAACTAACGTCTTTAATCCTGTTTGCTGGAGTGGTCTGTATTTGCGACCACTCTCGATTGATCCAACATAAACCATGCAGCTTGGCTGCAGGCAATTCAAGGACATGTTTGGGTTTGCTCAAGGGGATTTCGGCATGAGTGGCCAAAGTGCGCGTTAGAGCACATAAATCAATAAAACAATGAGTCGTTTGTGAAATCTGACAGAGATAGGTGCTACACATTGCTGCCACCAAGCATTTGGGTCTCTCATTTAATCTTAGGCATCGCCTTCCAGAAAGGCGATAGCTCACATTTTGACGCACCTCAAGCTACGGAAATGGTTGCGGCGCAGAGAGATGGGACTGGTATTTTCAATCCAGTATGTAGTTTGAACAAATTACTCGAAAATCTATGCAAAGAACGACAAGTCTCAAAAATCTTCGTTCTTGTCCCGAGCTAAGTTGGAACCTTACAAGTTTGAAACCAATATACCTTTGCTCGGGGAGTGGTCTGCAATATGAGGTTGCGGTGTTCGCCGGTAGGCGTCTGGCAAAAAGCCTTCTAGGACTCCTTTGATCTGTTGAGCGATCACCTTGGAGAACCATCTGTGCTGCCCAGTTCCGCCGGCGAACATCCAGAGGTTGTCGACTCCTGCGTGTCGTTTCCAAAGCCCGCGGACCTCACCTTCGGCGTCTGACCCCCACGTTGGCTCCAGCTTGCTGGCGATGGCTTCATATCCAGCTCCAAGCTCGCTCGAAAGTCTTTTCCTGCCGTCAAGGTCGCCAAAACCAGTGCACCACACAACGGCGTCGGTTTCCAGCGTGCTGCCGTCCGACAACAACAATCCTTCGGACGTGTAGGCTTTGGGCACTACCCCGGAGCGGATGCCAACCTTCTTCTTCGAGATGAGTTCGATGCCTTTACCCATATCCACAAAGTGGCCCCCGCAGCGATCCACGAGATTGATGATTAGATCACCCGTCAAGGAGTCTTGGACTCTCAGCCCTGCCTTCCTTACCTCATCGTATCGATGACTGTCGATGGACAAAATTAGTACAGTTAGATGATGAGCTGGGAGAACGATGCTTACGGCTCTGCCTGGGCTAGCATTCGGTGGACCAGCCGAAGCACATTTCCACCAACGGCCAGCGGGCTTCCATGGACAATCGGGTCCGCGTCTTGGGTCGGCATAACGTCGTATGCCCCTAACCCCAAGGGATGAGTAAAGTAGTGCATTGGGATGACATAAGTCTCTGATCTTTGCACCATAGTAGTCTGGAGGCCAGAGTCATGGCAGTCCGTCATCACGTCGAATGCGGTATTGGCAGAACCAATGATGACCACAGACTTGCAGGGGGTGTCAGCACAACACCTGTTTCTACTACACGTAGCAATACTGCCATGTGAGACTCACCTTGGCGCCGTCTGCCACAAGCTCTCTGGCGTTACGAAAGCTCCCAGAATGCATGTTAGGACCTTTGAACTGCTCCCGCCCTGGTAGGTCCGGCAGAGGTGCAGCGCCGGAGAACCCAGCACCAGTCGCGAGGACCAAGCATGCGCATTCCAGATATCTTCGTCTCTGTCCAATTTTCAGCTCCACCCTCCAGGTTTTGGTGGTTGCATTGTACGTCGTAGCAGTCACCGTTGTGTTGCGAAGAACGCGACGTTCTAGGTCGAACTCGTGGGCAAAAGCTCGAACCTGTGCGGCCAGCTGGTCCCGGGTAAGGCCATCGTTGGATGACTGTGGATACGCTGTTGACTTGTTAGTTGTTTTACGACGGCGTGGTTCACCAGCCCCTTAAGGCGACGTGGAAAGTCTTGGAGCTGGATAGCTGAAAGCATCCGGCGGAAGTTTGGGTCAAATCATGTGATACTTCAAGGCCAACGCTTCGACAAGCACATGGGGCTCACTTACGGAGATATGGCATCTCACAAAAGGATTTGTAGACATGAAAGCGCATGCAGTCGTATCGCTGCGACCAGTTTTCCCCCGCCTGTTTATTTCGGTCAATGACGACAAAGTCAACGTTCAAAGCCTTCAAGCGGCCAGCTAGAACGATACCCCTGGATATTCGCATGTTAATATACGTCGCGCATCTTGGCGAATAGAAAGGATACTCACGCATTGCCACCGCCAATGACTAGCACATCGGTGTAGATGCAGTCATCTTCGGTGATTTGATTAGAGGGGACCCTCAGTAGGGCCTCATCTTCCGGGTATTCCTCCCACTCCTTGAGCCATGTACTCATGGACCATATCTTCCACTGGCAATGATCGGGTCCCTGAACTTCCGGGACTAGCATCATGCTTCCTCGGCATAACGCTCGTGGTGACCCGGTCGTAAAACCGAAGCTGCAGTTTAGCCATTTCTATCATATGTTAGCAGCATGGTAGGCATAACAAGGTAGCAGCAGCCTTACCAGGTCTTCAGTCGCCGTCACAACTTGCCCGCTGTGAAATTGAAGATGGCCAACTTTTCGTTGGTCGTGCAACTCTAGCAATGCCGATGCAATGGTCTGCCTGCCTTTGAATGTTCTGAGATGAGCCGTCAAGGCTAAGGTGTCCTTCCAGTGCGCGGACGAGGTAGCAAAGACGTTCTCCACGTCTCGGTGACGTTTCTGCTGTAGAGCAGCGGATAGCTCCGTCACAACGCTGTGAGCGATCTCATCTACGTCCAAATCGTCCCAGCTTGATAGCGCATTGGCTGTGACTGGCGGCTGCTCGTAGATCTGGGTCTTGATGTCAACCTTGGGAGGGTAATCTGGCAACTCCATTTTGTTTGAGAAGCGTCAGGATAGCGTTGAGGAACCCGGCTGCCGGCCTAGAATCACGTATAAGCTTGATGTGATGAGAGGGTGCACGGCTTTCATATCCAAAAAAAAAAAACGCTTCACTGAGGTACATGCACTCGCTATTTTAGTAAACTAATAGCTTGAGCCGGCCCGCAGATCTTAATTGGCTGATGTCTCACTGCATGTGCGGTTGTTGCTAATGCCCGGAGCTTTGGGGGTCCGACGACAGCCCCGACCCTCATGATCTAATCAGCAAGCCACGTATGTCGACGCCACCCTACTGAGTGTCATGTTGGTCTTTGTGCCGAAGTCTGCTTATGCTGTTTGATAAAAGTCGGCCTTCTTGACTAATCATGTGGGAGACTTGTATTGACTTTAGATTGCTCGTCTGGGGTGTGTTCGCTGACACTGGCCTGATGCAGAGTTGCTGATGCAGAGTTGTAGTAGATCTACTAGGTATAGATCGGCAGAACCCGGTGAATATTCCCAAAGGGCGCCGACCACTTCGACTGGATATACGTATGTTCGAGCATGCGTTGTCTCACACCGACGGCCCGCTCATGCTTATGATGTCTGCAGTGAAACTCGACAGTGCGCCTGGGGGTTACAGTCGCCAAGGTTCTGGGCCACCCATACCTCGATGTTTAGGTGAACCGTGAACTTATTTTGGGTGTGTGATTCGATACGCACTCATTGTTGTGGCACCCCGATGATTACTTTTCTTGATACACAATCTCTGGCGCGTGTCTCTGCCTCACTTGCGAGCACAGAAAAGACGTTCAAGCGATGATATTTGTGCCATTTTGATCCGTTTTTTTTTCTTCTTTTTTCTTCTTTTTTCTTTTTTTCTTTTCTCTTTTCTTTTTTTGCCTTTTCTCTTCTTGCTCGTGATAAGAGGGTTTAACCCATTGATACTTCCATCGAGGGCTCTGTTCCTTGTCGGCTATCTCGCATTGAAGACCGGCGCAACGGCTGCATTGATCCTTCGGCATCGAGGTCATGATTGTGGAAGCCACCTGCAATGAACACGTAGCCGAGGCAGATATGTGGACAGCATGTCACTGCCATCTCAGGAGCGATCACGGACGCCAGCATTGCCTCGCCAATCTCTGGTGCAGCCACTAGAACCGATGAGTGGCAACTGGTAAAAGCTAGTTTTGAGGTGTGATGAACCTTAATTGTTGGGGGTTGGTAAACAAAGAATCGACCTGACAGTCGGCCCCCCCTCCCCCCATTGGCTTCAACTTGGGAGCTAGTGATCTATCAGCATCGAACATTCGATGTGAGAAGAAGCCAGCGATTTTTTATTTGCATCTATCCAAGTGATCTCTTAAGTTTGAATAGGAATCCATAGACGTAGAGAACTTCTTGGCGAAAGACGCCTGATGACATACCGTCTGTGTGGTCTCCTCAAATGAAGCCAAAGACGGGATGGACGATACTACCAGTCTCTCTGGCCTAGCAACTGGACCTAAGTACTTATCCATTGTCGTCGCTCTCCTGTCAGACTGATGCTCCGTGTAACAAGCAGCATAGATGACGGTCAAGGGATCCGCTAACAACTTTTGTAATTGAACGAAGAGGGTACATATACTGTCGACTGACGACTACTCTGCGGCATTCAAAATGTCTTCTTAGAAGCAACCTTGATGATGATAAAGGATGGCAACAATCCTCGTATCAATATCCGGTTTTACACACGTGCTTTCATGCAACGAGATGCCGCAAGCTTTGATTGGCCTATTAACCTGTAGATACGGATCTCCATGTGTTTCAGTGGGTGGATGCCCCGACTCCGACGACCATGACCACGACCACGACGACTCCATCTCCCAAGTGTCTAATATGTATCTGACCTTTGACGGAACGAACGACTAAACTCCTAACTACAAGCTGCTTCGAATCGATACAGTACAACAGAGCTTTGCAGCATGGTACGGCGCCTCTTATTCCATCGCCTTTCTTTCACCATGCTGTCTTTGATTTATGTTTGGCACTTTGAGTTGAGTCAAACCCAACTCGGATAAGGGAAGGATGCAGAGCCCGGTAGCATCCGATAAGTCTACAGTAGGTAGATGGCCCGTCGGCCCTTCGGCCGGCTCTCTGCGCCAAAATGGTTGCAAGACCCCATGACGCCCAAGGACACCCTGGCTGACGAAGACAAATGGTGGCGCAGCAGCTACCCCTAGCTCTTTTGTCCCGAGGATTGACGAATGGCGCAACGTCATCACTGCTCAGGGACAACGGCACGGCTCTCGCTCCCACTCGTCCCTCGTATCCTTTCGCTTCACCATACTCTGTACGGAGTACCATGTATGTATTCGTCCATCTTTAGTCACCAGCTGAAACCTATAAGCGCCACTCTGTGCGAGGCCAGGCAGTCAAGTAGGTAGGTAAGCTCAGTTATCACTGACAACCTGAGGCGAGATCGCCTTCCCCGCATCTCAGCTTATCCTAGCTCTGCAGCCCTCTTGACTTCATCTCATCTCACCCTATATCATCAAAGGTCGGCCAGAAGACGCCTCGATTCCTACAAGCAGAAGCCAAGATGCCTCCTCTACCCATGCCTCCTCACGACATCTGGAACCCTGACGGGTTTCAGAGCCCGGAGCTTGCTATCGCCGTCGAGCGCTTGTCCCGCCGCACCAATCCCCACACGAGCTCTAACCCTCCTCGCACGACGACTCGAGATTCCGAACCGGGCAACGGCGACAGCGTTACGAAGGAGTACTTTAAGCACTCGAGCGCGAAGCGCGTCAACACCGATGCTTTAGTGTTCAAAGCTCTCAAGGAGCAATACCCCCATCTCGAGCTGGTCGTTGTGCCCGAGGCCGTTGGCTTCAACGATTGTAACCTGCTTGGGTTCGCTCGAGCCGGGCACGCTAGCTGCGAGCTTATCGAGGACAAAGGCACCAACCTCCCCTCATCGATCGAATGGCTTATCTACCTAGCTCCAGCCCGGCGTCTCGACGGAGAGCAAGGTGGGCTGGCCAGCACAACCAAGTTTGGCAAGTACCTGTACAAGTGGCAGGGCCATGAGTTCATCGTCTATCTGATTGATGGCCGCGACGGAACGGTCCCTTACCCGGTCAAGAACTACTATATCCTCGCCCCCGAGACCTATCATATTGATCAGCTTGTCCTGGCCGCCGGCAAGTGGAGCAGTGATCTTCATGATGAGGTCTGGGTTTTTGACGAGGGCTACTGGCAAAAGAGCCGCGAGCTCTTTGAGAGCTTCCGGAATGCCTCCTGGGACAGTGTTATTCTCGACCAAGACATGAAAAAGGCCGTCATCGATGACCATCTGTCATTCTTCAACTCCAGGGACACCTACCAGAACCTCAAGGTGCCTTGGAAGCGCGGCCTGATCTACTACGGACCCCCAGGCAACGGCAAGACCATCTCGATCAAGGCCACCATGAACATGCTCCACCAGATGAACATCCCTACGCTGTACGTGCGGACGCTCGTCTCATACATGGGACCCGAGTACTCCATCAAGCAGGTCTTCGGCAAGGCGCGGGAGTACGCGCCTTGCTACCTTGTTTTTGAGGACCTTGATACGATCGTGTCCGAGAACGTCAGGAGCTACTTCCTCAACGAGATGGACGGTCTCAAGTCCAACGACGGCATCTTCATCATTGGCAGCACGAACCATCTGGACCGCCTCGACCCCGGCATTTCCGTGAGTATTACAATCCGGCGGCCGGCCGTTGCAGAGAAGCACCTTGACTAACACGTGGTAGAAACGTCCATCTCGATTCGACCGGAAGTACCTGTTCCCGGACCCGAACCTCGAGCAGCGCATCGCCTACTGTCGCTTCTGGCAGAAGAAGCTCCGGGCCAACGAGGAGATCGTCTTCCCCGACAAGCTGTGCGAGGCCATCGCCAAGATCACGGACAAGTTCAGCTTCGCCTACATCCAGGAGGCCTTCGTCGCCGCCCTGCTGGCCATCGCGCGCCGTTCGCATCAGCAGGGCAGGCGCGACAGTGTTCAGGCCCTCACGGAGCAGCTCGAGGACGACTGGCTCGGGGTGGTCGACGCTTCCGAGGACGAGGACTTGAAGAAGCTGGTGCTGTGGGTGGAGATCAAGAAGCAAATTGAGATTCTCCGAGACGGCATGGAGGAGGAGAACTAGACGTATACACACTGTCTGCATTGCGTCGTCGAGGTTTCATGCGGGGGGGGGCATAGGATAGCATGACTTGAGTTGATTGTATGATAGTATCATGATGAGTAACAAGAGGAAATGGCACACTTAGGACCGCCAACTTTTAAAGATGGTCAGATTGCTAGACGAGGCATTCGTTACTGCACCTCACTGAAACGAAGTGCTTTGTAGTTAAACCGGTGCCGGTGGAACAAAGGGCTCTCTATGAAAGTATCCAAGGTCTCTGGGATGTACGTAACTCCTCTCTGGGGGGGGTGGTACAAGACCGGGAAGCGACATTGGGGCTTTACGTTGTAGAACGCGAGACACTCAACTAGGTGTCGCAGTCCTGCCTCCCAAAGCTATATATGAATGGTTGATGAAATCAATATATGTACATGTGTGGTCGGCAAACAAGGCACACCGCATGCATGGGATATGTGCAACAACCAATGTTTCCCCGCATCAGACTTTCAATAGATCCGAAAATAGCCAAGCCAAGCTCGTGTAACCTATTTCCTTGCAAGTTACTCGTTCTCGTTCATTTGAGATGCCCTCGTTGTCATTGCCCCCGCCTCTCTCAAGAACAGACATACCTATACTTGCCTCCATATGCGCGTCGATCAGGTGTTGTAAAAGCAGTCTACAGACCGCTTTAGAACGCCCTAAGAAACATCAATGTCAGCTATACATCGCAACGTGGCATCGTCGGTAGGCGAAGACCAAAACAGTGTCTTACCTTGCCTGTAGTGACGCCGCGGACTTGGCAATAAGCCTTGTCCGGGTTCTTCACGTCCTGGATGCTCGTCAGAGTCCACCTCTCGGTTCTACCTCGTCTGTTGGATTCGAGCTCGATCTGCTGCATCTCGCTCATGAACCTGACGTCAAGCCTGCCGCCGTGCTGGTCCTTGACCGTCAGCAGACTGGGCAGGTCGACGGGCCCTCCACCCTTGCTGTCGCGCTCGCTGGCGAGGACCGTCTCGCTGTTTCCGGACATGTCGTAGACGGTGACGACGGCCGTGTGGTTGGCCTTGTCGCCGCCGAAGGCTATTTCTTGGGAAATTTGAACGAGACGCTTTGAAGGGGCGTGACCGGGGCCGGAGCCAGGGAGGGGCTTGGACCTCCTACCGAATACGATTCTGGGTATATCCGGGATGCCTGGCTCGGGGCCAGGGTCATCTGCTAGTACGGTTGAGGTGGGCTTGGTCCGGCTGGTGACTATCACTCCAGGAGTGGCAGGACGCCAGTCTGTGATCTTGAGCTTGGACGAAGATGCCGCTGCCTGGCGGGAAGACGGGGTAGATGAACGGAGCGAAGGTGTGCTCGGGGATACACTCTTGGAGACGCCGCTGCTTGGATCCCTGGTTCTAGAGGAGCCTGCAGAAGATGACCCTCGGCCAATTGAGGCGGAGGTAGAAACGGAAGCCGAAGGGGACGCAGAAACAGACATCAAAGCGGGCGTAGAAGCGGATCCCGAGGCGGAGGCCGAACCACCCGAAGCCGCGGGCGAGGAATGCCCCGGGGCAGCAGGCATCGGGCACGACCCCGCGCTCTTGTCGTCCCGGGCCGCGACGGCACCAGGAGGACACCAAGACTCCTCAAAGACCAGGAACTTCTCGTACCAGACGCGGATCGTGGGCTTGCGGACCTCGGCGCCGTCGGCCGTCGTCGAGATGACGTGGGCCGGGTGGTACTGCCAGTGCAGGAGGCCGTACGGCGGCGAGTACATGTCCATGGGACTGAGCGGGTTCCGCTCCTGGGCGTAGGCCGGCCAGTACGAGGGCCCCTTGACGTAGATGTTCTTCCGGATCTTGTCGCGCGGGAATCCGAGGTCGTCGGCGATGAAGTCGGCCCACCGGCCCACGAGCCGGTCGTGCCTTGGCTCGAACCCGCCGTAGTTGGGGGGGATCTGGGAGGTGCCGGCGAAGGTCATGGAGGAGGGCACGTGGAGGATGACGGCCAGGGTGTCCTGGGCGATGTTGTCAAAGATGTCGGTCTCGCGCCGCAGCTGGTCGATGCCCTTGTAGCCGCCGATGCGGTCGCCGGACCCGCGCTTGAGGAACTGCAGGATGCCCTCGTCGAACTCGGCGTCCCAGTCCAAGGCGGTGGGCTTGTGGGTGCCCTTGTGGAAGTTGGGTATCTCCCACACGTGGCTCGTGTAGATGCCCCTCTTGGTGACGATGATGACGCCGCTGCAGCCCCAAAAGGGGCCGGTGGCGCCGGCGAGCGGCCGGTCGCCGAAGACGTCGGCGTGCATGGTCGAGTAGCCCATCTCGAGGCGCTCGCCGTCGAGGGTGAGGCGCGGCGCCGTGAGGCCGTCGCAGTAGTGGTAGACATACCTCCACATGCGGTCCCACCAGTTCTGGGGGCCCTCGGGCCAGTCTTCGGGGCGCGTGAGGCCTTTGGGCCCGTCGAGGAGGCCGGGGTCCGGGGGGTGAAGCCGTGCTGGCGGGCGATGAGGCCTTTGCCTCCCGGTTTGGCTGCGCAGTTCAGGCATGGAGATTCCCTGTCGCCGCAGAAGTGCTCCGCCGGGGCCGGCGTGGCCGAGTGTGTGGTGAAGGTCGTCGTTGTCGTGGTGTCGAGGGTCTTGCTGCAGACGACGGTCGGCTTGCAGGTGGCCGTGTCGCAGGTGGTGGTGAAGCTTGTCGTCGACCCGGAAGTTGTCACGGGGCGGACGAAGCAGTGCTGGTCACAATTGGGTGAGATGGTTGTGGTCGCGGTGCAGGAGGCTTCTGATGAAGCCGCGGACGTTGGGCTCTTCTCAGGTTCGTCTTCCGGCTCCTCGGGGTCGGTAGGGTCGTCAGGCCTGACCTTGCGAGGCTTACCCCTTGGTTTGTGTGCTGGAGGCTGTGCGGCCGCGTTAGTCTGAAGCGGTCTGTCTGGTGGCATTGTCTAGAAGATAGAGTATACCTTGGCCCAGGGGAACCCACGAGGCCCTGGGAGGTTCAGGCCGCCGCAGGAGAGGAAGGGAATCAGACACTTGGGCGGGCAGAGTAGCTGCCCGCCACCGCAGAACCACACAGGAAAGATTGTGGGCCAGGCGATGCCATCACGGGTCGTCGTCTTGGTGAGCTCGGTGGAAGTCCAGGTGACGATGGTCGTGGGATCGATACCCTCGGGAGGTTTTGATGTGGCGAACATGGGTACGGTGGCATACTCTAGGGTATCGGACGAGGTGGGCGAGGCCGTAGAGATAGGGCCGCTTGAATAAGTGCTTCCGGGCCCAGCAGTCGATGTCGAAGACACAGACTGTCCAGCGGGCGAGGCTGCGCTGCTCGACGTTGCACTGCTGATGCGTGTGCTACCAGGAGAGGCCGTGGTTGGCTTGTTATTGTCGTTGTCTTCTGGAGTCTTTGTTGACTTGTCTTGGTTGACCTCTGAAACCTCGGAAGACTTTGACGACTGCTGACCTTCGCCAGTGGTAGTAGTTGGTGGCTCATGGGTACTTGCTCCGCCAGACATGGAAAGGGACATGGATGGGGTTCGCACATCGTGATTAGTACCATGAGAATCGGAAACAGATGTGGGAGACGGATCGGCGATGGTCGAATCTTCAGCGGCGGAAGAAGAAAAGAACGGATCGTTTCCCGTCACTTGGGTGCTGCCAGAGGGGAGTCCGACTGCCTGAGAGTTGGCGCTTGAGGTTGCGGCTTGACCAGGGATTGTGGTAACACGAGAGGTCTGGGCTGTGCCACCTTCGGACAAAGATGCCTGCATGGCAGAAGTGGAGGACTCATTCTCTCCGCTCTTTGGCTGGCCTCCCTGCGCAGAGTCGAGAGGAGACGAAGACGGAGCGCCCCCGTTGGGGACGCTGAAGGAGGTGCTCCGCGCTCCAGTCGACCTGTTTTCCTGGAGCGAGGTGAAAGATGAGCTGCCCGGTGAGTCGCCAGAGGAGGCGCTCTGTTTTATAAGGCTAGCAGACCCAACAGTGTTGATGAAAGTCGTGTTCCAGGACTGTTTGGAACTATTCTCGGGGTCTCTGATCGTGGGGAGGCCATTCAAGGTAGAGGAAGTGACAGGCTGGTGCGTGAGAGAGGAAGGGAGTTCTGAGGCATCGTATGGCAGGGTGACGAGGATATGGGTGGTGATGATGCTGGTGACGACCCGTTCTTTTCCGCGCTCGGAGGCTGAAAGCGAGAGCGTTGCCACGTCGGTTGTGACGATAGGATTCAGAGCTTGAGACCTTTCGTCTCGCTTCTTGGGATCTGGGGTGAGATGCAAACAGTCAGATGGCTGAAACGAATCATGTCTACGGTGGACGCTCACCTCTACCTCGAGCCTGGCTGGTCTCGACCAAGAGAGCGAAGACGATGAGATGGAGTACACCGCGAAGCAAGGGCTTCAACGAAGGCGTGCGGGTGGCCATCTCGACGCTTGCTCTGGTCTTTTGTGGCCAATTTGTAGCATGTAGAAACTTACGATGTATGAGAGAGTGAGACAAAGTGTATGAGTAAAGCAGACAGAACCTGAAGAATTTTGATGGTGAAACGGGAAGGATAAATCATCGCAGACGTGGGCGATGCCGGCGCATGGTGAAGTGAAGAGAAGAGCAGCGAGAGGGAGGGGGGAGAGGAGCAAACATCGTATCACTCTGAAACAATAGAGAGAAGACTGATGAATGTAATCAATCAGATTAGCGATGGATGGCGGTCAACATGTGTCTTTGTTTTCCTCGTCCCCTTGCTTGACAGTGGGAAACTTTAGACAAGCATGCGAGGGAAAGGCGAAGTGATGGTCGATCATGAGGCAAGGAACAGCTCGGAGGTGTTGGAGTGAAAGGACAAACAGAGTGTCCAAGTCTTCTGGGAAGGGAACATTGGGGATATTGCAGAAACCATCGCGTCCAACAGAGACACATACTGTTGGAGGTTTCCAAGGGGATTGCCAACTCGGGATGATTTGCTGCTCATGCATGGAGAATGAATGAAGCGTCAGGACGGGTCTATGATATAGATTATAATCATCTGCAACTGTTGAAGTCGTCGCTCCTCTACGTAAACGAACAATGCTGCACACGTTGCCAGCTAATACTTTTAGTGTACAGTACGATCGGCTCATAGCCTTATGATAAGGGACCTTCTGTTCGATTGTTTTGCTGTATGGGTTTAGTTCGTGATTGATCGACTTCGCAATGACTTCTCCGGATGATATGGCGTGGTGGAAAGATCTATACGCGGCGACGAGTCCATTGGGACTGTGTGCATCAACTTCAACACGGCGGAGTAATCAAATGCACCTCTCAGGCATGGAAGGAATCGTTGCTCATGGTTTGTATCTGCTTTGAGAACTTGTACGCATCGTTGCTGACCAGAACATCGGTTGTGTCTAGTCTTGTGTGGCTATTTTCAAGGACCGACTTTTTGGACTGTCAAGCAAAACACGAGTAGCAATACCCTTTACTTTTGGAAGAAATAATGCTCCTCTCAACTTGCCCCATGAGATGAATCGATCTTGTCGAATACAGATGGACACCCACCGTACAATTGACACTTTACGGACAAGTCAAGAAGAGTGCTTCACAGGAGCCTCGATGCGATTTGAGCGGACAGACGCCTGTATGATAGGCTGCCTCAGTGAGCTCGGCTCAGCTTGCGCCGAATGCCCAAGACGGGCGCGAATATATTTATCCAAAATGTATGCTGTAGTTATAAAAAAGGTGTATGCATGTTTCGCTTCCCCCCCAAGCGCCTCTGGCCGGCCAGATGCCGTATAAGTGCTCGTTGCTCAAACGCCGCCGTGCCCCAACGAATTGTAAGCTCCCCGCCGTCCGTGCATCTCTTTCTCTCTATTTTTTGCTTTGCTTATTTATTTATATAGGTCTCTCTTTCGTTGTTTGCCAATGGTGCGAAGATGTCGGGAGGCGGTGACGGAAGGACGGACGGGCCGTCTAGCCGCGGCCGCCGTTGTAGTCGGCGCCACCGGCCTTGCGTAACCGCTTGATGATGTCGTCTTCGTCGAGGTCGGCCTTGTCGCTGGCGTTGACGGTGATGCTGTGGTGGGGCAGGACCCTCTTGACCTCGCTGCTCTCGATACTGACGCGGGCCTTGCGCATGATCTTTGTGGACTCGCCGATCCAGATGACGAAGGCGAATTTGACGCGCTTGCTCTCGGCGTCGTTGGCGTACTCGACGCGCACGTAGGCGTATTGGACCTGAGAGTCGTCGAGCTCCTTGGCCAGCTCGGCGATGCCGCCGGTGCCCGTCTTGGTGAGGGTCAGCTTGTTGCCGACAGCGCTGGCATACGAGATGAGAAGCCAATTGGTCTCGTCCTTGTCGGAGCGGACAGCATCGTAAGCCGCGGCGATCTCGGGCGCGTCAAGGCCGGACATTGTGTGTGTCTCTGTGTGTGTAGGAGCGGAATAGCGGCGGTGGAGGGCCGGGAGTTCGGGACGGGAAGACGAGAGGGGGGTCTCTTCGTGGGTGGAGACAAAGAGCGGCGAGTATATGCGCGTGGGGAGGGAGGGAGAGTGACAAAGAGAAGAACGGGAGAGTTTGCAATAGGACGGAGGAGGAGAGAGAGAGAGAAGGGGGACGGAGAGGGACGGAAGGGTCGGAGTCTTCCCCTTGTCGGAGCAGGGAGCGTTCGGCCGGAAGAGAGGCGAGAACAGGGAACCGAGGCCGGAATCGATGGTGGTGTATCCTCGGTGAGTGGTGTGGTGTGGTATCTGTCAATCTGTCTGTCTGTCTGTCTGTCTGTCTGGGACAAAAAGGCGAAACGACGTCCGAGTCTCCATCCCACATCCCCCCCACATCTCCCTGCCCCTCTCCTGCTGACTCAGCATGCTAAGCTGAGTCAGCAGGCCTTCACCTCAGAATTCTGCCCCTCCTCACCGAGACCCCGCCTCGGTGTAGACAAGGTGTGACACCGGTGTGTGTGTGTGTGTGTGTTCCTCTCTCTCCCTTTCTCCCTACTCCATCCATACATCCTACACCCCACCACCTTATCTTGATTACCTCAACACGATGACTGACTCGTCGCATCACACCCACTGAAACAACAACACCGTGGTATACCTATTCCTCCGGCAGAAAATGCTGCTCCCTCGACCGATGCAGAGAGTGGCTGGATGATCAATCGTCAATCGTCTCTGCCGATGCCAAGAAGAGAGGTGAGGGCCATCCGTTAATGTCGACAGTATCCCATCCTATCCCATCCTATCCCATCCCTACCCTTACGTACCGTAGGTTCGTCCATCCTCCGGTGTGCTATGCTAAATATACATTGTATGTTCCTCCCAACCATCGAATGCTCACTAACACATCTGCTTCTTTTCTTAGACCTCTCACACTGATCGTCATGGACCCCTACGAACAAACCCCCTTGATGCCACTCGTGGTCTTTCTTTTTGACGAAACGCCCCCTCATGTGCCAACGTCCAACACATTGTCGTGATGCGATGCGATGCGATGTACGCCACGCTCGGCGTTGCACTCGTCGGCAGCAATCGATAACCTGAGCGCCCAATCCCAAGCCCGAGCATATCGTCGTCCTCCCCCCCCCGGTCCTCTCGGAGGCACTAGTGCGTCTCAACCTCGGCCGCTCGGTCCTCGGTGCGCACAGCGCCCCCCGTGGGGGAACCCCGGTCCAAAGTCAAATGTTTCTGCGACACTTTTGCCCGCTTCATGACATCAAAAACCGCTGGATGCCCTCCCCCCGCCCCTGCTTCCCCCTCCAGCCTTGTACAAACAGAATGTCGCGACCAGGGGCCTGGGCAACTTGACGATCGCTGTTTGATGTTTCCATCTCCATATTTCTTGCCCAACCAATTGGACGACTATATCATCCGTCAACGGTGCCCCGTCATCATACGCTATCTCTAGGATCAATCAATCCCTTTCAAAGCAGCCAGAGTAGCTGTGTGTGTGTGTGTGTGTGTGAATTCTATCGCAATCGCCCAACATGTCAAACGATCTGGCCAGCCAGGCCGTCTGGGAAGCCAACCCGCTCTCGTTTCTCTACCGCCAGGCCGTCGTCACCCCGGCCGAGATCCCGGATCAGTTCGACCTCTCCGACTGCACTCTCATCATGACCGGCGCCAGCAGTGGCCTTGGACTGGAAGCCAGCCGCCAGTTCCTGGAGCGCTCGCTCGGCCACCTCGTTATGGGCGTCCGGAACACAGCAAAGGGCGAGGCCCTTGCCGAGGGCCTGCGGAGGGAGTTCCCCATGGCCCAGATTCAGGTCTGGCATCTCGAGATGGAGTCGTACGAGAGCGTGCGGGACTTTGCCGCCCGCTGCAAGAAGGAACTCTCCCGCATCGACATCGCCATCCTCAACGCCGCCGTCGTCGCCCAGTCGTACATCCGCGCTCGCGAGGGTCATGAGCTGATGCTACAGGTCAACTACCTGTCGACCGTCCTGCTTGCCCTCCTCCTGCTGCCCGCTATGAGGGAGAAGAGGCCCAAGGACGAGCCCGCGCGCCTCGTCCTTGTCAGCTCCGACCTGTCCTACTGGCACACCCCCGAGGAGGACATGGTGACGGGGTCCATGTTCAAGCCCGCCGACAACCAGAGGCTCTGGGAGTCGGACAAGAACTACGAGCAGTCCAAGTTCCTCGGCCAGCTCTTCGTCGCCAAGCTCGCCACCATTCTCGACCCCAACGAGGTCATCGTTAACCTGTCCAGCTCCGGCCTCACCGGTGGCACCAACATTGTCAAGCCCGCGAGCGAGAGCTTTTTCACGGGTCTGATCAAGAAGACGCTGGGGCGCAGCGTCGAGGTGGGCGCCCGGAGCTACCTCGACGCCGCCATCGTCAAGGGGAAAGAAAGCCATGGAAGCTTTACGTCGGACGGTGTGATCAAGCCGTAAGTCTCGTCGTCTTTGTGAATATGAAAGGCTGTCGCTCTCGGATGCTAACCGGTGCGCAGGTGGCCGTCGGTCATGTACACCTCTGAGGGAACCGGGCTCAAGGATAGGATATGGGCCGAGACCAGGAAGGAGCCTGGTTTCGCAGAGGCGTTTGCCGCAGTCGAAAAGGCTTCGTAGAAACCACGCCCGATATGGTGTTTGCGCGAGACCCTGGATCAATGTGGACCAAGACGGAGCAAGGCTGTTTATTGGTAAAGGGTGTTATTTGTTCATAAGGATTGTTTTGGTTATTTTTGGTTGGTGACATTATACCAATATTTCAAGAGGGACGGAAACAGGATGGAGCACTTATTGAAACGGCCGAACGTCCCTTTAGCTAACACAGCTGTATTAACGAAAACGTACAATATCTTTTTATTCGGGCAGGGTTGAAAGTGTAGGTGCTCACTCATCCACAGACTTCAGATTCCGCTTCAGCCTCCACTTTGGTCCGACCTTCATCTCGATATACATGAGCGGTAGTAAGAGAATATAGACTCCGCCCAGCAGGACATATGACCAGCTTATGCGTATAGCCGAGGTCATCTTGTCAATCAAGCCTACCAATAAGGCCGCAAGCAGACACCTGACGAGGTTGGTCTACAACGGTAAAACCAGAACGTGCCACCCTAGCCAGTGCGCGAAGAGTTTTTAGTTTTAGGACTTACACACGCCGTCGCTGCAGAGCTTCTTGTCTGCAAAATGTCAATCATCAACGTCATGGTCGTGTTGAGAATGGCTATGGAGGTGTATCCCACTGAGACTCGGGGTCGGCTACCTCCCGTTCCGAGCCCGATACTCGATAGCACCTTTTTCTTTTCGGGGGATGGATACTCACAGACGACTTGGAGCACCAACGGGACGGCAATGTGTACGCCCCTGTCGACGCAGAAGCCCCAAGCTATGACGGCCCCGGAGAAGAGCACGAGGAGCACCGGCATTGTCCTTAGGCGGGCGTACTCCTTTGGGAAGAGGACACTGCCGCCCTCGCCGCCCTCGGCCTCGACCCGCCTCCTGATGCGCGCGTCGTCCCAGTCGAGGAACTTGCCGGTCAGCGTGCCGCCAAAGACCATGCCGAGCCCCGTGGGCAGGTAGCACAGGCCCAGCACCGTCTCGGACAGCCAGGGGTAGACCCTGGCGAAGGAGGACGCGACGGTCGTGACGACAGTGTCGTTGACGGCGCACACGACGCCCGTGAAGACCAGCGTGATGGCGACGTCCGGGTACACCAGGATGACGAACGGGTTGATGGAAGGCCTGGCGGCGCCGGCCGCCTTCGACCGGGCCGTCGTCCGGTCTCTGCGCCGGGCCCGGCCGACGACGGGGACGAGGGGCATTTACACGCCGCCCGGGGAGACGTTGCCGTTGCCGACGAGGCTTCGGAGGGTCTCGGGGAGGAACCTGATTCAACGGTAAGAGGACGAATGCACCGCACCGCACGCGAGACCTGGGGGGGGGGATGTATTTGGGACAGACAGACGTACAGGAGAATGAAGAGGAGGCAGCAGACGGCCATGATGACTTGGAACCAGAAGATGGACCGCCACCCGAGCTTATCGGCCAACGCCCCGCCGACGGCGGGGGCTATACACGGCGAGAACTGTTGACTGTGTCAGTCGGGTCCCCCACAGTGACCGCAGTCTCAGTCTCATCCAGAAGGCGAAAGAAGGCGCGAGCGCAGCGCGAGGGAGCAGGGAGCTAACCATCGGGCCGATATTGAACATGCCAAAGAAGCCGCCCCTCTCGTCGGGGGTTGAGATATCGCCAATGACGCCGGCGCCTGTCTTCCGCGTCAGCGCTGTTTAGGGTTTAACATGCGTATTGCGTATGACCCCGGTGACGGGGTATGTGTATATGTGTGGGCGTGAGGGTGTGAGCCCCTTACCCAACGCGATGGCGCTGGCGCAACCTGCCGCCTGCAGGCGGCGGAGGACGATCAGGAGCCAGAAGGCGTCGGTGGGGATGACGGCGATGCCGACGCAGGCCCCGTTCAGCACGGCCAGGCATACCAGAAAGACGGGCCGTCTTCCGTGGCGATCGGACAGGGGGCCCCAGAGCATCAGGGCTATCCGAGGGAGGGGGGGAAACATATTGTCAGCGGGCATGGTAACATTACCAAGATGGGGGTTTTCGTCTTGTTGTTTTGGTTCAAGACTCACACAGGCCCTGCATCGCGAGAAAAGCCGTCACGGTCAGGTTTGATGTCATCGACCGAGCGGCCAAAGGCCTCGGAGAGCCTCGGGATGGCGGGGAGGTAGATGTTGGTTGGCAGCGGGCTGCGTCTGGCGAGTTAGCGAGTGGAGGACAGATGGAGGGGGACTGGACGAAGGGCGGTGGACGCGTGCCTGTAAAAACCCGCGACGGCGACCATGCCGATGATGAACCACTTCTCGGTGCGCGTGAAGACGCTGTACGGCTCGACAGGGGCGGCGGCGTCCCCGATCGGGACGGAGAGAGGTTCCGGGCCGGGAGCGGGAGCGGATGCCGGCACCGGGGGGTCGCCGGCTCCGGCGTACTGGCTTTCGGTCTTGGGTTCGGCCATTGGTGGGGTCGGATGTCGAGGCACCGTTGGAGGCTAAAACTTTCTGTTCTCGGCTTGAGTGGTAGAGAGGTAGGGGCGACGTTAGAGAATGGGAAAAGGATGGGATGCTTAAACACCTAGTCTTCGAGCCGCGTTCCCCCACACGCTCGTCGGTCTACTTGAAGAAACTGACGAGATAAAATGGGCCCCCCGCTCTATTCACACAGACCCAGAAAGTCGGCGAAACCCATTCGGTACCGGTTCGGGAACGACAAAAAGACTTGATGGGGTGCAGGTCTCCGGCAACGGCAATCCGAGATGGGCCGTCCCGTTTTCCTTGGTAGGGGGGAGGGGGGAACAACCGCATAAGCTCGGTTGGATTCCAGATGATAAGCAGAGACGCACCTCACGGGATACGGGCACAAGTGGACCGAGACCGTGACCGGAGGAGGTGTTGTGCCCGGGGCATTTCCGGGACGAAGGTCTTGGACCGTCATACTTGGCAGAGTTCGGGGGTGATAACTGGGTCAAGCTGGCTAGTCTGGAATGATCTATGGCCAATCCTTTACTCTGTTGGTCTTCTTATCTCCGGCCAAATCTGTAGATCAACCCTTGTCTGAGCTCTTGGGTCAATAATTCTTGCTCGAGCTACGATGCCAGTTCGCCTATGCTCTGTCGACTTGTATACAGCCAGTCCGAAACCCCCTCCCCCTCCCCCAAAAAGCTCCAAAAACCCTCCGTGTAATGTTTCGAGGAGACTTTATGACTCGACGTAGCTCCTCCAAGAGGTAACAATGTCCGTCCCAGCGCTGCGCTTGGATTTTGTCATCGCAGCCTCCGCTCGCTTTGATCATCCCCCCCGCTCTCTCACGCAACGTCGTCCTTCATATGTGATCGTTGCACGCTCCAGGATCACCCCCATCATGCCCGCCAGTATGCCTTGGCGTCATCCAGTTCGCAAAGATGTCACTTATTATTACTTGGCCAGCGCAGGAGCAAAAGGGGATGAAGCGCCCCGGGGGGGGGTAGCTAGACCTGCCACATGGTGGATAGTTCTCGGGAACTCGACTGTTGCCCTTCCAGCGTAACAAGTACGAAAGGGAATCTTCTCCAGAGCAGAGCTTAGAAGCAATAGCAGGCGTGCGTATCTACGCAACAGACCGCTCTTTCTGGCGCGTAGATGACACAGCCTGATGCCTCCTCGGCGCTGTATGCCGAGATATAATCCCGAAGCCTGCGGGTAGCGCTGCAAGGCATTCTCTTTCTTCTTCTTCTATTCTTCCAGCATGGCTCCCTTGACAATGTGGATACTCCGCTTCAGGAATCAACCTCCCCTGCATGCCGCATGGCTTAATCTACGGCGCTCGTTGATGGCGGCTAGCATGTCGACTGGAGCTGTGGGCATTTCGCATTCTCTTTCGGCTCTCGAGACCCTGGTTCGAGAAGAACAGTCCTGGGACAAGGGACAAGGAGGGGAAGCCTCTCACCACTCGTCGATGGTTACGGCGAAAGGGCCGTGCCGCTTGGTGGACCGCGGAGGAAGGGCGCCCAACGGTTGGTCCAAGTAAGGGGAAGTACCGAGTGGATATTGAATACGATCCGTACTGTTTGCCTGGAACAGACCGCAGATCGCCCTTGATTGTTTGGTGGCTTTTCCACGTTGCCGTTCCTGCATTGCCGCCCTCCCATGGACTACAGACCCTTGCATTTGGGATCCGGGCTCGTCCTGTCCCGATATGCTTGGCGTACGAAAGCAGTCATCCTCGAGCAAACAAAGTATGCATTCGAGCGTTCAGGTCAAACCCTAGGCCTTCCCCCCCTCTACCCTATTGGCCTACCTGTCCCTCTAGACAGACCTTTTTTGATGTTTGCTCCCGCCGCTGTGGTGGCTTGTATTGAGATCGGCTCATCATCAGATCAGATATAGGGGTTCTATCTCGCTCCAAGGCATCTTCACCCCTCTGCGCCTCAAATGAAGCATTAACCAGCCGGATGATAACAGACAACGGTGGAGGGGGCAGGCGAGGGCCACAGCTGGCACCGGGGGCTGCAGGCGTGTGCATGCCAAACAGAGCAAACACCACGTTTTCTGCGGTGCTGCACCCTCGCACAATATTGCCAATGTTGGGACAACGGCCGGGACGGGGTCGGGGAGGGGGTCTGCAGACATCTGGCCCAGCCGGAACCTTGAAAGATGTCAGTCACGGAGGTGCCGGTCATTTCTTCCATCTAACGGTGAGAACCTGCTGGTTCTTCCTTGGAGGAGTAACACACAACCGGTCCGTTTACCTCTCGGCTTGCATACGGGAGCAGGGGAAAGCCGGGGCAGGGGGGGATATAGATGGATATGCACGCCTCAGTTTGTGTTACTTGCTAGAAAAGGCAATGCTTGCATGGAAAGGCGGCATAGAAGAAAAACATATATTGGAAGAATCCTGCAGCGGCGGACAATATGATTCGAAGAGGACCCGTGGGGGGGGGGGGGGGGGGGGGGGGCAGATGCGCACGCTATTCGTACGAGAGAACGTTGGCAGATAAAGCGATATAGTCTGGGCGAACGGATAGAACTCTCCAATAACAGGCACGGAATGATAAAATCCTCTTAGTGACGGTTGACGGGCAAACGTGGAGATGATTGTCAGGGTGCGCTGCGAGCCATGTGCTGGTCTCGGACTTTGACGAGCCCTCACAACCAGTCAACACCGGGTGTCGCGGAATGTTACATGCATTATCACATCCCGGTTACTTGATTCGGCCTGCGGCGACGAGATCGGTGTACCTATGTGTGTGTCCGTGTGTGTCAGAAGTTGTCTCCTTTGGGGTTGCAGGCTGACGCACCGCCGCATAGAAGCAGATGCTCGTTCTGATAGAATCACCAATGGGATGCGTTTTCAGTGTCGAAAGACGCCGTGAAACCATTGTCCCATTTCCCTACATGACATGGACTGATCGACCATGAGGCATGCTGCCACGTACACACACACACACACACCTCCGCAGGTCGGCTTACAGTGCACTTGTCTCGGGGCCGTTCAAATAGGGTTTCGCCTCGTCCGGGATGTCTCAGATAGCCTGATTGGTCTGTTCGTCGCATGCGGATGGCAGCCGTCGCGCGATTCGGAGCAGGGCTTGGAGAGGCTTGCGTCGTTGAGGGACTTGGGAGAGGAGGCGCATCATCGGCCAACGCCGGCGCTAGGGGATTGATTCTAATACGAAGGAAGCACGGCAAGTGGCTGTCTATTTGGTGATATCGAAGCCTTTCGGGGTCAACTGACTGCACAATCCATTTGTTTGGAATAGGTATGACCAATCTCTTAAGTGGCAAACCCCCCCCCCCCGTAGATCATCTAGAATCCTATCTGAGCTGTCACCGGGGCAAGGGATCATGCATGCATGCATGCAACAACTGCCCCCAGCGGGGGTTTACACCTAAGTAAATGATTCAAAAAAAAACGTGGTAGACTAGGTGTCTCCCAGTTGCCGGTTTTGCGTGTTCCTGGTCGGATATGGGTTAACGCCGGCGTCAAAGTCTGGGAGAAACGAGACTTTTTACAAAGTATGATCCAGACCTCAAGAGACCAAGAGACCCAGACGAAGGAATCACAGAGCGCAACGGAGAACAGCGTGGAAGAAAAGCCCGTGTTCCACGGTGGCTGCACTAGTTCCAGAGCCACGCCCTCGTGTTGAGTCGATACTGTCAATGGCGACAAAGCTTATCTCGTCGTCTGGCCTTCTCGTCGGTGCCTCTGGCGGCAACTGTCCCCCATCATCAGACGGGATGAGAAATACGACTCGTTGGACTACCAAGGTGACCTTGCGAGGGGAAACCGGGGCTTCTTTCTCCCCGACATTGCGCCGGGCTGACGAAGAACCTGGCGGCCACTCCATTTTACCTTCCGCCCGGTCGGGGGGAAAGGCTCGTGTTGGGGACTTGTCTCTTCGTCAAGTTCCCTTACGCATCCAAGACTGAGCCAAGCACGAACCAGGCCGACTTGGAAAGGCGCCAACCCCGGTCTGTTGCCCGCGGCCGCCTCGGCTCCTACGGGGGGGGGGGGGGCGGCGCACTAGAACGGGGAGAAGTCCGCCCGCCTCCACCGCCATCTCTTCCTCCTCTCGACTCCAAGGTCGTCATGCGGGGAAGTGCCTAGAAAGAGAATTGCGGGGGACGGAGAAGAGGAGAAGAGTGAGGAGATGAGACAAAACAGAGGGGCGTTGAGGGGGGCACTTTGGTGTGTCTGTGGCCTTGGTCTGGACGGGCGGTTGGAAGTGGCACGGGATCCCTGTCCTTACAGACCAACCCTGTCTCGCTCACAATCCGAACAGTCTGTCTTCCGTTCTTATGCTTATTCCCCCCTGGACACCGCCGCAGATTCAGAACGGACGAGCGGAGGCGAGCGCCGTGGGAGGGCGGGGGAGAGGGGAACCGGGGATGATGCTGTGATGATGAATCGAGTATTAACCAGTATTAGAGGGAGAGGAGCTGGTGTTGGAAACGTAGGGAAGAAGCTTTTTCGAAACTTGCCCGCCCTGTACCCGCACGAGAGAGGGAGAGAGAGAGAGAGAGAGAGAGAGAGAGAGAGGGAGTCTTCTGAATCTGTCTTTGTTGCTGCGGGTGGCTAAAACTCAAAACTCGGTCGTCCAGTCCAGCCGGGTACACGCATATATCCATCCTCGAGGAGCTAACGGGCGATTTCGAGATTGGAACATTCCACGCCCTCGAACTTGGCCTTCTATTTTCGCAACGCAACCCTGGCTTTCTCCCGTACCTATTGGTGCTCCGGACCACCGAGCGGCGCCCGTCCCAATGTGCCAACTCATACTTCCCGCCTGCAGACGGAGCGGACGAACCCACGGCGCCGCGCCATCGCACAAAAAGCAATTCGTTTCGGCTCGGGTTCACACCTTTGGGAGGGAGGAGGGGGCGCACTAGGCGCTGCAGCCGAAGTATATCGTATATCCCTCCTTTGCATTGGGAGCACTGCACCGGAGACAGATCCAGACCAACGGGTCATCCATCTAGTGATGATTCGACGGCTGGCTAGCTAGCTAACACCTAGGACGCGGCCGTACAGATAGTGTTGATGTCTATGCTTACTCTGGCAGCGCCAGCGTAAGCGCATGCGTCTCTTCTCCTGGCTGAGCTGAGTTAACAGACGAGAGGGTTGAGACATGCACGACACGAGTCATGAAACAAACTCGCACGTCAAGTCTGGGCCACAAGCAGAGAGGTTCAGCGGACGTCCCTTTTCTCCTTCTTATCCTTCTTCTTCTTCTTCTTCTTCTTCTTCTTCTCTCTCGCATACGCTTGCGCCGTCTTCTCCGCTCCCCCATCTCCTCCCCGGCTCTTCTTCCCCCACCTCTTGTCGCCTCCATCCACAATCAGTCTAGCCCCCGTCTTCTATCCTAGTCTCGTCCAAAGCTCCAAAGCCCCTCCCCCAGTCAACCAACCGATCAGCCGCCCCGGTACGGATATTCGCTCTCACATTGCCATCTTGCCCCTCCGCCAATGGCAAGTAACGAATTAGTGCCGAAGTGGCTCACGGTAAGTGCCAAGACCTGGGCATGCGTTAGGAGCATTGGAGGGTGAGAGCAGTAGTGTCTGTCTGGTCATGCGGGGAATGGAAATGGTTGATTTTGCTCTGAATGCGACTCCACGAACTGATGGACCTCGAGCCCGGCGCCGCCAGCCACATATTATGATATTGCCTCAAGCTCCTCTCCCCCCCCCCTTGTTATTTGCTCCTTTCAAGATGCAGTCCAGGTGCCCGCCGCCATCAAGCTGGCTGCATCATGCACAAACTACCTATTACGCACCACGACCCAAAACAAGCCCGAGCAAGCCCTGCAAGCCTTGCAGACGCGGATGAGACCCTGTCTGACTGTTAGTCTCCTCCCACTTTGTCCCCCACCCCCTCCCATGACGAAGGGCAATCATTGCCGTTCCATGTCCTGGAAAGCATGGCTGGTAGCAAGGGTCCCGGTGCCAAGCACCATGTACCCCGTGCCCCCTCCCGTCGGAAGCCCGCACGGTGATGTCTACCTGTTCCGAAGCGGTCTCCATTGTAGCCCGTGTGGGCTGGAGAAAATCAGCGAATCTTGTCTTCCTAATCAAGGTGTGCAATGGATATGAAGTGCAAGTGTGAGTGGATCAATGGTAGCATCTCGGCGGCCATGGACGAAGCCCCCCCCCCCCCGGACATGGCAGATTCTTCTCATGTTGAGTTAGACGGGCCGCCAACATCCCAACTTTTTTCGTCGGATTTATAAACAAGACAGGCCGCTCTCGAGGTTTCATCCCACGTCGGCCTTGGACTCTCCTATTCAAGCTCTTTGAAGCGTGTTCGGAGCAGTGAGCTTCCTCTCTCGGTCTCTCAGCCTCTTCCTCCATCCCCCCGTCTCTCCATCACCCACTCTCTGCCCGTTGTTCCACCGCATCTCAAGTCCTCTCTGCCCCTCTCCATTGTGTCCTCGTTTTAGGTTTTTCGGCATCGGCTATAGACGACCTTTTGAACACCGACCAATTCGCCGGTACGACGCACCAAAACTGCGCTTGTCCGCCTGTCCTCCACCCCTTCCCGGCCCCAGCTCCCCTCGAAGAAGACAGAAGAGTTCCTGTCCAGGTAGACAAGCAAACTTTCTGTTACAACAAACAAAACGGGAAAGCAACGCCTCTTGCGCTCGCGCCCGCACTCGCATAACCACCCCACGCGCCCGTACGCTAGCAGAATCCCAATACCGTAGCCATGGTTCGCAACGAGAAGCATGACCAGGAGGTCAACGAGAGTTTGGCGGATGAGAAGCCCATCGACTCGCAGCTCGAGCAGGCGCAGGCGCTCGCCGACCTGCCAGACCCAGACGCCGGCAAGACACTGGAGGAGCGTGCCGCCATCGTACGTGTGCCCCTCCAGATGAGAGAGAGGGGGGGGGGGGGGGGCCTTGTGGCCCTTCCTCACCATGAAGCTCTATAGGAAACCACTCTTCTGCTAACGTTTTTGCTTGCTTTTTTGTGTTTAGGACAAGAAGCTCATGTGGAAGGTTGACCTCTGGCTTGTCCCTTGGCTTTCTCTTCTTGTAAGACAAAATAGATTCCTCCGCGCGGGGCGCATCTCACCCCTCCCCTCCCCGACGGCTACGCGCGCGCACACATCGCGGCTGACGGCATACTGACATCGACTCCTATTAGTACCTCCTCTCGTTCCTCGACCGGACCAACATTGGCAATGCCCGTCTCGCCGGCATGGAGGCCGACCTCCACATGGAGGGCTCCGACTACAACCTGTCCCTCACCATCTTCTTCATCAGCTACGCCGTCTTCGAGCCCGCGACCAACGCCCTCCTCAAGCGCCTCACGCCCCGTATCTTTTTCACCGGCATCATCGTTTGCTGGGGCACCATCATGACGCTCATGGGCCTGTGCCACAACTTCTCCGGTCTGCTCGCCGCTCGTTGGTTCCTCGGCATTGCCGAGGCCGGACTCTTCCCTGGTACGTCGTGATTTCCAAGCAAAAAAGAAAAAGAGGCGCGCATGTTTTCTTCTTCTTCTTCTTCTTCCTTTTTTCCCTTGCTAAACAAAAACCCGCGCCGTACAGGTGTCAACTACTACCTCTCCTGCTGGTACAAGGGGTCCGAGATCGGCGTCCGCTCCGCCGTCTTCTTCTCCGCCGCCGCCCTGGCCGGCTCGTTCGGCGGTCTGCTGGCCGCCGCCATCGCCAAGCTGGACACCGTCGGCGGCAGGCCCGGATGGGCTTGGATCTTCATCATCGAGGGCCTGGCCACGGTCTTCGTCGGCATCTTCTGCTGGTGGATGGTCTTCGACTGGCCCGAGAACGCCCGCTTCCTCACAGAGGACGAGCGCATCCGCGTGCAGCGCCGCCTCATCGCCGACAAGCAGGGCCGCACCGCCGAGGACTTTGACAAGCGCCACATCTACGCCGCCATGAAGGACTGGAAGACGTACGGCTACATGGTCATCTACATGGGCTGCCTCGTCCCCCTGTACGCCTTCTCCCTCTTCCTGCCCACCATCCTGGCCGCCATGGGCCACAAGGGCACCAAGGCTCAACTGCTCTCCGTCCCGCCCTACGCCGTCGCCGCCGCTCTCACCGTCACCGTCGGCGTCATTGCAGACCGCACCCGGTGGCGCGGGTACTGCAATGTCGCCACCGTCACCATCGGCATCGTGGGCTTCGTCATGCTCCTCGCGTCCAGCGACCCGCAGATCCAGTACGCCGGCACCTTCCTCGGCGCCGCCGGCATCTACCCGACCATCTCCAACACCCTCTCCTGGGTCATCAACAACACCGAGGGCTCCCTCAAACGCGCCTTCGTGCTCGGCATGGTCGTCGGCTGGGGCAACCTCAACGGCGTCGTGTCCTCCAACATCTACCTCAAGCGCGAGGCCCCCCGGTATTTCACCGGCCACGGCGTCGTCTTGGGCTACCAGATCCTCTTCCTGCTCGGCGGCTCCATCTTCATGCACGTCGCCCTCCGCATCGCCAACAGGAACCGCAGGGCCGGCAAGATGGATGCCAAGTGGGCTGCCATGACGGACGAGCAGAGGTGGGTTGCCGGCGACGAGCGCCCCGACTTCATGTATACTCTCTAAACGGACCGATGGGAGTTTCAAGGCGTAAAACTTGCGACGAAGGGTGGAGAAGGCCCTCGAGAAGTTGTGTTCCAAGGCCGAACACGCACGTCTGGATCACATGGCGCTCTTACAGTGCTGCTTCTGTACATTGTTTGCCTTTGCAATGTAATGATACCATATGCCATCTTTTTCCCCCAACAATTGCATAGCACTTCGCCTCTTGTGGCTCTTTGGTCCGCATTCAACTGTGATGTTTTATTCCTTTTTTGTATTATTATTCGCCCCCAGATACAGGGCCGTAGTAGTAAGAGTTGCTGGGATTGAGGGCTGTCTAGATGAGGACCGCGTTGGCCCCAACGAGACTCTTGAGCGCTAGGTATAAGAGCATGCCGATACCTTTGAGGCCGTGACGGAGGCCTTTGCCTTGGACGAGTGGGGGTAGGCGGACGCACGTTCAGCTTGTACAGCTCGGCTCCCACACCGCGGTTGATGTTTGGATGACTTGTCAATGCGGGCCAGGGACTGAAGGACCGTGTCAACGATGCTATGCTCGTACGGGTTGCAGATGTCGTTCCAAGGCACACGAATCAACAGATCTTTGTGACATGACGAACTGGTTTGATACTATCTGCACAGTCTAGAAGCCATCCGTCAATCTTTGCTTAGAATTGCTGTCGAAGCTGCCCCCTGCCACCTGAAAGCTGGGCGAACGCTCCCAAGCTGACGGACGACTCTCTTGATGTGTCCGTCGAATAGTAACTCTCAGAATCAGACACTGGGTTGAGGGACTCCATGTCCTCTTCCACCTCCAGGTCTCTTGGAGGCGTTTCGAGACGGCGACGAGCAGGCGGACCTTTGATGGGCGGCAGACGGGTGTACTGTGGTTTCATCTTACCGATGGCGCGCCTGCGAGCCCCGCCCCCGGTCATATAACCAGAGCGACGTTTATTCTGGCTGCATCCAACGCTATCTTGAATACTAGGTGCCAGCCTTTGCTCGATCCTTCTTCCCAGAGCCTGCTCGAACTCGGCTGTGAGTGCCACAAAGGTGCCGTCTTTGTCGAGGCCAAGACCGTCATGCAACGACTCGGTTTCCTTGTTGACTTCAACCAAGAAACAGCCGTGAGATCGACTAAAGTGCATCTTCAAGACGATTGGCTGCGGTGGGCTTACGCCAAGAACGCTCTCCGGGACCATCGATCGCTTCAACACAAGACTTCTTTCGTCCGGTCCCATAGAGAGTGAGAGTTTCCAGGTTCCCTTCTCAGGCACAAGAAGGTCAAGAACGTCGTACGTCCTGCTGCTGCTTATCTTGGTCCCTCTCGCGCTCGAGGTCCAGAAGGGATCGCAGACGATCTTGATTCTATCAGCGCCAGAAAGCTTCATCTCATACGGACGCCCTCTCTTCCACGAACGACCCTGTTTTGCTTAGCCTGTTGCAAATCATCTTTTCTTTCCACGGTTGGTCATCTCACCTTGTCAGCCAAGACCACAAATGCATCATCGTTCCATAGTCGATCTGGGTTGTCCGAGCCTTGCCGCATCTGAATGCCGAAAGCGGCACCATTCTCCATAAACTCCATCAGCGACATCTGACGTGCCGTAGCCAATGCTGCGCCTTTGGCGATATTGAATGACCTGCTTATCGTCAGTAGAGTTTCTTTCGTAGGCCAACAATAACCAAGAGAAAAAGATTCCCTACTCGTTACTACCAAAGTTCTGGTGGACGAAAATCGGCGGGGGGAGGCCGACGTCTCGGCAGAAGCCTTTCAGCGTTCCCTGCACAGTCCCATTCTTGGCAGTGCCTCCCGAGACGATGACCTTCACCCCCACGTCCGCGTAACGACCCACGAAAGTGGCCAGATCCTTGATTTCGGTCTCTGCTCGCCTGAGTGGTTTGTTCATGGCCTCTCTGAAAAACTGGGCAGACTGTTGCGCGCTGATGGTTGTCCAAATGTCGCCGGTGCCCGCAGCGTATCCTTTCGGCGGCTTGATGCGCAGCTCAATCTCTTCGAAGCGATTGCACTCATGCATCCTGATCTCTTCCCGAAACCTCTTCTGAAACCCGTTTCGGACTTCCGGGTTGACCGACATCTTGAATCCCCCGCTTGAGAGGGCGTTGTTGGTGCAGAAGTCGCCGACGGCCGCCTCCCATTGTGCACTACCACCCACAACACCTGTTCACGGGGCTTCAGTTAACCAAAAGCTATCGAGAAGGAATATGTGCCTGTGAAATAGCTCTTGGCAACCTTCATGTGACGTACCGAATGGTTCCTCGACTCGCATGAACACAAACTTTTCCTCGGCCCTTCGTACGTAGAATAGGCAACCATTCTATCGTGGGGAGTCAGTAATCAAGTTGTAGACCATGTAGGGTGTGTGTGTGTGTGTGTCTTCAAGTTACCATGCTGTGGCCTCCAAAGTCTAGGAACTTGACGTAGTTGTTTGGCTTATCTCCCATGTATCGATCGACAACAACCGCATCGCTGAAGAAGAAATGGGCAAACGCTTCGATCTCTGTCATGAAGTAGATGTCCTTCAGACGATTGTTCCAAGATTTCCTGGGGAAAGCCTTCCTAATAAGTTCAGCGTACGACTCCTCCTCCTCGAGGGTCCAGTGAGCGGGAACAGTCAGGCCGATTTCCACGATCTCGAGAGGCTCGTTCCGCTTCTCGCAGCGTTCTTGCACTTGCAAAGAAAACGCTTCGACAATCCTTTCCAGACCTTCCTGGCATCTTCTCTCAAATTTGTCGTTACCTTGTTGTCGGTTGATCTCTGTGAGCAAGGCGTTGCTCTCTTCGATGCCTCTGCCATTGCCCAGAATGAGCTTGGCCGGAATCTGCAAGGCCGCTGGCACGTCGTCGCCGGTGTAGACAGGCCCGTTGCCTGAGATGTTAATGTACCCACTCCAGGAGCCTGTCTGGTATCGAGTCTCGTCGCACTTGCTCAACGCCTCGAGGTTGAATATCAACTCGAATCGGCCCTCGTCCACGAAGTAGATGTACAGTCGTATAGCGGTGCTCCCCCAATCGATTGCCAGCGTCCTCAATGAGGCGTCAGTATCAGGTGCCCAGGTCGAGTTCAAGTACTCACACGCGCTTCCTGGGAACATTTCTGAATGGCGGCATTCTTTGCGGAAATGGATATGTTCCCGGGTATGTTCAAGACATCGACCTGGATAGTCTTGGAGTCGCTTTTGCTTTCAAGATTTGAGCAAGTCAATAGGACAAGCCTGGCATGTATATGCAGGCAAGATCGCAAGGAAGCAAGGAAGAAAGATCGATGGGACGCGTCCACATCTTGCTCAATAGAACTAACGACCTGGCTTCCGCACACGGGGCCGAGACCAGCCGGCATCGCTAGGACCCTGCTGGTAGAGTAGCTTGGTTGGAAAAAGTGTGCGAATTGCGCAGGGATCAGAAGCAAACAGAATGATGCGCCTCATGCATTGCCCAGAGTATTCACTTGCGTCCGGTCCCGGTCATCTCCATTGTTTGCTTCCACAAGCAAACATGTCTCTCCAATCAAGTTGCAGTATGCTTTTTCAAGACGCTATCCCTGCATTAGCGTAGGCTTGCAGCTTGACATTTGGCGCGGGAACCCGGGTCTGCATTCTCATCATCCAGTTTCCAAACAGACTTAGAAAGAAGTCTCTCCCTGCGTTGTGACCGCCACCACTCGCCCACTTTCTCCTTGCCTCTGGAACTTTTCATGCTTTTCCTGGAATAGAATCAAGCATTCTTTTACTTAGCCTTGGGCAAGAGGTAAGATCCGCACCTGGCAAATACTATCACGAGAACCCTCAGTGTGATGATTGCTAACAATAATGACACGACACCTAGGCTTCTCTACTAGCATAAGATGGAGTGTCCAAACGACGAATTGGAACTTGCAAAGCGAAGACTTGGGTTCCAGATCCAAATCCTCCGTGATGAGATGGAGCGTCAGTTCAAACGCATATTGACACAAACTGTCGAGGCACACGAGAATGATCGAAAGAACAACTTTGAGCGGTATCTCACCCGAGCCTCTCTAGAGTGCCCTCCGGGAATCTTTGAACGACTCAAGAGCTGGATCCGTGGCGAGTTTCCAAGCTACATCTCAGCATTCCATTACTCCCAGGGCGGCTCTTACTCAATCAACTTCACTAACACGCCCCCGCCTGGCGCCTGGGAGCCCATTGTGGTTGACATGAATAAGATCTTTGATCAGATAGCTCCTACAGCAACGGATGCCCAAAAGGATGTAAGTGTTGCTAACTGGCATGTCCTTTACCCAACTTCCCGGCTAACGTTTTGAAGATGGCTGCATTGAAGGGCGTCCATCCCTCCGAGAATACACCGACCACGCCATCACGCAGGCCTCTACCGACGAATCGCAGAACCTCTCCTCGTATCAAGACCCCCTGCCCGAAAAAGACTGACAAGTTGCCGACAGCTCGGGTCGAAAAAAGCAAGCCGTCTAACCGAAGCCTGCCGCAGACCCCCCGGAAGCAGAAACGTCCTGTTGGGGAAGGCAGCCAGCCCGTAGGCGGAGGAGTGATCAAGACTGCTGTTGCGACCAAGACGATTTCTGAAAACCCGAGCTGGGCCTTCTCTTACGACCTCGGAGAAGGGTTTCAATACTACATCCTCCGGTGTCCAACACCGGGATGCCAGTTTTCGTTCTCATTGAATCCCCTCAAGAATAACATGGCTGTTTCGCACTTCGAGGAGTGCAAGGTTCCCTATTTGGATGAAACGGACATCGTTCGTCGATACGCCCGCCAGTGTAAGTCAACCACGAGCCATCTATGCACAGACAAAGCCTTGATGGAATGACTTGTGCGCAAATACTCCCACAGAACTCTGCTAATGCCCTTCTTGACAGTACAAAAGCAACGAATGGACAAAGATCCCTCGGGGGAGGTTAGCAAGATGTGGATTGACAATTACAACCAGCAGGTGGCGCGCGAGAGAAAGCGACGCCGCCGCAAGGAACCGAAGTCCGCGTTCGAGAGCCCCAAAATACATGTAGTCGATGGATCCTCGACCGAGTCACCCGAGACGTCGCCAGGCGATACAGAGATCATGCAGATGTGAGCTCGATTTCGTATGCTGTGTTCGTGGCGCTATGGGACCGCGATACTGACATGGGCCAAGCTCACAGGTATGACATAGAGCGCCTTTCTACGCCAACTACAGTGTGCCAGTAGAACGGTGATTCATTTGAGAGTCTTGCAGGGAAACAATTTCACATGTCACCGGCTATGCAAGGCTTCTCCAAGAAGGGCGCAACACTTGACTGTTTCGGGGGGGGGGGGGGGGGGTGGTTCTTTTCCAGTCTTTTGTGACGGGAGGATGGTTGGGTTGGAAATAGAGCTGAAGTGATCAGCATCTTATCTCGCCCTGAAGCCTTGTTTTACCTACATGCAGGCATACAGCAAGGCCATAGTCAATTGATTATTAGATATCTATCTTTGACCTCTGTTCAGATCCGCGATTCTAGAACCATCCAACTTTGCCATTGTATCTACTGTTAAAAGGAGGTGGTATGATTTCCAGTAATATGAAAATATATTTACCGGAATGCTTGGCAATGGACAAGCTTGAACCAGAGAAACCAGGGTTGGAATGTTGTCTTGGCAAGCCGGCGATAGCCACGTCTGATGATGCCCTGACATATGAATTCTCAACCTGCCTCTTCACATGGGCATGGTGCTGTTCTCATCAATGATTGTACAGGTACTGAAAGAGTCTATATACATATATATATCTAGCTCATTATTCTGGGTCATTATTGCATAGGTACACTGCTGAAAGCGCATATGCCACGCCGAGGAGGATCGAAGTGGCGAAACCGGCCTGGTACCGGCAGGGACCCGAGTCCGTCGGGTCCACGGAGGATGCGGCCGCCGTGAGCCCCCGATCAAAGATGGCCAAACGTGTACCTCGATTTGACTCTAGAACAGCCAGAATAGGCATTATGCCGAGGATATAATTCACCGTCTTATCTGGTCCCGGAATTACGAAACACGTCTCCGGGAATGTAGCTAGTGTTCCCTACCGTTGAACCGAAATCCGACTGGCGGCAAGCCATAGACACAATATCCACCGCCTTCTTTGTCGGTTCCCTTCATCCCATGCTTATTTTCGCACTAACACAAGGTCTGTTTTGCCTTTTGCGGCTGGTAAATTAAAACCAACCCTCCTCGCCGTCAGGTGTTGGAGGCGCTCTGCCAGTCATCTTAATTCCACAAATGCCTCGAGTATTTCACCGCCATCGCATAGGACTGTATGATCCCTTGCCTGTTTCTAGCTTCCGTCATAGGTAGCACGTCCGTATAAACACCAGCGACATACACAACTTACGGTATTGTCGTCCATGACCACGTCCGCTCGACTGACACAACCGCCACTAATTTCTCAGAAATGGCTCTCTTTCAGTTCCTTGCCGCGCACACCACGCGCCTCCTTGCGATACTCGCTCTACTCACCGCATGTCTTGGTCTCCATGCCATCATGGCTCGGTCCGGCCCCGGCGAGCGACGGCGGGGCGTCCCACTTCCACCGGGCCCCCCGGGTAAACCGATCCTAGGCCACTTTCATATCATTCCGACCGAGAACCCAGAGAACGCATACGCCGCGTAGTCCAAGGAATATAAGTCTGACGTGTTATACTCCAATGTCTTGTGGCAAGACGTTGTCGTGCTCAACTCGGTGCGTGCCGCTGTGGACCTTCTAGACAGGCGCGGGGCGAACTACTGTGACCGCCCGCGCTTCGTCCTGTTTGAGGAAATGGGTTGGCGGAAGACTTTGACGTTCTTGAGATGGGGTCCTGAGTTTCGGATGCACCGAAGCATCCTGCAAAAGAGCTTCTCCCGGACGAACATCGTGGCACAACGCGAGCTGCAACAGAGGGAGGCTTCGACGTTGGTAGAAGGCATCATGAAGGATCCTACGTCTTGGGAAACGGCCTTACGGAGGTTTGCCACTGCGGTGGTGATGAGCATTGGATTCGGGGTCGACGTAAAAAGCGACAGCGACCCCTATGTTCAGATAGCTATAGATGCGTCATACGCCCTTGGCCATGTAGGGGCGCCAGCTGGTACCCTAGTAGACTTCTTCCCCTTCCTAACACATCTGCCAAACTGGCTTGTCAGAGACCGTTCCCTCGAATTTCCGAGGGAATGGAAACGGGCCATCCAGCGCCTCCACGACGTGCCGTACTCGGAAGTAAAGGCACAAAAGAGCCCGAAGGAAAGCCTTGTCAAAGTCATGCTGAACTTACAAAGAGATCAGGCTAAAACGGGATCTCTAGAGCTTTCGATGGACAACATAAAAGGGGCTGCAGGAGCCGTCTACGCTGCGGGGCAGGACACGACATGAGCCACCCTTATCGTGTTCGTCCTCAACATGACCCTCCACCCTGAAGTGCAGAAGAAGGCTCAAATATTGATCGATAAGGTCATCGGGGACAACAGGCCACCTACTTTCGAGGACAGACCGAGGCTACCTTATATCGACTACATCGTCCAGGAGACTTTACGATGGTGCCCCGTATCCCCTCTCGGGGTGCCGCACCGATCATTAGAAGACGACATATACAACGGCATGTTCATTCCCAAAGGCTCCATAGTCTACGCCAATGCTCGCGCGATGACGCAAGATGAGCGTGCTTACTTTGATCCCGGGCGTTTCAACCCAGATAGGTATGCCCCCGCTGATCAAGGCGGCTACGGCTAGCCGTTCCCTGTGGGACAATTCGGCTTTAGTAGGAGGTCGTGTGTAGGGCAACATCTTGCCGAGGCAAACGTTTGGATTGCAGTCGTTTTTACGATTGCAACGTTAGACATAGAAACAGCGCTAGGACCGACAGGGGAGGAAGTGCTGCCCAAGGCCGAATTAACAGCTGGGCTGACATGTCACCCAAAGACCTTTCACTGCCGCATGAGCCGAAGGAGGCGGAATGCTACCAGAAGTCGTATGCCATACGTGCGTGAGGGCTGACGAATTCTACCTCTAGTAGAATATTCTGTGGTGCTACACTTTGATGATCTTCTCCTCAACTCAGGCGAAGGTCCTTACTCCCTCTCTGCCAATCATACGCATATTATTGTCGAACAGACCACGCATACAGTACACAATGTCTTCTTCTCCAGCCATTCTTCGCCTCAAGACGCAGAACATAATCTTTGCACCATTAGCACCCTTAGCATCCTTCAATACGATTCTCTTTGTCATGCAGTCACTTCTGTTGTATTAATTTTAGCATTAATCATTCTATTGAAAAACTCTAATACTTGCTCGAGAATGGCCGGCAATCCAAGTCTCTGGCGGAGAGATAAGGGGCCTGACTACTGCGAACCGTCATTTGTCAATGTGCGTCTATGTGATGAAATGATTTCGCTTCCCGGAGAACTTCATGTCGCCGCCCATGCCTCTGCAATAGCGCCCCAGTACTTGTCAGGGAACACGCGCATATGGCCGACGTGGCCAGTGCCGTCGAAGAGGGCAGCGTTGTATGCATAGCCCTTAGCCTTAGACTCGGCCATGTTTTGTTCAATGTCCTCATAGCCGATGAGGCGGTCTTCCTTACTGTATAGGAACAGCTTTCGCGAGCGCTTGGAGACATACTTGGGGTCGGCGATGGCTTTGACGCTGAAGACGGGCGCGCTCTCGCGGCCGATGAGATGTTCGTAGGCGTGGTTCAGGAGGAGGAAGATGGCCATGATGAACTGGGTCACGGCGAAGGGCCAGGGGAACCAGCCGGCTGTCCCCAGCGCCATAGCGAGGGACCAGCGCTTGAGGTTGTCGATCGTCAGGATCACGCTTCCCGGCGTGGAGTCGTACGAGGATAGACGGTGCGGCATGGGACGGCCGTATCTCTGTTGATAGGCGTAGAGGGACCCGGCGTAGTTGATGCCGCCGGTGTTGGACATGACGTGCAGCAAGACCGCGTCCTCGTCGGGTCTCGCTGTGTCCGAGTCCGCTTCCGGGTACGCGAGGTCGACGACGTGCCTCATATTTGCTGCGCGGGTTTCGAGGTCTTCTCTCATGGCCTTCACGATAGGCGCTAGAACGGCGATTTGCCTCGCGTGAGGGAAGAGGTTCCGGAAGCCATCAGTGTACTTGGCGACGTGCTTGGGAAGGGCGTCGCCCCAGCCGTAGATGACAACGACCCTCGGGTGGCCGGGCGGCGGGTTTGCGCCGTCAGCCACCTCTTCACCTTCGCGAACAAAGATCTGGTCTGTGACGGTTTGGAAGTCGGGGAAACGATCCGGTTTTGCTGCCATTTCAAAAGTATCTGGCGACAAGACGAGAAAATCCGAGGACCAATCAAGTAAGCGGGATAAGGGTTGGACTTTTGAGCATGTAGGCACAAACTGAATGTGAGATTGACGTCCTCTCAGCCGGGGACAGAGGGCTTCATATTACGTTCACCAACAAGCAGATTTTCTGCTGACTGATCTCGTCCCGGCGAAAATGCTGCCCAAGAACCAGAACCAGAACCAGAGAGCCGGTAGCCGGTATGCCTCCTGACGTCTCGTTGGGACGTCATGGATACATGGATCTGGATTGTTGGGACTCTATTGGAGCCTCTTTCTTATGAGGACCGGTTCCAGATACGTGGAGGATCGATCAGTGGCTTGTGCGCATATCTTTCTGAGTGGGCTCTCAAAGCCACTCAGCCAATCTCACGTCATCTAAGCCACCAACGCGGCCGAGCTGGCAGGACATGTACTAGTTGTACGGATACATAGTAGATAAATAGAAAAGAATGGGATTCGTGCCCCCACTTGCCGAGGTACAGCTTCTACCGAAACATTGCCAAGCGGCTCCCAGGTCTTTGCGGCCATGTCCAGGAACGGCTCAAGCAACGGCCGGCGAGTCAGGTGACAATACGAAGAGCCGAGGCACAAAAGGTCGGCGAGACGGGACGAATTCCGCCCGACATTCAATGCTAATCTCATAGGAGCATAGCTGCATACATGGTGAATTAGAGCCGTTCCAGCGTGGCCACGCTTCGGCAAGGCCTCCCCCCCTTAGGATGGACCGGAACAGCTTCTCCAGATCCCCGTGACAAGTGACACCTCCGCATTCTAACCTCCTGCGAGGTTTCTGATAATTGCCCGCCGACTTTGGGATTCCTGTTTTGTTGCTTATCGCAGTCTATCGAGCACCCGCACTGCCAGAGGGTCCGTTCCTTCAAAGTCGTTAGCGTGTCACATTTGCGTGCAGTTGGCGTGATGTCAAACTCCGAAGAACTTGTACCGTTCAGCGAAGCTACAAAGATAACAAGACTACAGCCGAATGTATATAGTGCCAACCTTGTCTCTGGCTGGTGCACTGGCTCCGGTCAGTAGCGATGAAAACCGTCACAGCAACCCACGCGGTCGGTCGGCTGACATAGTGCAGTCCCCAATGGCGGCTACGTCGCGTCTGTGATGCTGCGCGCAGCATCTCTGCACCTGGCAGAGCGTGGGCAGCCCGACACCATATCTGCCCATTTCGAGTATGTCAACCGTGCTGAAACAGGGCCTGCGATACTCATCGTTGAGGAGGTTAAGATCGGTCGGAACCTCTCGACATTGCACGTCTCACTTTACCAACACGACCTGCTACCATCCGCCCCTTGGTTCACGTCTAACTCGCAGAGGAACGTCGTCGGCTACTTTATCAACACGCGCTTAGTTGCCGAGGAGGGGCTCACCCTCGCAACCGGATGGGACATGACCCCTCCGCCTAAGCCGGCCGACTTTGCCCTCCTGTCCCCGAACAAAGACCAGCACTGGATGCGGAAGGAGAAGCTCAACGCGCGCGCGACCTCCTATGCGCGCGCGCACAACAACGTCGAGTACTACGTCCCGCGCGAGGGCACGCCACGGGGCATCGCGGACCTGTGGCTGCGGTTCAAATCTGGCGAGAGGTTTACCAACGCGTCGATTGGCTTCGTCGCGGATGCGTATCCGACCGTCATTGAAGCCTGGAGACCGACGCGCGACGAGGGACAGACCCCGTTCCGGTACAACGACATGTTTTGGTATCCGACTCTTGCTCTGAATCTGGACGTGAAGAAGGCGTTGCCCGACGAGGGAGCCGAGTGGCTCTTTATCCGGTCCAGGGCCAAAGTGATTCGAAATGGCAGACTCGATCTCGAAGTCACCGTTCTCGACCAAAGCGGAGATGTGGTGGCGCTGAGCACCCATGTCAACATGGTCCTGTCGGCCGATAGGAATCTGAGTGAGCGGAGTCACTCCAAGAGCAAAATATAGGATACTACCCTATGTAGTGATCTGCAAGGGTAGATGGCACCAGACACGAAAGTCGTCACGGGGTGATATAAGCCGTTACTTGCTGCCAGCAACTAACGCCGTCGTTTTGCGCGAGAAGAGTAGTAGTCCATGCACCTTACCTATTGTTGGTAAATGTAATAGACCAACCCTGGCCTTGACCGCACATTAATGTCAAGAAATATAACAAAACAATATCGTACATGGTGAAAAAGAGGTATATTTGATAATGGATCTGATCCTATAGGTCAGTTTTCTATTTTGTGTCTTTCCCCGCAAGCAGGAAGGCGGAAGGCGGAAGGCCCAGTAGAGTCATCAATAAACCCTTATACTACTAATGTTCCTAGTCTTAAAATATTCCCTGTGCCCATATAGTAGTGGCCGTCGAGGCAATTAGCTGGATGGTTCGTCTGTGAAGAAGTGGCACCGTGTAAAACCAGTACATTGATATATTAATCGATAAATCTAGAGGCCTATCATACACTTTGGTAACACTAACTTAATCTACCAGTAAATTCCGAAAATAATCCTCATCGATGAAACTACAGATGTGGAATATTCTTGTAGTATGAAAGGGCATAAACGGCGGGGCAGGTAAAGGAGCCTAGAGATGATCGCTAATGATGGATTATGTATGTCCTGTCTTCGTATGGGCTGTATGCCCTCTAGATCATAGGGAATACCTCACATTTGAATAAAAGAGAAAAACAGAAAATGGCTGATGTTTTCATCCGCTTTCAATGGGCCCGCGGAATCAATGCTGCCAAAATCAAGGGGCACTCTGGTATTTACACACATTATCGTGACCTAACTCACCAGAATGCCAGGCCTCGTAGCCATCATTCCATTCAGTATTCCAATGGCATCGGACCCCATCAGAGGCAAAAGATTCAACCTCCGCAACCGAAAGGACTGCGGTTGACCCCCAAGCCTACTATCGCAAGCGATACGCTTTCCTTAGCAACTGTTGGTATTTGGTAGACATATTCTCATCGGCGTTAGGTGTTAACGAGAACGGCAAACCCTCTGCCAATCACCTTGTTTTCCGCGCTCAACGCTGCCGGCGCCGGAGCGGAGGTACAAGAGGGGGGAAAGCCCACGTGGTTCCACTTTGTGCCGCCCCTATCGCCGTTCTCGGCGCCTCGGTCACATCCGTACGTGCAGCTAACCGTGTCTCCTCTTGCCGGCCCGATAGAAAGCTCAAGGGATCACAACAAAAGCCGGGCCTCTGTTTGAACTCTTGAACCAATTCTCCCAAAGCATAGCATCGCAGTCAGCAACGCCAACCGCATCAAGCACAATGGACTACTCATTACAGAACCACAAGTCTCTGATCGGCTCCAAGGCGTTAGACCTGCCCTCACCCTCACTGGTTCTAAGCTTGCCGGTCATCAAAAAGAACATTGAGAAGTTGCACCAGGACGTGGAAAAGGCCGGGGTTACCCTCAGGCCTCATGTGAAAACGCTCAAGGTACATCGTTTGCCTACCTGATCTTTCTCTATCATTTCCGGCTCAACGACTAACAAATCCGCAGAGCCTCGAGGTAACGCGTCTGATGCTTGGCAATGGCAAGTTCAAAAAGACAGTGGCATCCACGTTGTCGGAAATCCGTGGCCTTTTACCACTGGCTGAAGACGGAACTCTAGATGAGGTAAAAAAGGCTTCTTGTCCATGCACATTTCCACCCCGGTTGCTGACAAGCATACCCTAACAGGTTCTTTACGGGCTTCCTCCTGCTTTGGGGGCCATCCCGTTTCTGAGCGACCTACGAAAGTCGGTCAAAATCCTCCTCATGATCGATCACGAGAAGCAGATCTCCCTCCTCGAGGACTTCGCAAAGAAGAACCCCGAGACTTCTGGGGGCGCCTGGGACATTTACATCAAACTCGACGTGGGCACAAAGCGAGCGGGTCTGCCCCTCGGCGGCGAACGTCTCCAGAAGCTCATCCAGCGCGCCGACGGGTCGTCCGCAGTCTCATTGTATGGTTTCTACTGCCACGCCGGCCACTCATATGCTTCCCGCACGCAAGAAGAGGCAGAAAGCTTTCTTGCAGACGAGATCAACGGCGTCTTGAGCGCTGCAAAGTTGATTGTGGGGGACCGGAAGCTCACCCTGTCCGTTGGCGCCACTCCCACAGCGCATGTTGTGGGCAGTCTCAAGACGACGATTCCCGACAACGTGACTCTGGAGCTTCACGCCGGTGAGTAGCTCACTGAGAGCGCTGGTGTAGTCGACCGCTAACACCTAATCCCTTAGGGAACTTCCCCACGAACGATCTGCAACAGGTCGCGACGGGGCTCGTCGGCCCCGAGGACCAAGCCGTCCGCGTCGTCGCCGAGGTGTGCAGCGTGTACCCCGAACGCAACGAAGCCCTCATCAACGCCGGCACCATCGCTCTCTCAAAGGAGACCGGGCCGTTCCCCGGCTTCGGCAGCGTGGTGGGGAAGCCGGGCTGGGCGGTGGTGAGGATGTCTCAGGAGCACGGCATTGTGGGGGAGGTCAATAGCCCCGGCTCGAAGAACACCGAGCCCGAGAAGAGGGACGTGGAGGAGAACTTCGAGATCGGAGACAAAGTCTTCATCAACATCCAGCATGCGTGTATAACCGCAGCATCCTTCTACGTATATTATGTCGTGGACGACAATGATGTTGTCAGGGACACCTGGGTGCCGTGGAAGGGCTGGTAGCTGTGCGAGGCTTGATTTGTTGCGTGCCAAAAAAGAAGGCAAAATGCAGTTTTATCCCCCCTTTCTTTCGCTTGCTCGCTAAATCACTCGCTTCCCGAGAAGAATTCCATAGAATTTGGCTCGCGCCTCCTGAACACCCCAGTACCAACGGAATATCCCAGTGCAACCGCGTGTTGACGCTCCACCGGTCCGGCAACGCCCGTCATTTGAAAGCATCTTCCTTTCCGTTAATGTCTCATGCAAAGGATATCCATACTTGTTTCTCGTTCATCACACGACAGACGTTCCACGGCCCTGCGCCGACGTCCGCCGGTGTGACTTCGTTGTGGTCCCAGACGTGCTGCAGTAGCACAGAGGTCTGGCGGATGTTACCCAGGCCAATGGTCGCAAACATGTGGCCCAGCCTCTCATGCAGGAACGCTTGCTGCCCCTTGTCCGTTACGCAAGAGCCAATGATGGTGATGGGCCAGCACAGGCTTGTGTTGATGCGGACGCTCGGGTCCAGCTGTGCGAGGTGCGATAGAGCCCCGCTAAGGGCGGACTGTACGGCCACTGAATGCAAACTGTCATTGTGTTGGGAAATAGGGTGTAATGCCGTGTGAAGGTATAAGAGAAGAGCCTTCTGATATATGTATCCCGCCAGGGCCACGTTTTCGCTTACTGTCGGATTGGGCTGCCAGTTCTGTATCTGGCTCAGTAGCTGAGCAAAGAGGATAAAGTCGTCCGCCGAGGGCTGCCAGTCGGGGTTTTCCGCATGACCCATCATACGCCGGCCCATATCGAAGACGGATGGGATCAGAAGTATCAGATCCAGCCAGCAGCCAGTTAAGCTACCAATGTATGAGGACGCAACGAGCTCTGTCGCAAGAAGCAACAGGTCGTTACTAAGGAAGAGTTGATCGCTTAGACGCGCGTCGATGGATATCATGCTGACCGTTGCCGTGTAAAGATAATATTCGGTCAGAAAGTCTTTGAGCGACTTATGGAGAAGCGTACTGTTTGCTGACAAGAAAGGAAGGATGAGAGATTGCGCTGCCATCAGGTGGTCGAGAATAGTGCCGTTCACATCACCCTTGGCCGTCTATGGGAGTGTCAATATCTGGACGTGATCCGTCACGGGTTCACAAAGGACGTCCTGCAAGCGAGACAATAACGGGGCCATCGGCTGCACTAACCTCGACAAGGCATAGGATCAAAGCTCCGATACCTAATATCAATGTTTCTTCTCCGTTTTGCCCCCCCATGAACGTGGAGATGTTGTGCTGGAACAGCCGCAGTGACTGGTTGTAATATTTTGTCGCGACCCTGTCGGCGGAAACCAAAGATTTGGCAGCTCTGTGAACGGCACTCTGGGTGAGGAGCAGCTGAAGCACAAGGTCGCTGCCGAAGGCGAGCGGTATCAGTTGCACGGAAAAGGGGTTTTCCGGCGTTGATCCGTTGGCCATACTTATTGTCGTCGCGCTGAGGTAATGGCTCAGCAGCTCCAGGGCATTCTCGTCGTGGTTCCCGCCGAGCAGACTCATCCCCCTGCTCATGAAACTGCTCGCATCCGAGGCTCTCCGGAGTGGTGAGCACACCATCTGATCGGCCGTCTCATCGTCGTCGAGGGCATCGCCCTCAATCGTTGAGAAGGACATTGGCTCGTTGCATAACAAGCCTGCGATTGATGCGTCGTCTGATGTATCGAACTGGTACGAGGCCCCTGCATCTTGAATGTGATGATCCGCGGCCGCGGTGATTGGAGTTAGTGTGACTGGGGGCACAGGAATGGTTCTAGTTGGTTGAGAGCTTGTTCCCGGACTCGGGGTAATCGTGGTAGCAGCGGGAGACTCGGATGATGTGGGCTGCGATGCAAAGTTAAACGGCTCGAGGCCAAGCGAGGCGTCTCGAACGGCTTGTGGACTCTGTGATGCCCCAGTTGAGCTTTCCGGAGACGCCGTTGAACGAGCCACGGGCTGTTTGGCGGTGTGAGATGCTTTGTCTTGTGAGACCGATGCCTCGCGAGCTGAACGCGACGCGCCACTACTGGACCCCGTCAACGGCCAGTGACATTCCAGTTTATTTCGCTCACAGCCGCGGCAACGCGGCTTGGTCTCGTCACATTTCTTCTTCCGACCACGACAGGTTAAGCAGCCCGTCCGAACGCGGAAGATCGGACCCGCAAGCGTACGGCGGGGTTTAACGGCATCCGACGACATGGCGGCGGCCGGAACAACCGCGGTGGAAGGAGCACAAATAAAGATGCCAAGTCGACCGCTCCGCTGCAGAAGTCTGGGGAGGGGGGAAGCTGCTGTCAAGGGTTGCGCTCAATGGCGAAGGCACATAGAGGCAAATGCTTACGTAGATATCGATGTGATAGACAGCCCAGGCGCTGGCAAGAAACCCAACCCGTCGGATGCATCTGCGTGGACCAGATAAGGAAAAGTTTGCCGGGGTCAGTCGAGACTCTTACTCCTCGTTGTCTCGAGCGCGGTCCGCCGCATGGACAGGCCCACTTGATGCCAGTCATGAGCGCGGTAAAACATTCGATTGGTCAACCCCAGCATCCTCGGAGGTCAGGCCGGGTTACCCCTACGACGAGCCAGCTCCAGCTTTGTCATGTTGCAAACCGACTGGCTGCAATGGAAATCTCATGACCTCATTTGAGAATAATCATGGAAGCAACGAGACATCCCCGCTGATCCACATGAGTTTCTTGCGCGCTTAGACTGTGCCAGTGGAGTTGCAAGGATGTGTCGTGGCTTACTAGGTATGGCAAGTTGGTAAGGATAGATGGTCAAGAGCTTGAGGCTGCAGATTCCATCCAAGTGTTCTCAGATTGTATTATGAAAACGACGCCGCTGATCTCGGGCGGTAATCAATGGCTTATATCCTTTGTGACACTCCATTTAATTTCCCACCGCTCTAACAGCGAGGGCGGTAACAACACCCTTGAAACCATCTCATTGTGTGTGTACGTGTCGCCAAAGTCTAGGTGGCCTATCTTCCTCCTGGGTGAGTAATGTTTCTATGGGCTGGCCAAGTCATCAAGATGACTGTTTATGAGATACAACGTAATACTATCAAGGCACATAAGCTACTATATGACTAGGCTCATGACTGTCGGAAATACGATGCGGGTGATCACAGGCTGTGACTGATGCGCTATACCCTTTGTGACAGACTAGAGTAGCTTGAATTGATGCAGTGAAGATGGGGAGTGACCTATCAAACTAATTATTTTAATACTTCTCGAATTAATGAAAAAGTGAATAAGGTAAGTTGGTGGATTGGTGTACGTACATTAGTTAGTCGTAATTTCAGATGATGTCTACTCCTTGGGACGATCGATAAGACTTCAAGTAGTAAACACCCTCGCTATGGCACCCAATCGCAGTGTTAAACGTGTATTATCTAAAGATAGCAGGAGCAAGAAACACGGGTATCGTTCGAGGCTATATTGTCCAAAACATACTTATTATCAATAATGCGACGCAACTCAGAGTCGTAAGAAAATAGAAAGAGACTGAGTGCGGCTTGTATAATGAATGTTCCTTTCTCTTTTCCTTTCATTTTGCACATGGTCGTTCAATTTTACCTGGAAATGACATAGCACATCACTGGTCACAGCAGCATGCATATTAAATGACCGTTAACTCTTACTAGTTTACCGTGCAAGAAGTTACGGGGTCAACAAGCATTTGCATGCGTAAAGACTTTTCGAGGAGACAGCTAGTAGTATATTGTCGACTCACTCTTGGTAGGGGCCGAGCCTTACTGAATGCCCAATAGTGAACGACTACAATAATCTAATATAGAAGTGCGATGATGTAAGTTTATGTATGCATTGAAATTAAGGCAGCGAATCACCTAGCAACAGCTGGCAACATAATGATATCAGTTTTCTTTTAATACATGAACCCTAGGGCTGCTGTTCTTGCATGCTATTCACGACTTGCCATTGAAACGCAGGTGGTAGTGGCGGTGATCATGCGACAACAGATGGAAGTCTTGTAGGTCATACTGTAACAGTACGCCCGAGGTTCTGGTCAAATACAAGATGGGGGCAATACCTATGGCCTCCGCGTTGTAGATTTGTGACAGGCTTTCATCGGGTATGAACCTGGCAAGCAATGATGATACCTGTACGGGGTAATAAACCACCCAAAAGCTTGGCGCTGTGTCGCGCTCTGCGGTGTAGCGAGCCAATAGGCATTGCATTGTTCTTCGTTCATATCCAATATGAGGTTTAGGTGTTGAGGGCGAGTCCACCAATGAACGCGCCGAGTCTAGCGAACCTGTACTCAGACCTGTATATTTCCGGTTAGGCATGTAGATAGGTGGCACGCAGCATCCTGCACATCGTCCGTCTTACACACCACCACATCCTCGAGCTGAGACGTCTTGGATCCTATCTGTGGAGAAGGGGGGAAAACATGAGTGGACCATGGAGGGGGTTGTGCTGACGCAAGGTGGCTATGCATTCTTATGAGCGGCTTCATTCCGAAGGGCTGTCGGGGGGGTTATGAAGGCGTTAGTATCCTGTTTTCTGCAGCACAGGTGCATCGATAAGACCAGCCACAGGCAAATGTGAGAAGAACATGATGAGAATATAGCTAGACACGCGGATGGCACGCCACTCACCTACCGAGGACTGAACGCGTAGTGTCTCTGCCTTGGATGAAAGATGTCGGTTTTCATGAAGCAGGAGACTCATAACACTTACTACACGCTCACCCAACAGCCAGCACACCACCACCATGCAGGTGTTGTTCAACAGTAACAGCGATGTCGGTGTCCCGGACGAGACCTGCTTCGTGCCTCAGCCAGACATGCTGCTAGCCATAACGTATTCGGCCTCTGCGCCGCCGTCGGACGGATACGCCTCCTCACTGCTTACCAACAATCGCCGAGATGGCGGCCTAAAGCAGCAGTAAATTCAACCCCCCCTGGCCTGCCTTATCAAGACTTCCTCAACGTGTATGCGCTGCAGTCTTGGTGTTGTCTCCAGGCATCGGGCGACTGAGACATTTTCGCCGAGACAACACCTCGCTACTAAATCACCTGCTGCCGCGCCTCGAGTCCACCAGTCCAGATATTATTAATCTTAGACACAAGTTCCCCGCATAAGAAAGATACGGTAACCAAGCCCGCCGCGCATACGAGGTCAGGTTACACAATGCAGTAACCAAACATTGGAATAAGCAATTCATCATCAGGCACGTATGAGGGACGATCTACGAACTGCGTACCTGAGCCCACCCGTTTCCCGTCACACTGCGAGTGATACCAGGTACCCAAGCGCGTTGGATGCGGCGTCGACGTCATTTGGAACTGTGCCGGAGGAAACAGCACCGTTACTTGGGATGCCACGCCTCCTGTCAGTAAGATAAAAGAAAAACTAGTCCGATCAGCTCGAAATCCCATGGGCATTCAGGCATGGGGATGGTGTCTTAATGAAGGTCTTGGCGCGCAAATCATCCGCATGCCAGTCCACCCTCTCACTACGTATAATAACGCCTGAGAGAATGTCACCTCCGACGCAGTGTCTCACCCTTTTGTCCTCTTCCATACGTTCTCAACCTCACTCACTAAACATATAGGGAGGACTTGTATTACAACTCGACGTCGCAGTTGGATACAAAGCAGAATGGAAAACATATTCATTAATTACCCGGAGTACAAGTCAACGTCCCACCTGGACAACCTCCGCGCAACAGATTACAGCTACCTCGATAAGCAAGGCCATATCTACCTGGACTTCACTGGCGCAGGCCTAGCTGCGCATTCCCAGCTCCGCGCCCACGAGGGCCGGCTCGAGAAGACGCTATTCGGGAACCCCCACTCCGTCAACCCAACAAGCCAGTCCGCCACCAACCTCGTAGAAGACACCAGGGCCCGCGTGCTCGCCTACTTGAACGCCTCCCCGGACGAGTACACCGTCATATTCACCCCGAACGCGACAGGCGCAGCGAGGCTCGTCGCCGAGGCCTATCCCTTCAAGAGGCGGACGAGACTGGTCCTCACATCTGACAACCACAACTCGGTCAACGGGCTGAGGGAGTTCGCGCGCGGGAACCATGCCCAGACCATCTACATCCCCGCGCGCGCGCCGGATCTTAGGGTAGAGCCGTCTGATCTGATGTCAGCGCTTAAACGTAGGCGAGGGCTGTTTGGCTCCCCCCATCCCCGCAGGAGCGGCTTGTTTGCATACCCGGCCCAGAGCAACTTTAGTGGTGTGCGTCATCCGCTCTCGTGGGTCGGCGTGGCACAGCAGCAGGGGTATGACGTGCTGCTTGATGCTGCGGCTTACCTGCCTACAGCAAAGCTCGATCTGTCAGCCGCCGCCGGCGTCCAACCAGAGTTTGTCATTGTCAGCTGGTATAAACTGTTTGGATACCCGACCGGAGTCGGCTGTCTGATCGTGCGGCGCGACGCGCTGGCCCGGCTGGCCCGCACGCGGCCGTGGTTCTCGGGAGGCACCGTCACAGCAGCGTCAGTTGGGGCACACTGGCACGTCATGGCGCCAGACGAAGCGGCATTTGAAGACGGCACAGTTAACTTTCTTTCAATCCCTGACGTTCATTACGGCCTGGATTGGCTAGATGGCATTGGCATGCCCCTGATCGCCACCAGGGTCCAGTGCTTGACCGGATGGTGCCTCGAGCGTCTACGAGCCCTAGAACACAGCGACGGGTCGCCGGTGGCCAGGATCTATGGCCCGACCAACATGATATCACGGGGCGGCACGATATGCTTCAACTTCCTAGATGTGGGCGGCCGGGTGGTTGACGAGAGGCTGGTGGCTGCGGAATCATCGGCGCAGAAGATCTCGCTGCGCACCGGATGTTTCTGCAACCCGGGCGCCGGCGAAGCGGCCTTCGGGCTGGAGAAGAGGCTGCTGGAGAAGAGGCTGCTGGAAAAGAGGCTGTTGGAGCCACTAAACAAGGTGCATAGCAGCAGCTCCTTGGATGACTATGTCCGTCTGCTGGCCCCGGTCGGAGCCGTCCGCGTCTCTTTCGGGTTCGTATCGACGACGGAGGACGTGGACCGTTTCATTGCCTTTGCGGAAGAGACCTATCGGGATAGACTGACACCTGCCAATGGCCTACCAGTACACAACCATTGCTGAGTCCACGTGTGGGCGGTCCTCCATTGATCGGCGGTTGTTGACGGACGCGGGCCCTCCCGCCCTCATCTCGCCCGTGCGGCCCTGGAACGGAATGACACAGACAGGGCCGAACTCTTTTTTGGCGTCTCAGTAACGCACGACGAACGACAAAGAGGGTTGCGTGGCATCAAGAGGGACGCGCAGGGGCAAGCCCGCGAGAGCCGACGACCAGGAGCCCGGAATGTCCCCTCTCTTGGAACCAGAACCAGACCTACGACGAAGTGAAGTGGCCTGCCGTATCCGTACTTTCAACAGATCTCGGACTTTTCCGGACGTGGTAAGGCCAATCAGCCCCCCTTGGTACGTGGGGAGCGAGCCAGCCAGCCAGCCAGCCAGCCTAGCCATGTCGTTCGTCCCATTACCCATATCTCGTCACAAAACGGCGCATGAAGAGAATTCTTAACGCGCTTAATAACTGATATTCTTCGGTTGGTTTGGCGATTCTTCGACAGGGACGCATCAGGATCGGCAGACGCCTGCAGCAAAGACCCGGCAGCACTAAGCTGACCATGGATGGGAATGTAACACTAATGAACTCCCGACCAATCAGCTAACCCAAGCGGACTTCAGTTGAGGATTCGCCTCCATATCATCACCTTTTTTCTTTTCTTTTTTCTTCTCGTGCTGGGTCTGAGTAAGTTGTTGGACGCTGACTGGTTGCGATGAGCAGCCAAGGCCGAGTCAATTGATATGCTTCGTTCTAACGCTGCATCTAATGACCAACGGGTAACAGGCTATTGCCGAGACAAACAAACTCGCATGAACCCAAACGTGTCAAGCAGCCGTTTGCTGGGTTTCCTTAGCCTGCCGGGGTGCCGTTGGACGTTGCATTGCTTGTTGGTGGTGTCTGTACGATGGAGGAAAATTACCCCTCGATGGTGCGTGGTGTCCAGGGATATACCCTCCCTCTCTTGTCTATGGAGCCCAAACCCCCTCCCCCCCGGTCCTCGACGGGCCTGCATATGTCAAAATAGACCAGTTCCGTTGGTGTTCAGTGGAGGCAGCCATGAATCGTTTTTTGATCGGCTGGGCGACCACCTCTCCCTCCATATGAGGGTTGACTTCTCTGCTTTCTCCCGACCGTCTCTTCTTGTTCTCCATTCTCGAAACCCACGGAACGCTGCGAGAGTCGGGAATACACACATAAGCGCACCATCATGGAGTTTCTGAAACCGGCCTGGTATCACGAGTTCTTGTTCCTCGGGGCTCTGTCTGCTCTGTCGGCCTTCCGCGAGTCCTATTTGCAGACGATAGCTCGGTACCTCCTCACTGTCGCAGTCGCAAGACACCTCGCCAAGGGCGTCTATAATGTCTTCATTTATCCCTACTTCTTCTCGCCTCTGAGACATATTCCTGGACCCAAGGTAAACCCCGCGTGGCATCCCCCCCCGCTTCACTCCAAGCTTTCTGACGCATCCATAGGACCACCACTTCCTGCTTGGCGACCTCATCAACCAAGCGCGTTCCGGGAACCCCATTGAGCCGTACCTGTCTTGGACGAGAAGATGGCCCAATGAGCCTTTTATCAAGTTTACCGGCTTTGGAAACGCCGACTGTCTGCTCATCAACAGTCTCGAAGCCTACAAGGAGATCTTCCAGACGAAGAGCTACTCCTTTGTCAAAGCGCAATTCAACACCAGAGTCATCGTCCAGGTCACGGGAACCGGCATGGCCTTTTCAGAGGGCGATGCGCACAAGTCCCAGAGGAAGTTGCTATCACGTAGGTCCTACCCCGAACCAGAACCGTCTCATCGGCCATTAGCTGATGACGAATTGTATATAGCCCAATTCGCTCTCAGCAACGTCAAGAGAGCAATCCCGCTCTTCCAGAGCAAGGGAAAGGAGCTTATCGAGCACTTCCACCACCAGATCAAGGCCAAAGACGGCGTCACAGATGGTGAGTGCTTCCTAGCATATCCGTAACCGACTATACCGGCTTGCATGATATGTTAACGAGTCCGGTGCCTATTTGTAGTGTCCTCTGCATACGGCCGTGTCACACTCGACATTGTTGCGTGGTTCACCCTCGGAATCGACCTTGGCAGCACCCTGTCGACGTCGCTGTTCCATGAGGCCTACCACAAGATGTTTGACCCCTCGGCTTTTGGTGCGTTCCTGATGGTCATGAACGCCTACATCCCGGGAACCCGGGCGCTTCCCTTCGAAGAGAACCGGGAGTTCAACGCCTGTAGCAAGAACGTCCGCACGAGACTGACGGAAATCATCCGGGAGCGGATCAAGGAGATCGACTCGGGCTCAATTGACCTCAGCGAGAAGCCCGATCTGCTGACTCACATGATCCTCGAGTCGCGAGCCATCGGCGACCCGTGGTCCGAGAACAAGATCCTCGAGAACTCGATGAACGTCATGGTTGCAGGGCACGAGACCTCGGCCACGACCCTGACCTGGGCAACGCACACCTTCACTCTCTACCCGCACATCCAGGAACGGGCCAGGAACGAGGTCCTCGACCTGCTGGCGAGGAAGCCCAATCCCGACTACGTGGACCTGGACAGCCTGCACTACATCGACAACATCATCAAGGAGACGCTCCGGTTCTACGCTCCCGGCGTCCTGGCGGCGAGGGAGCCGATCAACGACATCGACGTCTGCGGGACAGTCCTGCCCAAGGGAACCCTCTGCTACCTCTTCCCGGCCCTCGTCACGCGCAGCAGCCGCATCTGGGGCGGCGACGTGGACGAGTTCAACCCGGACCGCTGGGACCGCCTCACCGGCGAGGCCGCCAACCCGCACGCCTTCGCCACGTTCCTGGTCGGGCCCCGCCAGTGCATCGGCAAGGTCTTTGCGCTGTTGGAGATCAAGGTCCTTCTGGTAGAGATGCTGAGCAACTTCAAGTTCGAGGCCGCCGTGGATCCCAAGGACATTGTGCTCGTGAACCCCAGCCCTGTGCTGAGGCCGCAGGGAGGTTTGAAAGTCAAGATTCTCCCCTTCAAGGCAAACGACGTCTAGGAGATAAGATAGAGTCCGTAAAATAATAGACACAAGATACATATTCGGCGTGCTAGAGTCGACAGCCGCTAGGTTGGATGCCGTCATACTTCTTCACCTTGTTGTCCCTAAAACCCTAGGATGGTCTTTATTTTGACCCCCGCATATCTATTCTCGGCTCTTTTCATGAGCTCAGTCCACTGGCTTAGAGACTTTGGCAACACCTACGCCTTTGTCTTCTCCGCTTCATTCCATGATTGATAATTATGAGGGCGGTGTGATGCCTGATGTAACCCATCACGCCCATGTGTCATATTTCAGAACGCACTTAGAGCCTGATCGGCAACTCCCATATCTCTTGTTACTCTAATAACGGCTGATACGACGGACTAAGCACTAGCCACAAGTACTATCCAAGCTCACATCATGTTACACTAGGCCTAAAACAGGAGGATATAGGTACTATGACTACAGTTCTATACTATACTATAGAACTCTTTATTTGTTTAAGAGTGGCCACGTACCTCTTGTAAACGTGACTTCTTGCCTAGATTCTACTGAATCCCCTGCTTTCCTATACAAATTGTTAACCTACCTCTAGACTTAGGTTAAAGTTTATAAAAGGGCTAATAAGGCAGACGCTGGCAACAGTAGACGGGCGCTAGTAATAGTAGGTAATAGTGGTGGTCTGGGTCCTAGCAGTACATCTATCAAATTAACGTTTAACCCTACGGCAAACTCTCGTTAACCCTAACCCTATGTATTTTCTTATTGGAGTACGGCTGTTATCGGACTGCTGTCGAAGTTGCCGATCAGGCTCTTAGTGATGGTCCGGCAACTGTACCCCCTGCGCCACCAGTATGGAGTGCACCATCACATCAAGGATACTTTTAAGGAACTTCGACTACCTTCTTCCACGATACCGATACGTCTGGCACACAGTCAAGGCTCGGTACGCTGTCTTTTCCATGTCATTCCAGGTGCGCAACCGCATGTGTTCCCACTTGGGAGTTTGCAGCCCCGACCCATGCGTTCCAGTTGTTCATTCCGCCATGCGAGCACTCAGTCGTAATGGGCCGGCCTTGGACTTGGACAACGACTTCACTCCCGCGGTGGACGGTGACCACCACCTCGCCAGTCCTGCCGTTGAAGGGCACGCTTCCGTGATAGACGCCAACACCCCCTTTGGGAACCCCGTCGTCGTCCCAAGACCCCTCTTCCGCGACGCCGCCGACGCTGACTGTCACTTGCGCCGGTCCGGTGAGGAGCGCAGAGTAGACAATCTTGTCTTCCATGATCTCGGCCGGGTGGAAGAGCTCTTGCCCGTGGCTGCTGGTGTTGCCCGTGGTTCCGCCCGAGTCGCCAGCGTCCCCGGGGTGCAGGCGGTACCACGTCACCAGGCCTTCTCTCGTGACCGTGGCGGTCCCGTACTTGTACAGGTCGATGAGGAAAGGCAAGAGGAGACGCCAGCCGTCGTGGGGCATGTCGCGAACGTAATTGAAAGGCGCCTTGCCATACTCGAAAGCGCCAAACTGCTTCTCGTGGAGCGGCCCGATGTAGTGGGACTCCCCAAAGTCGTTCCAGGTGAGCTGTTTCGCGGTCAGCAAGACTGGTCGGATCACGCGCGCGCGCGCGCGCGTGTGTGTGTGTGTCGCGCCAAGACCTACAATCTGCACATATTCGGGCCTCATGGCCAGAATCTCGTTCCAGCGATCGTTCCAAAGGTCGTCTCCCTTCCACGCCCAGTTCTTGTTCCACGTGGGCAGGTTCGTGTAGAACCAAGGCGAAACAGCCACCATGTACGGCCTGTGCGGGCCCAAGAAGTGTCTGTAAGACGCATCCAGCCCGTCGTCCAGCTTCCGGCTGTTTCCGTGGGGCCATGCCGCCCAGCTAAAGAGGCCGTCTGTGACGCCGGTCCCCATGGCATTCTCGGCGCCGACGGAGGAGAATGAGGGGATGAAGAAACAGCCCGTCGCTGCCTTGATCTCGTGCCAGTCGGCGGCGCTGCCGACGCCCTCAAAGGTGGACACTACAGGCTGCCATCCACGCTTGAAGTACGCCGGAGAGGGGCCAAACTGTAGATGGAGTCAGTCCTGGGCCCGAGCTGCCCCGCCCAACAGGTTTCTGCTCACCCTGCTAATGATGTCGATGACTCGCTCTTTGGGCCAAGGTCCAGCTCCCTCGTAGTCGAAAGAGATGAGGAGCTTGAAGCCGGTCTGTTCAGCCGCCGCAAAAACGTCCGGGAGCTTCGCGATGGCCTCCTCATGGAGACCAAAGTTCAACACGAAAGCATCAATGTGTGCTTCTTGGGCCAACCCGATGTCGACCTTGAATTCGTCAACAGTATAGTCGCACGTGTTGCTCAGCTGGAGTTGTTGTCATTATCGTGGTCTTAACATAAGAGGCCTCCGCACCCTTCCCCTTTTTCTCCTGACGCGTCATTTGGCATACCATAAAGTGAGCAAACACAGCTCTCTCGAAACCCTGCCCCGGCTGCTGCGGAGGCGGCGGGTACTGCTGCTGCTGCTGCTGCTGTTGCTGCTGAGACTCATCGTCGCCAGTGATGGCCGCGATCTCGGCTTCAATCTTCTTCTTGGCGTCTTTGAAGAATTTCCTCATGATTGTCTCGTTTATTGTCGAGTAGTGATGGAGGGCACTGGTTCTACGGAGAAAAAAAGACTGAATGATGCGCAGCGCTGCATTCACCGCTCCACTTAAAATGACGCGTGGAATGGACAAGCTTCAGACTTGGCATTAGAGGGCCGTTGGAAGAACCAGCCCCATTCCCATGTAGCCGAGGGCTTAGCAACGTCCCGACTTACCCGACCATCTCGAAGCGATTGGGATACCTCTCGATAGTATCGACTCTTGCGTAACGCTTGGTGCGACTAGTGCAAGGCCTCTCTGTCAAGTCACAGCCAGTGGCACTGCGTGCATAGTAGGGGCATTTTTCTTCTCCTTTTTAGCGCATCACAGTGCATGTGTTACAATACAGGGATATCGCTGAGGCAAATCAGACCGGGGGGCCAGGTGCTATTTTTACAAATGTTGCGTTGTAACCACGTCTTGGAGAAGCAATACCTTGCTTGGCAGGATAGCTGATTGCGATAGGAGGAGTCGCATCTGTTTGTCCCCAAACCATCAAATTGATGCAAAGTCGTTGTAGTTAGTGGGTTAATATCCCGGATGAAAAGGAACTAACATGGTTGGAAATATCCAAATCGAATTGAAACTGCACTTTCATGCGTGACGAAAAAAAAAAGGATCAAAGTTCCCCCCGCTCCAAGAACAATTAGAAAGCATAATACGGAAAAGGTTTGACGCTTGCGAGATGGGTTGGCTGCACAGCAAATAGGTCAACAACGTCTATGATTTTTGTGTATAGAGAGAAAAAGAATCGTGTTCGCCATCTGGCAAAAGCATGAAATGTCCCTAGCAAGGCTCGAACTTGCGACCTTTGGATATCCCGGCCTAAAGGCAGGGTCATATTGATGAATATGAGACCAACGCTCTACCGACTGAGCCATAGAGACTATTAACGAGTCACAGAGACTGTGGCTGCTGTCTGGTCGGAAGACAAGTTGACTAAGGAACGCCAGATGGATCCGCTTCCCCTAGTCCGCGGCCAGAACGGAGCATTCTGTCGGCGCATATAGGTCACAAGTATGACCGATCTGGCGGGAGAAAAGACAGAAAAGATCAGCTTGCTCTGCCCAACAATCCTGTCGCTTCGGCGCAATAAGCTCGAGAGCCGCTCCGATGCCGGAAACCAGCGACGACCCGGCGCCGCAGCTCAGCACTTGGTCCGCTTCTAAAGCCAGTCTCCACACACAAGATAACGGTGGCGTATCAGATGGCCCGAACTGCACACGCCGAGTCATTCCATGATGGCCTACATTCCGTTGATAAACGGGTTCCGTCTTTTGCCACGGATGTCCGCTTTGTAGATGCGGGTTTCGTGTTGCCCGTAATCGTAGCTTGTTCGTTCTTCAGGATATAATACGATTCTTCCACCGCAACGAGTACGCAGAGAGCCGGCACCTACCAGGCGAAACGCATGCGTTAGTGCGTCAGGGGCAGACGATATAGGACGAGAAGGCACCGTACAAATTGTGAACATAGATAAGTTGAGCTACCGGTTAGAATGCCTTGTGACATACCCCCGACCCGGGCTTCTATCACCCGCTCACGCTATCTAGAATGACCGTTGCCATCAGATACAGCCTGAGGACGTGGTGACAACATAGCCATTCTGGTCCCAGCAAGAGATATAGAACACGAGCTTCCCAGTATTGAAGGTAATTATCTCACTACGCACAGCACTGAGGGGTTGCAGTCGAGAACCCCCGCCGATAGCCGTGGGGTTCGGGGTTTTCCCGACAGATAGCGCCATTGCACATGCCTATCTGATGTCTCTTTCCATACAGGTTGGCCGATAACGATCATCTCGTCATCTGCCTCTGGACTTATCAGAGCATACGGTATCGAGGGGTCCACGCTATCCAAATATATGCTCATAAAATTGTCCGGGTCTACGTGCTTGCGACTATCAAGCCCGATCCCTAATTATACGCAGTTAAAGTACACGAGCCGAACAACATGTCAACTACGACGACAGCGACGGTTTCCGCCCCCGCACCGGCGCCGGCAAAGCTGAGTTCGGCACTGGACTGCGAGGATGCGGGAAGCGACAAGTTCAAGCGACTCCATCAGATCCCAGTTCCCGAGTCAAAAGAGGCTGCTCGACAATGGCAGCTCGAGCAGATGGCGGCTGCGTTTCGCATTTTCGCCAAGTTGGGCTTCGCAGACGGTAGCAGCGGCCACATCAGCCTCAGAGGTGTGTGTGTTCCCCCGTCATCAAAGGCAGATATCCGGTGGCCTTCATACCAGACTTCTGGGACCCTAAGCTGATATTCACATGGAAACAAGACCCTGTACGACCTGACACATTCTGGATAAACCCTTATGGAGTACATTTTGGCCTTCTCAAGGTGTCCGATATGGTCCACATCGATGAAGACGGCAACCGCATCGGTGGCGCCGACAAGCCGGTAAACACGGCCGGTTTCACCATTCACTCCGTACTGCACCAGAGACGTCCCGACATCAATGCTGCCTGCCATATGCACAGCCCATACGGCCGCGCATGGAGCACTTTCGGGCGGCCGATCGAAATGTTGAACCAAGGTAGGCGTGAAACAAAAAAAGATGAGAAAGAAAAACGCCATCGCGTGTGCAGATGCTGACCCGGCTGTCCAAAGATTCATGCATGTTCTATAACGACCTCTCGGTTTACCAAGGTTTCGGCGGGGTCGTGCTGGCAAAGGAGGAGGGCGAACATATCGCCGACGCTCTCGGCCCTACCAACAAAAACATCATCTTGCAGAACCACGGTCTTCTGACGGCTGGAGGAACAGTTGGCGAAGCGGCAGGTTTCTTCATCGCCCTGGAGCGCGCATGTCAGACCCAGCTACTGGTCGACCAAGCCACCGCGCCTGGGACCAACGGTGCGGCGAACGGGTTGAAGAAGACGTTAGTTGGCGACGAGGAGGCCCAGTTCACCAAAGACGGAACCGGTACACCCGAAGTCATGTACATTCAGTTCGAACCAGAGTATCAGCTGATTCTGAAAGAGACTGGAGGAGACTTCCTCTTGTGAGGTTGCAGAAATAGCAGGAGAAACTCTTTGCCACAATGCGATGACCATGCGACTGGCCTTGCTCCATTCCTAGCAAGCTTTCTCTCAAGCATAACGCCGTCCTGTTTAAATGATCGGTGAGCAAGTGTACGGTCCATGAGAGCAGCTTCTGGTACACTCTCACCCTTGATGGCTGCCGTCCAAGCGATAGAAGAAGACTGTAGGCAAACGTTACGTGAAACTGTATGATAATTGTTTCCTTGCATTAGATCCGTCCTTGATTATAGGCCACCCAGTGTCCAAGAGCGCTTTCCCTCGCTTATAGACCAATCGGAAATATCATCTACAATAACGATAACAGAAGACGGATGGCCTCTTCGAGCTCCGTATCAATGCGGCGCAGTTCCATTCTCCTTATCTTATGTATTGAGAGTACGCTCCCTTGGGAAGGAGGCTACTAGCTGGGTAATGATGAGATCGGACGGCCTAGTTGGGGGACCGTGACAGGATTCATAACTCATAATACGATCTAAATGCCACATCAATAACAGCATCGAAATTGAATGCAGTTAAATCACCTTTTGCCTGCGCCCCGTGCAACAGCCATTACCATATGAGAGGCTTTTCCAATACCCCTACGCCTGCTCCGCCTCGATCGCCACGAACAAGAACGCACCTCCGCCACGGGCGTCATTGTCGACCACCGGGATGCTGGTATAGTACTATACGGCGTGTCAGAAATCGCAGCACACACCAACTTTGCCATGGGAAATGAAGTGAAAAAAATAAAATAAAGTGTAGACGTTACCTCGAAGCTAGCGTTTGAATTCAAGCTCCCCACTTGAACGGTGCCCAGGAACCTGATGTACCCGTCCTCGTCATCCCGGATGAAGTCGCTGGTCAGCAAATCGTACGCCTTGAACCCGACGCCCTTGTACCTGTTCCCGAGGAGCCTGTCTCGCACGCCCCGCAACAGGCCGTACGAGAACATCATACATGGCCGCGGCGCTCGACTCGATGTAGTTGCCCCGGCGCGCCTCGTACCCCTCGTCCATGATCAGCCACCAGCCGCCCCCGTCGTCCTGGCTCCTCTCCAGGCCGTCCGCCAGCGTGGCAAAGTAGCCCAGTAGGCGCCGGTAGGCAGGGAGCTCCCTGGGGGTAGACCCGCAGCGAGTCGGCGAGCGCCATGAAGTACCACCCCCACGGCGCGGTCCCAGACCAAGGGGCTCGCGCCGGTGACGGCGTCCGCCCAGACGGCGTCCTTGGCCTCGTCGTAAGCCGAGGACGAGGAGGTTGCTCGTGCGGTTGCGCGTGTGCTACTCGACCAGGTCGAACTGCAGCGCGATCTCGTCCCATGCCGTGGCGTTTTGCGGCTCGAACAGCGAGACGTAGGCCGCGTAGAAGGCGTCGGCCATGTAGATGCCGTCGAGCCACATATGGTCCTCGTAGATGGGCGCGCGGTGCCAGAACCCGCCGCAGGGCGTCGACGGCGACCCTGTACTTGGTGTCGTTGGTGCGCTGGTAGAGCCAGAGGAGGTTGTTGCCGATGCGGATGTCGTCGAGGGAGTAATACTCCGGGTCCCAGCAGTCGAGCACGCCCGTGTCCGTGAGAGGAGCGAAGACACGGCCGTATCGGCGGCGCGGGCGATGCCTTCATACAGGACGGCCGGGTCATAGTGCCTGGTGATGAGGGCATTACGCGCAACGAAGGAGGAGGCGAGCCATTCCGAGTAGGGTCGGGCGGCGCACGTGGATGCCAGGGCAAGACTGCTCGCGAGAGCGAGAAGGGGGCCGACGGCGCGCATCGTGAAGGGCAGGGCTTACTCGCTTGAGGGGACCGATCGCACGGCAGAAACTCCAATGGCCTGGCAGGACCGACAACGAGATCAGAGCTCACAATAGGATAAGCTCGAAGAAGGTGAGAGAAATGAGTCTTTGTGCGTCTGGATATATAGTGTCAAACCGCTATCCGAAAACGCATTTTTCTCGCGACTCCCATTGGCACACACACCTGAGACTGCATCACGGCTTAACGCCGTACAAGGCCTCCGTGGTCCGCATCACAGCGTTCCGTTGAGGGGTGAAATGTGACCCCCCGGTCGTGAATGCGATATCTCAATGGAGGGAATCCCTAAACCATGTCAGCGGAGTTGACGCCCAAGGGTCGAAGGGTTCGACGAACAGCGCGCCTGGCTGCCAAGCCGGTAGAATCGCGCGACATAGGCTATCTATCCCTCAAGAAATGATTTCCCATTGGCTGGCCCCGTCCAAGCTGACATCGCAGCACCTGAAGTTTGTTGCTGGTTCCGCGATCTTTGCGGATCAACTGTTCGCTTTGGGAATCAACGGCGAAGAGCAGGCCCTGAAGCCGGGATCTGGTTCGGTCACCGAAGGCTGCGGACTACCTTCGGCGCTGGCTCCGTGGTGGCCACCGCGTCGGCTCCGGAATCTCACCACCGGGTTAAGTGGGTCCCCAGAAGGACATCCGGGCGACGGTGGACCCGTCTGGTGCCGGCCAACCGCCGTCAACCGCTTGACATCGCGAAGCCAAATGCCCGATGCAAACAGGCCGATGGCCGGGAATTTCTTCCCCGGAATCGGGCTGCCTGGTCTCTCATGCCCTCCAAAAATGTTATCTCAGAGCCTCCACCCTCACTCCCTCCCGAGACGACCTTCTTCCCTGCCATCAGCCAGCTACCCTGGGCTATCGTGCCGCATCGCCCGCTCGATTGAAAACACGGAAGAAAAAAAAAGGAAGCGTGTGTTGGCTTCCCTTTTGCAAGATTGTTTCCTCGAGCAGAAACGTCCCCCCACCTCGGACCGTCGTCTGAAATTAAAGCTATAAAGTGAAACCATCTTAGCCACCGTCGCCACCGACCTGCATGACATCAAAGCTCCCGAGCAGATCCCCTGGGGAGACGTTGAACGCTGTGCTCGGAGCCCTCGTGGCCGTTTGGAGTTCCAAACGGCCATCAGAGGATCGAATCTCCCCTCTCCCAAAACGAAGACGTCTGAGCAATCTGCGCAAGAATGGCAAACAGGTTCCGGCTTGGCAGACGCTCGGTAAGTGAGTGAGAGAGAGAGATCTGTCCAAGCTCGTGACGAGATGGGAGTGTTTGGCCGTTTGCGCGCCCGTAATTTGAGAGACAATCAATCAAGTCGGGGTGTATTTCTTCATTATCTATTCAACCGCGTTGACGGCCATCAAGTCGAAGCGGATGTATGTCATAGGGGCTTGTCTGCCCAGTCCTAAATAATAATAATGAGTAAAGTCGGGATACGGTCCGCAAAGTCTCCGCCCTCGCCTCCAAACCCTAAACCGCTCGTCCCGTTCATGCGAGGATGCAGCACGCCGACCGTTCCCCTCGCAAACAGTTTCCTTTTGTTTTCATCAATGCCAACATAAAACAAAATAAGCACATGGAAACACGGGGCCACGATTTAGGGACCGTGTTTGTGGTGGTGTCACACTCTTCATGCGCCCCGGACCACACCCCCCCCTCGATTTCCATCTGACCCGCATGAAACGTAAGAAGGAAAAAGAATTAAAAAAATAAGAAAAAAAAAAAAGCTCTAGACGTCATCGCTCAACGCCACGCTGGGCTTCCACTCCCGCTCGACGGCGGCGACCTCGGGGTCGGTCCAGTTCACGGGCTTGTGGATGCGGAGCACGCGGAGGAAGTAGTCCTCGACGACGAGCAGGTTCAGCAGGACGCCGTTGCAGTGCCACGCGATGCCGCAGACGATGGCGCCGGCGACGGCGTCGAGGACGAAGTGGTTGGCGGTCGCGACGATGGCGGTCAGGATCAGGGCCGGGTAGGCCATGCCGAGGGCGACGACGGCGAAGCGCCTCCACGGGCGGGAGCGGAGCGAGGGCATCGGCAGGGTCGCGACGGTGAGGCCGATGAGGAGGGAGTATCCAAAGTGCAGAGAGGGCATGGCGGCTGGCGGACCGTGTTAGTCAAAACAGTTGTACAATCACACAATCGGAGTAGTATGATTTCAAGGCGGAAGAGTGGGAGAGAAGGGTTCGCAGATTGGGGGCCGGCCGTAGAAAGAAAGAAAAGAAAAAGCAACTCACCATACTGGTTGCAGAACTTGTTCGTCGTCCAGACGCTGCTCTCGCCGGAGCCGCTGTGCACCGTGTCGACGAAGCCGAAGCTCTTGGCCTCGCCGGCGTCGGGCCCGTTGTAAGTCGGGTCGCTCAGCAGGCGGGGCGGCATGCAGGGCCAGAGGGTGAAGACGACGAAGGCGAGGAGGTTGCAGGTGGCCATGGTGCGGCGGCGGGCCTCGTAGAGGGCGGGGCCGGCGGCGTTCCAGCGGACGGCCTCGTTGCCGGCGAGGCGGGCGGCGAGGGCGCGGCGCTTGCGGGTCGTCGTGATGAAGTAGAGGATGACGAGGAAGAAGATGGTGCCGGGGATGTGGATGAAGGAGTAGATGCGGTTGATCCAGTGCATCACCGTCGGCATCTGCAGGAAGTACTGCTGCACCGGCACCTCGATGAAGACGTGCAGCCGCTGCTCGAGGTGGATGAGCTGGAGCGCGTGCCGGCGCGCGACGTCGACCGTCCCCTCGTTGAGGGTGAGCGCGGTGAAGGCGCGGCCGATTTGGTATACCTGTTAGACGCACGCACAAACGCATACATGTTAGAACTGAGAGCTATGAAGGAGGTGTCGTCTCCCAACGATTACACGTCCAGTGAGGAGGTCCCTTTTCGGCTTACCCAGTAAAGAAGAGCCCAGTACCACGCCTCCACCAGGAACGGGAACTTGCGGAGCACCCGACTGAGGAGCCTGTCCTTAAAGACCCTCGTGTTGGGCGTCGTGACGAGGCGCTGGTAGCCAAAGAACTTGATCCTGCGCGTACGCAGCGGGGGCTCCTCGTGCGGTGCCAGGGTCGAGGACGGGCTCCAGGCGCCCACCGAAAGGAGGGATTCTTCCGATTCCGGGGTCGAGACGCCCGAACTGCGCTCGTCGGACCGCTTGTGTTCTACATCGTCCATGTCGGGGCCACCCTTCCAGCCCAGGTTGTCGTAGGTGATGCCGCCGGTATTGCGGTTGAAAAAGGTGCCGCCGAACAAGAGGGTGATGACCACCAAGGGCTCTGCCACGGCGCCGATGCCCATATTTCTTTCACTTTTTTTTTTTGCCTTGTTATATCCCGCTTCGTCTACCTTTCGGGGGGTCGGCGTAAACGCTGGGCGGCGGATAGACAGATGACGAAGAGAAAACAGCCGACGATGGAGACGGCGGTTGGTGTGTGTATGTGTGTGTGTGTGTGTGTGAGGAAGAGAGAGAGAGAGAGAGAGAGAGAGAGAGAGAGTGAGTGAGCTAGAGAGGGATGTGCAAGAAGACTGGAGACTCGACTGGCTCACAGGTCCGCTGACGTGGTAGGTATATGAGGACAGGATGTTCGGGAAGGGCACAGATCCCGAGGCGCATCGAAGGCGGGATGGGATTTGATACAATGCAGTACCTACGCCTGGGAGGGGTTGGATCGTCAAGGCAAATGGGAGTGCTACCGGACGACTGGTAACGTGAGATTGTTGCCCGTGCCACGGGGTAAAGGTTTTTTCTTCAAGATACCGTTAGTCTCCTACTACAGATCCGAGGCGAGGTGAGGTGAGGTGAGCAAGGGGGAGAGAGGGAACCGGAACCTTGCAAGGAAGAAAGGGGGACGGGTCTCGACGACAATGCATCGAACAGGTCGGCATGGATGGATGGAACGAAGCATGGTAAATAACGCCACGATGGAACTCCCGGACATACATACGGATACACCTTTGCGCGGTACTACCGGTAGGTATGCGAAGCCAAGCCCAGGCTCGACACAACCCACATTTACTGGACCTTGGCCGACGCGAGAACAAGGTTGGCATTTCGCTTTTGCGCAGACGAGGAACGCTTTGCACTTCCTCCCGTCGCAGAAAAGTCCGCACACTCGCCCGCTGCCCACACACACATCAGCGTGCTCCGCGAGGCGTCCGATGCGCAGGGCTGGCAATGGGAGAGACACCCGAGCCGCGCATTCGCGAACGGGAGATGTGCATGGCGGAAAAGGGCCAAAAACGCTCTCTCCCATGTTCCATCTCTCACGTGCACACACACACACACACACACACATAGCGTTAAGATATCCGTAGGCACGCGTACCTCTCTCTCTCTCTCTCTGCCTTGGGAGCCCCCCCCCTTGTCCATTGTAATTGACACGAGATCCCAACCAGGAAGAACCAATGACGGGATTGTGGGATGCTTCGGAGGGACAGGCTGGGATGCCTGACGTGGACGAATCGCCCGCCAAGGACGGCGAGAGCCAAGACTTACATGCCCCCCCCCCCCTCCCCTCTCACTGAGCATCCTCTCTCCCGCCTTGTGTACACTACGCCACCCATCCCCCAAGGCCCAAAGGGGAGAAAGATGTACAAACGCGGGTTGGTTGTGATTGTGGGTACGGTGGTGTTTGGTGGTTGGCCAACGGTGCGTTGTCGTCGTCGTCGTCCTCGATAGGATGAGACGAGAGAAGGACAAGAAACCCACCAAAACGGACGATTGTCGCGTGCTCACTCAAAAGTCGTTGGCATTTACCGCCCAACCCTATCTAGTGTATCTATGTCCATTGTCCACACCGACCCTCTCCCTCCCCTCTCCCCCCCCAGCTCTCAGCGACTTGCCTGCCTGACGCACCTTGGCATTTATCTCTGCCGCCGTCAAGCAATAAAGCGCGATGACGTCCGACCGCGAGGCGAAGTCTTTTTTTTCCCGGTGCCTCTTTTCATGCTTCGAAGTCGAGGCCCGTTCGCTCCCCCCCACCCTCCGTCGACTGAAGGGGGGGGGGGGGACACGGGGGGCGGCCGTCGAGCTGCCAACACCAAAGGCTACACTAGTATTATGCGCCCCTGTCGTCGCTTGCCCAAGACTTGCTCCGACGTCTGCTTAGAAAACGCGGCTCATTGCTGCCAGGCGGGCGTTCTGGGGGGCGGAGGGTGAACGGAGGGGGGGGGGGGGAGGGTCGAGGATGACGCCGCGCATACGCACGCGACACTCGGCTGAGTGGGCTGTTGACCAATCGTACAAGGGGGATCGAAAGGAAGGGGGGGGCGATGTGGATAAGACTGTTTCCGCGACATCCGGCAAGCCCGTCTTGTCATTGTAGGGCCTGTCGGTCATCTATCTCACCGCCGTACCGCGCGCCTTGGGACATGGAGATTGAGCTTCCCGCTCCGCTCGCTCGGGTCCCACCTTGGAAACACTGGAGCGCTTTCTTCTTGGAAAACAAGATAGATAAATGAATCAATAGACGAAAAAGTACGGATACAACAATAAAAGATGCGTAGTCAATGGCTCCTCGTCAGCAGAGCACGCGACCTCTACGTGGGAGGTAAGACGAGGGTAGCACAGGCGGCGGGCAGCACGACGCTCGTTTGCGCGTTGTGCTCTCGCCCGTCCCCGCGCATATCACGAGGGGTCTCTCTCTGTGTCCACAACACGTCAGCCGCCCTTGCTATCCCGGGCAACGAACGAAATGTCCATCTACGGATACTTAGCATGGACTGCGGTGGTAAGAGAGAGGGTGTGTGGCCCTGTCGAATCTGGTTCAACGCGCGGGCGAGACAAAGAGAGAGAGAGAGAGAGAGAGAGATACGGGGCCGGTGCATCCGCCGTGAGTCTTGGCATACATCATCACCTTTTTTTTTTTTTTCGCGGATACAATGTGTGACATACCTGTATATACAGACAGAGCATGTCCTTGGCTCCGCTATCTGCGGCTCCTAAACACCAACCACGCATGTATATACCGTATCCCCCCCCCCCTTTTTTTTCCATGCCCTTGACGGGTTAGCAAAGCTTCTTTAGAACAAGCAATGGGAGGGGTGGGGTGGTGGCGGCTCTGAAGAGGTGGTGGGCACGGGGGGTTTTTGCTATCGGAACATGTCTTGTTGCCATCCAAAGTTGTCTTGATGCCATCCAGACTGGCTTAGCCGTCTCTCGTGCTGTCAACCAACCGCCTCACCTGTGCTTCATCGGGATCGGCTGGTCCGTTACCACGTCTACGTGATCCACCCGGCCACCCCGCCTATCGTCCGCTTCCGGTCCCCGAAGGGGAGGGGGGGTGGACACTCTCCGGATACTGCCGAAACTGCGGATTATTTACTTGGCATGACACCACCCACTCTGTTTGATGCCCCTTGCCGTGACGGCGGAAGCTTCGGATCCCGGCAGCCACCACCATCACCGTCTGGGTCTGGGTCGGAAAGGGGGGGGGGGGTGGAGTAGGGATGGCCCCGTTCCGAATGCTCCGGATCATTCAACCCTACGTCCGATTTTGATCCCCGCTGACCTCGGGACCGGCATCACCCATCTTGTCCGTAACTCCGGACCACAGAGTCGTATCTGCTTTTGAACATTTCGTGTTCAACCCCGACGAATGCACCGGAACCTCACCGGTGAACCCTGTATTATCGACGTTGCAGGTTCGTAACGCTGCCGCCACGAGGTCCTCCGCGATTGTGATGCGCGCCCCTTTGGCTTTGGCGGCTTTTTCATGCTAGAAAGTCCCCGGAGCAGGACGGTAAGAGGACGTGTCTGTTCTTTGGAAAAGCACCAGTCCGTTCCGCGTCACGTTTGTTCTTTTGCGCGTCTGCTTCCGCGCGGGGCCACGTCTCCCCGCGTCCCGATCCCAACGTCTTGGCCGGCCGTGTGTGTGCTTGAGGACATAGTGAGTATCAAGATCTCCTGCTCTTGCCGGTCGACAGTGTCAGGCAGGGCATCGCAACCGTCCAGACATCCGTCGAGCTCAACTACAACTGCCAAAGAGCCGGTCCCCCTCAGAGGTGATTGGAGGGGTTGTTTGTCCTCTTTTGCGAACCGACAGGCTCTTGATGACTGGTCGGAACTCATGTCTAGTCTCGACAATGGCGACGACGACAATGATGTATTTCACAACGCACTGTTCGACGTGTTTCTCGGAAATCAAGCAGGTTGCATGGCAACTACGGCAGACGGCGGCTACAAGAATCAACACGTCGAGAGCGAGCACAGTAACGCAGTACAAATGGTCATTGGACTTTGGGGGCCTGCGAACGAGTGCTGGACGGCTCGACAAACGATGTCTTTGTGACAAGGATCCCAGCTGACAACTTTGGCCGACCTCCACGACTTAATTACAGAAAAACAAAACTCAGATCGCTCAAACATTGGTACGGTCCAAGGCCTCCCTGGCAGGGTCATCAACAAGGTACAAGTAAGATGCGATCCCCGGGTAGGTTGGCTCAGGTATACTATATTCACCATCTACATTGTGCGGATACACAATTCGTTTAGAGGGCGTAAATCTATATAGGAGAAACCGCTCTTATACTGTGGGCAGTATCTCCAACCCACCTTGTCAAGCCATCAACTGATCTGCGGGATGGAGACGATCGGCGCCGGCTGTCATCCGGGATCAACGCAATGGTGGAGGCGCCTGCTTAAGATGTGCGTGCCTGATCTCCATTCGTCTACATTTCGATACCGGTGTACATGGTACAGATAACTCTATATTGTGTTAGGTGCCGAGCCGAACATCGTACTTTTACTGCATACTTTTCGACAGTACAGATATATGGTCAGCATTGTGTAGCCATGCGACCTGAGGAGAGCTCCCCTTGTGCTGGTGCCTTGGCACAAGATACAGACCTATTTTTATGCCGCCGAGTTATGGGCATGATACTTGATCTGTGTTTCCCTGACCGTGTTATCGCACAGGGACCAGCCTGGGATACGCATCTCAGTGGAGGGTAAACACACATACCGCTGACGGTCGACCTGTGCCACAGGATAAGCAAGGCAGGTTGGTTATTCTTTTTTTTTTGTCGTTGCAAATTTGCTGGCGGGGATGCCTGGCACGAGACACAAACATTCCTCGAGCAAAATCTTGGGCTGGCATTTTGTTTGCTTCCGATCGAACGAGAAATCGCCCTGTGAAACCTCCCCTAGACCGGAGCCGGCATTTCCAATCTTTCGACCGAGATGTGGCTCCGTAGGCATCGCCCGGTAAAGCCACGTCGGCGTCCACTTGCTCGGCATGCATAAACGGCGCGTGGCGGCCTGTTGTCGGTGGTGAGGTGGCGTTGCCGTTCTCGATCCA